TGCACCAGTGAACAGTGATTGCCTTGAATTTCGAGTTTTTTTGTATTTAGAGATACATACCACTGACAGATACTGTTTCAGGGACTGGAACAGTACACTGGAAGCCAATCTATCATATTATACATAGGTGTGATCATAGCAAACCTGATGCAGTCCCTGATGATGGGTTTTTATGTTTCTCCTGATGTTTTAGAATTTTTCCCACACAAGGCTGACAACAAAAACATTGAACCTGCGAAGCTCAGACACACCCAATAAATTGTATTTTGCTCATATCTCCCTCAAATCATGTCTGTTTGAGGCAAAATATGATCCCCAACATCCCTTCGATAGTATATGCAATATATAAGGATACTAGGACAACAGGATTTATTCCTGTTGTGCTATGTGCTTACCCTTGGTGCAAGGCCTGACATCAAAAATCACCCGATACATAATATTTTGCTCATATCTCACTCAAGTCTTATCCGTGTGAGACGATCTGAATTGTGACAGGCCCCTGAGATCAAGTTCTATCTGCTTGTGAATGCCTGAATGCATTGAGGCTAGACATTGCAAACATGGAAAGCATTGACCTTACAATGCTGAAATACACACAGTATATGGGATTTTGCTCATATCTCACTCAACTCTTATCCATTTGGGATGGGCTAAATTCTGCCAGACCTGTGAGATCTAGGGCTATCTGCATGTCAATGCCTGAAGGCATCGAGGCTTGATATCAATAACATCAAAAGCATCAAACTTCTGATGGTGAAATTCACTTGGTATATAGTATTTTGCTCATATCTCACTCAAATCACATCCGTTTAAGATGATCTAAATTCTGATGGGCCCCTGAGAGCGTGGGCTATCTGGATGTTAATACCCGAAGGCCTCGGGGCACTCGGAACTCGGAACTCGGCACTCGGAACTCGGCACTTGGCACTCGGAACTCGGAACTCAAAACTCAGCACTCAGCACTCGGTAGTCAGTATATACATAGTATGGTGCAAATATCTCACTCAAATTATATCTGTTTCAGACAATGTGAATTCTGCCACACCCCTGAGATTGAGGGCTATCTACATGTTCATGCCTGAAAGCATCAAGACCCGACATCAATAACATCGAAAGCATCGAACTTCTGATGCCAACATTCACCCGGCATATAGTATTCTGTTCATATCTTACTCAAATCACATCCGTTTGAGATGATCTCAATTCTGACGGGTCCCTGAGAGCGAGGGCTATCTGGGTGTTAATACCCGAAAGCATCAGGGCACTCGGAACTCGGAACTCGGCACTCGGCACTCAGCACACAGCAGAAAGCTTGATTGCAACACTGAAGGCACTGAGGTGGATGAGGGAACACCTCCTGACAGTGATTGAATGCCTGAACGCATCAGGGCACTCAGCACTCGGCACTCGGCACTCGGCACTCGGAACTTGGTTCTCGGCACTTGGCACTTGGCACTTGGCACTCAGCACTCGGTAGTCAGTGTGTGGTATTTTGCATATATCTCACTCAAATTATATCTGTTTCAGACAATCTAAATTTTGCCACACCCCTGAGATCGAGGGCTATCTACATGTTACTGCCCGAAAGCATCGAGACCCGACATCAAAAACATCGAAAGCATCAAACTTCCAATGCTGAAATTCACCCGATATGTAGTATTTTGCTCATATCTCACTCAAATCACATTTGTTTGAGATGATCTAAATTCTGATGGGCCCCTGAGAGCGAGGGCTATCTGGGTGTTAATACCCGAAAGCATTGGGGCACTCGGCACTCGGAACTCGGAACTCGGAACTCGGAACTCGGAACTCGGAACTCGGAACTCGGAACTTGGAACTTGGAACTCAGAACTCAGCACTCGGCACTCAGCACTTGGGACTCGGCACTCAGCACTTGGGACACATTAAATCATATCTGTTTGAGATGATCTAAATTCTGATGGGCCCCTGAGAGCATGGGCTATCTGGGTGTTAATGCCTGAAAGCATCGGGGCACTCTGCACTTGGCACTCGGCACTTGGTACTCAGCACTCAGTAGTCAATATATTGTATTTTGCATATATCTCACTCAAATTATATCCATTTCAGACAATCTGAATTCTCCCACACCCCTGAGATTGAGGGCTATCTTCATGTCAATGCCCAAAAGCATCGAACTTCTGATGCCAAAATTCACCCGGTATATAGTATTTTGCTCATATCTCACTCAAATCACATCCGTTTGAGATGATCTAAATTCTGACGGGCCCCTGAGAGCGAGGGCTATCTGGGTGTTAATACCCGAAAGCATCGGGGCACTTGGCACTCGGAACTCGGAACTCGGAACTCGGAACTCGGAACTTGGAACTCGACACTTAGTGCTCAGCACTTGGTAGTCAGTATATTTTATTTTGCACCTTTCCCAAGTACATACCCTTAATTTCAGAATGAAGTCCAGATGAAATCCAATGAAGTCCGAAGGACTTCCAGAGACTGGCTACTCTGATGGAGTGCTGGAGGACTTCTGGATGAGCACAGGAACCTTCCGGAGGAGTATAGAAACTTCTAGAGAAGTACAGGAAACTCTGGAGGAGTTTCACCTGCTGCATAGGGTCCGAAGATAAGACTTCTGAAGGTAAGCTTCCTAGATGGAAGCACATGGAGGAGAGACTGCAAGGGACAGAGTCCAAAGCAGGATCAGATAGGAGGAGTGGTCCAGAGGACAGGATGTCTGAAGGTTGCGCCATCTGAATGTTCAGATGTCCAAAGGTTAAGATGTCCAAAGGTTATGATGTCTGAAGGTTATGATGTCCAAAGGTTACAATGTCTGAAGGTTTTGATATCCGAAGGGTAAGATGTCCGGAGATCCAAAGGTCCGGAGATCCAAAGGTCTGGAGGTCAGCAGGAGTGGACAGGATTATAGGACAGGAGAATAAAGGCCACCATGGACAAGGTCTGGAGTAGAAGCAAACAGAGGTAGGCTACACTTAGGTGGAGTCGGAGATAACAGGAAGTAGACATAAGTCTTGGAAAGACAGGAAGTGCCAGAAAGGCAAAGGTCCAGCTTAAGGAATCAATCCTTAAGCTTGGATAGAGATGGAAGGACAAATCCAAAGGTTTGGAAGTCCAGCCTAAGGAATCCTTCAGGTTGGACTCGGATCTCAGTACACTTCACTTGATTTTTGATATCCGGGACTCCATAGTCGGAACTTGAGTCTTGAATCTCGGGTGTCAGGTGTCGGTTGTCGGTTGTCGGGTGTTGGGTGTCGGGTGTCGGGTGTCGGGTGTCGGGTGTTGGGTCTCGATGGTCGGGACTCAATATTTGGGACTCGTTGGTCGGGACTTGATACTCGATTGTTGGGATTCAATGGTCGGGCATTGGGTTTCAGGACTCAAATCTCGGGCTTTGGGACTCGGGTTTCAAGACTCGGTAGTCGGGACTCAATGGTCGATTGTCGGGATTTGATAGTCAGGGCTCGGATATTGGTACACTTCACTTGATTTTCGGTAGTTGGAACTTGGCATTTGGCATTTGGTAGGCTTGGATGATGTTGGCTTTCAAAGATCTATTATCATATATTGCTCAATGAAATACCAGACGATCGGAAGTGTGCTGGACATCACATATTCATTGGTCGAGACCCGGGTCTCGGAACTCGGTACACTTCGCTCGAGTTTCCACTTCACCCCTTTGCAAGGCTCCATGCCATACTACATCATTAGATGACTTTGAATTATTACCTCCATGATATACAACTAGCTGAGCTCCATCATGTCTACAATTATCATTCTCCTGGGCCCACCGTTTATATTATATACCCCTACATCGGCCTACCCGTCTATGCAATATATGTCTACCATTGGCCCACCCGTATATAATAAATCTTTCACCGCTCCCTCGGCCCACTCGTCTACAAAATAATACCAATACGTCGGCCCACCTGTCTACAAAATAATATTAATTCGTCGGCCCACCCGTCTAATATGATATATATCTGGGCCCACCTGTCTATGTGATAACAAGCACCCTTGATATACCCAGCTATTTGATACATATCTACCTTGGTACACCCATCTACATAATATCCAACTACCTCGGCCAATCCGTCTATTGAAAATTCATGTCCATCGGCCCACCCATCTACTTTACATATTCCCCACCTGGGCCAACCCGTCTCCATCGGGAATAATAACACTCCCGGCCCATCCGTCACAGTCGAGGATATATCTACCTTCGGCCCATGGTCCACTGGCCCGTATCATATGGGATATTATGCACGTCCGTTCACTCGTATAATACGGAGATATGTTACTGCAATATGTGTACGAGCATGCTAACTCTCAGACACAAATCATACCGTAGACTCAGTATACAGAATCAAATTGTTTTAAACTAAGCAAGGAACAAGGAAAGAAGGTATATTGAAATAAATCCTCCCAAGAACTCACACATTATCTACCACGAAAACTAGAAAAGTTGTAGACCGTGTACTTAAGGACTGGCAATAAGTCTTATTCTATATAGTTGTGTTGTCACTATATAAGCGGCGTACATAAGACCCTTAAGTAAGAGGACAACACGTTAACCAAGTAGAGTCCGAGAGTGACAAACAAAAGTCTAAGAACTGATAGTTGCCAGCATTGGCAACCACTGGCAAGCCTCAAATCTAATTAAGGTCTGGCTGCTGGTGGACGAGTGTGACAGAGATACTAATATGTATTGAAAGGTGGGTAGAATTTAAAAGTTGTCAGCATTGGCAACCAAGCCTCAAATCTTTAAGGCCCAGCCGCTGGTGCGAGCATGACAGAAATGCCATTGAAAAAGTAATAAGGACGCAAATCAAGAAATGCCGCATATTGAAAAAATGTAGGTGGAATGTCTGTCAGATGGGCACAAGCTATTTGGCCTTTCGGCCAGACCTCCATGTAGTCTGAGCGTTATTGCTCCCAACACCCAAACAAGTAGAATCCACAGTAAAACCTTCACCTATGACAAGATTATCAGCTGTCTTGGCTTTGCGTCAGGGCTTTGGTTTTGGTTTGGGGCATGCAGTATCAGCTTTCACAGGACCTAAATGTTCAACTCCAACATGGCCATCTTGATGCCCCAAATCAAGGTCCCCCATTGTGGAAGATATAGACTCTGAAGGAGCTGGAACAGGTGGAGCTACAATAGTGGGAGCTGCCATTGCATTGACAGTCAGAGCTGCGGGAGGATGATTCAGAGGTGCGGGAGGATGGTTCAGAGGTGTGGGAGGTGCGGGAGGTGCGGGAGGTGCGGGAGGATGGTTCAGAGGTGCAGGAGGACGAGCCTCATCTTCGGAGTCTGAGAGTGGTGAATTGCGCAATGACGAACCGACAACATTCAAATGATTTGGGTTGAAGACCGGTCCTTCAAGCTCCTGTTCCATGGCACGCTCAAACTCTTCTTCATACATGTGGCCTGGTCCATCATCATGGGCAGAAGGAGGGACAGAGGATGAAGTCGAGAAGAGAGCATCATTGAAGAATAAGATAACCTGGCGCGCCCAGGAGCCTCCAGTCAGTAGGCGTTGACGGAAGAAGTTATGGTATTCGCGGTATGGTATCTTAGTGGTCTCCCCAATCTCAGTCAGTTCTGCATCACCCAAAAGTAGGAAGATTGCCTGATAATTGAGAATAATGAGTCATAGCCATAACAATAGCTCAAAATAGACTTACAACGACAGCAGCAGCAGCAATCATACCTGGTGTTGTGGCCCGTAATTTCCAGATTTTGGCTTTCATCCTAGAAGATGCTGCGCCTGTGGCAGCCAATGACGATTTTCCGAAGAGTGATACTTTCAACACCTGTTATACATCATACAGGGTTTATTGGCCTGCACGACAACAAAAAAGAGGAACGTACTTGCACCAGCTTTGCTGATTTGAGCATCTCGTTTGGTACTGGCTTTTCGGGTGTAGGAAACAGCACCGGTGCAAACTTTGTATAGTCACCGTGGGGACTCAATAAAAGTGCACGACATCCAGGGTCTTCATGTCATTTATAGCCACATATGAATATATTGGCGTTCAGACTGAAGATGGCGCCAGCACATGCCTTGACGTCTGAAGCCATTTCGGAACGAGCATTACTGACACCCATCCCGAACTAACAACATTTGGATCAGAACACGAGAATACATTGACAGGACAGGCGTGACATACCTGTGAGCCGAAGCTTTGATAATTCATCAATTCACGCTCTTCTGCAGGAATGAACTGGAAGAGTTCAGCCTTCACACCATCCTCCATCGAAACCCCACTTATCCAGCGCTCCTTGCTGTTAAGATCAATGTCCGGACAAGTACGCAGTGGTAAAATCTCGAGGTTAATCCAAAGGCAGTGAGTGATAGAGTATTTCCTCCCAAGAACCCGGATGGTATCTTCCTTGGCTGCCATCGCAAGATCGTTTGGGGTGAGATTGTGTTGCTTGCGACCTTTGGATGTTGCCGCCTCGAGGAGCGCATTCCTCTTCATAGTCTCCCGGTATCTACCACGCAGGTTGAGTAGCAACTTCTGAGTGACCTCGAGAGCCTAGTAATTGTGAACCAACTGATTAAAACTGTATTATCAAACTCAATAGGAATGGAATAGCTTACCTGACGGAGCTCCTGAGGTGTTGCATCTACGGGTGCAGGTGTGATTGCGGTGCAGACGTGTACAAGTTCTTCGTCTGAGTCATCTGAGTCGGACTCTGATGAGGACTCAGAGTCAAATTTGGCATTGGACTCTGGTAGATCTTGATGCTGTGGCATGATGCGCAAAGGTGAGAGGACTGGTGACTCGAAATTGAGTGGAGCTGGAGGAATCTGTATTAGTATCACTGCGAGTTTATATGCAAAACTCACGGTCTTAGACTGGGTCTTGCGCTGATAGGCGAGCATTGCAATTCAGAACGTTTTGGGGACCCGAGGGCAACACCACGCACAATTACATACTAAACCTGTAGCACGAGTAGCGATTACACACAAATCAGCAACCCAAAAGTAAAATACACACCTGTTACGCTCCAAAAATGTCCAAGTACAACTTGTAATGTGTAATGACCCACGTGTGGTGTCAATGTGGTAATTTCCAGTGCACAATTGTACCCTGCCAAGAGAGGGCAGCGTCATAAGAAACCATGATGAGTACACATGTCAGTGACTTGTCAATGTCATTATTATCATGACAAACCTATTATTAATGATATTCTGAAACACCCGAACATGGTGAGGAGTCGGGCCTTGTTGCGAGGGTGAATGAGTGTTCTGGCTCATAGACAAGTGGGTCCTGTACGAGGGTGCTGTGAGTGTGCCCAAATAAATTACGGTTGCCACCGAGTTATTTCAGTGGACGAGCATGACAGAACTGCCTTTAAAAACACCTGAATTGCTGGAACTGCGCAGAGGTCCAGCGCACAAACATACCTTGTCCCAGAAATGTTGAGCTTGCTGGAAGTAACCGCACCACAGTTCTAAACCTCCACCCAAGGTCTGTATACCAGCAAAAAGGCCCTAGATTGTACAGCGTTGACAGCAGTCAGGACCTGAGTGGTCTGCTTGGTCTGTTTTCCTTCGATGAATGCTTGCAATTCCCTATAATTTGTCAACAGTAAGTGGCAAATGATGAGCGAAATCGGCATCTGGTCTTTATAAAATAGTTTGCAGACCTAACATAATGGTGTATGGCGACTTGGATAAGATATCTGGATACATATGCGCCACTACTGATTGGGATCTGGAAAAAGGGAGTGCATATAATCAGTTAGGCTCCATGAAGCACTGGGACACAGCAAGAGAAATAAGCGACGAACGTCGATGATTTTGTTAGTCATAATCTTCCCTCTCCCTAAAGCCCAAAACATAGCGTCCATGCTGCCATAACAGTTGAGAAAGCAGTGGGCTTGGACGTAGGGATCCTGGGACACATCGTAAACGTGTTTGGGAGTAAGTGTTGAAGTGGTAGGGTCGTCAAGCCTTGGTGAGGTTGGCTCCATTTGCGATGTTGTGGTTGGGCATCAAGAGTCTAAGGTAAGCAGAACTCCAGAGAGGTAGTAGACAAGGGTGCACTTGAAAAAAAATACAACTGGCGGAATTGCAGGAAGGCAGAGGTCCAAGAGAGAAGTATTGTACAATAGGGGTCTAAGCAGCCTGCCAGGATTGTATGTACAGTGTCTGCAATATGGAAAGCACAGTAATATCTATGGTAGAGTTCAGTCCAGTGAGGGATGGGTTAAAAGAGTCATCTCTGAGAACGAAGAAATATGTCAGTGTCTACATAATCAACAAGGAAATGATCTCCGGGAACAGCAAAGTCCGGAACAATTAATACACCACGAATGATAGAGTGAAGCGTGATGAATTCTGACGAAGCCAGGGGTCGCACACGAAGGTGAGTCAGTCGCAAATGTCGATCGATAATACGTTGTGGACCCATTCGCGCATCCATAGTTTGAACTAAAGCAAGATCTAAAACCTTGCTGCCAACTGTGTGCTTGAACATAAACAAGATGCGAACAAAAATATTATTGTCATTGCCGTCCTTGTCGTTGGTGCAAATCAGGGCGCAGTTGTGTCGCTCATGGCCATGAAAGCTCGGGTTACACCACAAATAGTCTGTAGCGAGCTTCCAATCCACGACAGACTCATAATTGACCTTGAGGAACCAATGCTCCTGGACCTGCGATTGTTTAAGAAGAGGAAGTTATCAGTGAAACGAATGTTACTGACTGTATCTTGTGCTGAAAGTCTTAGCCACATTTTTCCGTCAGGAAGTGGTATGTTGTGGGCAGGTAGAACATTGTTGAGGAACAATGAAAGTTTCTTGCAGAACTGCGCAAAGGCAGGGTTGGAGGTGTTTTCTTCATTGAGTTGCAAAAGGGTTAGTGAGCGTTGTGGAGCGCCAAGGTAAATATGTCCACCAAAAGGCTGATCATCTAGGTCTTCTTCCTCAAGTTCTTGCTCTGAGAGCATGACCTTACGTTGCTCTTCGTCAAGGTAGCCGATGCGGCTCCGGATGAGCCCCGAGAAAATGTCATATGATCTAGTCGAAATATCTAGTAATACGCAAAGGATGAACAATGAGTCAGAAAGCATGATCTAATAAAGTAGTACCTGATTTGCGATATCCTTCCCGTTTGTTTGCAATTTGTATGCACATTTAATCGGTCCATGTTGCTTCTCATTCGGTCTGGTGCTGAAGTTTTGAGCTGCTCCTTTCTCCCTAATGTCAGTAAATACATGCTTTGAGGCATGAGCCTTGGGGAAATTCCAATTTTTTGTTGCATCATCGCCAAGGGCCTCAATGTATTCCTGTGTGATAGTAGTGTTGAGTCATGGTGATGGGCACAAACGATTTGGACACGACTTACATCTAACAGTTCCTGAAACATGAGGATCTCCGCCTCTCCAGCTGCAAGAGTACTTTCAGTATGAACATCAAGAGATACATACATATCAATGTGAAGATAGCTCACTATTCACTTTAAAAGTGCATAGCCAGCTTCATCTTCCGCCCATGTGAGCACGTTCTGTGCCGCATACACGATTTGCTATCAAAACCATGAGAAATGAGTAGTTTTAAATATAGCACATGAGAACGTACCTTAGATATATCCTGGAACTTGTTGCTGTCAGTAAAATAGATGTTGGTAACACAGTCAAAATGATTGAGGTTTCGCCATCGCAGAAACACATCAAACCTTAAAATTAATGACATATGAGACACTGATAATAGAGTAACGACTGGGAAGGGACTTACTGTTCATCAACCATCTTCTCGGCAACACGTCCCAGTGCCTTGAGGTGTTTCTTGCACTCATCGAATAAGTGATCACCAAACTTTCCCTTATGGTAAACATGTAGCAGATCTTGCGAGAGCGCATCGTGCGGGTCCAACAGCCTAACCTTCCAAAATGCATTCTGATGGTTGTGAGATCATGTAAGTGAGAAAGACACATCAATCATGCACCTTGATAGGCCTCAAGCTCTGTTTTTTTCAGTTCTGCCTCGCCCACAACATGGTCTCTGGACCACAATGCGACCCGATTTTGTGCATCTTCAACGGTGCGCTTCGGGTAAGTTGTTGAATGGTTGGTGAGCGCTTCTCTTGGGACCAGGCAAACGGGGCAAAGACAGCCAGATTTGAGGCCCGTATTAGCGCCATCACACACCTAATATTATAATAATATAAATAATTTGTATTAGAAATGACGTGTCAATGATAAAAAACATGGACACTCACTGCTCTTCATAATCGGCTGATAGGATTAGAATCAAGGGAAATAGCAAGCGTTGAGTTCCGTCGTAGCACTCATGTGCGAAGCCAGTTGCAGATAAGAGTATGATAGTTACGAGTAGGATTGAAAATGATTCGTGCCATACAACACGCTTCAGATTTGTATAGGAAAGTTTGCTGTCTTCGTCTGAGTCCTCGGGAACCTGTAACAAGGGGCAAAGACCATCAATTCTTCCAGTCAAGTGTGAGTCATATGACAATGGGAGGACTTACAATTGGTAACCACCCTACCATGCGCCCTCCTCCGGTACCATCAACATTTCTGATATCAACTGGTAGATTCCCGCAACGGGTGATTACCGGGTATGCTTTGACAGTACCAGCCGACGAGAGATGAGTTTTGTCGGCATATAGTATGAACGCAAACGGCGCTCCATTCTCAGGTAATGATGACTAAATGAATTGAAATTTATTAGTTAGTCACGTAGTATATAAAAAAAATGGGCAGACTTGGAGATTCCACCAGCAGTCTCCCGTTCATGGCTCGTGGAAGAAGTGCTCAAAGCGAGTCCCATCGTGCTTATAAAGCCACTGAGCATCCCAGACAAAGTGCGGAGCCAACAATGGATTGGCTAATAGGTCCATTGTCCAGTCCCACAAAGGCCGCGAATAAAATTCATACTCGATCACCTCCTTCTTGTACTCAACAGGTATAATGTGTTTTTGGAACTGTATAATTAAACACGGTCATGTGCACTTGTTGCAAAGGTAAAATAAAGTCACACTGCTCTTACTGGTGTCAACTGGGTAGACGACCTAGCCCACGCGGTCATAACATCTACGTGTGTTTTGAACGAAAACTTTGTGTGTCCATCTGCAACTCGCCAGATGAACTTCAACAGCTCATTAGTCTAGTCCTTATTCAGCGCGGCTTTGTGAGTGAGCTCAGCGAACTCGAAGTCCGCACAACAAGTAAAAGGGTGCCAAGGTGTATCATCAACAATGGGTGAACGTGTTGCCGATCCGCCCCCGTAAGCAGAAAACGTCTCGACAGTTTCAGGGCGACCACTGTGGGGATGGAATTCTGTCTTAAATGTGTCGGAACAGGCTGATGTCGTTGCTGTAGTGGCGTAAACTGGAATGAGACCTGGAGGAGGTGCTGCCCCTGCAGAGGCGCTAGCCATGCTTGTATCAGAGTTGGAACCTAATGAATGATATTAGTTATGTGACTCGGGTCAAAATACAAACACATATGTTGTCATGCCTCAGCCTCAATGCTCTGCGTGTCATCGAGACCCCCTTCCAGCCCTGCAGCAGGATAATCGTGGCCACTGACATCATGATCATACACGTCTGAGTCAAGTACAGTAGTAGGAACAGATTCCGTTGCAGCTGCGCCTCCTGATGAGTCCACAAGCACAGGGGCTTGAGCGGATGCGCCAGTTGGGTGATATTTCTTGTTGCGATGATGTTCTGATGCGAAAAATTTCGATGATTATTAGTGATTGATTCAGAGGAGATCAAAATGTAAAATGACAATGAACTGTGTTCTCCTTCGTTCAGTATTGAGTGTACTGCAGCCCATGCAAATTCTCTGTCCTCTTTCCTCTTTTCCTTCCGTCAAAGGCAGCTTTTCTCGTGCAACTTGATGCCTCTGGTCGTGTAAGCCTCATTACAATATTGACATTGGACCTTGATGGTAGATGCAGAAGTTTGCGTGTATTTATGCCCTGGACCTGTGGCATTGTTTCTGAGTGCAGGCATATGAGTATTGTATAATATAAACAGAATGAAGTGTTGGAGTGGATTCAGATATGCAACATCAAAAATCATTCAAGGTATAATTGGAATGAGATTGCAATCAGTTGCTGACATAACTGAACGCTTGGAAGGCGCAAATGTACCCTTGCAAGTTACCAAAATAATGTTGCCTTCCTTGGAATGATCTAAGAATATACCATGGTTCCTTGGAAGGATCGTGCATTGTGGATGCAATACGGCTAAATGATGTCTCAATTTGGAATCATTGCAAGGTACCTAAGGAATTTTCCGACATGCTCATGAGACTTTGGTTCCCAGTTTCTAAACACGGTATCAATGGCTGGGAGCCTAATTCGCAGAGTAAGATAAGTACATTGAGTCGATTTTCCTCCTCACGACTCTGAACATTTCGTTTGCATTGAGGTGTTCGTGATTCATCACCAGTTGTCCAGATCACTATTAGACCTCAAACATACCAATGCAAACTTTTGTTTCCTCGTTGCTATGTTATCATTCCTATCCTGGCACCATGTCGGTTATCGCGTCCAAGGTTGGATGAATTCGAGATTTTGCGAGCACACCATGCTGACTATGAGTGTGGTCAGGGTGTTCCTATGTGGTGGCCCTTGAGCGCAATACTTGTGTGATGGGAGTTTGGCATCATACAACACCCTGTTGTCATAACCCCAATGAGTTTTGTTCCAGTGATGCTACTTTCCGTACCGATGGTTATCTATCATCTATTGCCCATAAGCACATGCCACTTCACAGTTAAAATCCATGCTCACAATCTATCCAAGTAGTCTCGCACGTCTCAGGCTGTTGTTCTGGCATTGGTGAGTTGGGTGGTTTATTGGTAGCACACAAGGAAACCAACCAAACTTACCAGCACTAGCGATGCACATACCACATCATTTTGACGCTGACACACAGTCCACCATCTCTACTTAGTAGTTCTGCCAGTATGTCCTTCTTCGGCGGTTCCCTTTCTCTGTCTTTGCATGCTCAAGCACCACTCTCATAGCATTAAGCAGTTGATACGACTCTGCCTTCTCATGCTGAAACATTATTAGGTGCTTGTGTCATTCTGATACTGGGGTGTTGAGCTGTGATGCCTGTGTAAACACATGGGAAACACAACCCAAGTCGCCAGTGTTAACAAAGCCTGAAGCAGACGCCCTCTCAAGTATCACCAATTGGATCCACATACCCGGAGAAACTTTGCCATCAAACAGACTGAGCTGTTCGTCCGGTGTGTAAATCTCTTGTTCTGTCTCACTGCACACCTCAACTAGTCTCCATGCAGAATGAATAAGCAGCTACATGTATTCCTCTCCAACAGACTGGAAGGACTGTCCGGGATCACTGACCTAACTAACATATCCACATGCTTTGACAAAGAAATTGGGCAATACAGGATTGCCTAGGACAACGTCATGGCAAACAGTCGAAGCCGGTTCAGTCCCACTCATGCAAGCTGAAACCCCAGTTGATGGCATTCGTGACGCAGAGTGTTCTACTAGCACCAGTGCTATTGTCAAAATACTTTCTACCTTAATCAACATGGTGTTACATGCCAGTCATACGTCAGGCTTCACGGCGGCAGCGTCCTTGGAGAATGGGTCTCGAGTGACACTCATTGCACAAGAATTCTCGTATCACTCCTGGCCTGTTGAATTCTGAGTAGTAAGAACACGTCATTGATTGCAGTGTCAGGAAGACATTCAGAGCATGATCATGGCAAAAATGGTTGATGCTGACAGGTTGTGTGGGTCGGTGGGGCGCCAGCATCAGCAAAAAGCCTAGATCATCGTAGCCCCGGTGACAGCTATATAGAGCTATATAGCCACCATAGCGCCATGTAGCCTCAAGCTCTGCTACATACTACTACAGTAGTCACAAAGCCAAACAGTGTGCTACAGGTAGCTACAGGAGCTACCATGTCCGCTACAGGTGGCTACAGGTGGCTTCATAGCGCAGTAGCATTCTGCAATTTAATTAGTGGCCACTGATGCGCAAAACATCTCGCCATCGATGGACTCGTTCAAATAAAAATAATTTGCGGCCTCATATGCATTACCACTTCTCAACCTCGGCTCAACTGACAGACCCATCTTCGGTATAAGATGACAAGGCCTAACAATTTCATTGACATGAATAACCACAGCATTGCGGCAACAATGGCGGGTCGAATGTGACACTTGTCGCATTCCAGAAGAAGGGTCTGGTGCCCTGAAAGGTGTGAACCACTTGATGTATGCAAGGGCTCTGGTGTATGTGCCAAACTGACGAGGGAGGGAGAATATAGCACACACTTGAGCCACTCTCAGACCTGCAACAGTTACTATCAAACATCGCCCTTCAGATAACTCCCAAAAACTTACCATCCAGAGTCCGCAAACATGCAGGATGAGGTCTGTCAGATATCAACCCCATTTCAAACCGAGCTGGACAACCAGGCTTATGGCCTGATGACAATATCTCAGGTGTTGCTCTAAGCGCCTCCACATTGGTATGTCACTAACTCGGAGGTCAGGTGGCGTCACAATGACCACTTGCCGGTAAATGTCAAATGGTCCTGCACCCCTGGTACGACAGTACAGCCAGGGAGATTCTTGTGTATGAAAGACTGGAGAGCTGTGAAAAAATCGGTAGCACCATGTGATGTTACAATGTCTTGAACCGATTGATGTGGATGCGCTGGAGCCTTTGCAAGGACATGCGTCAATTGCGATCGTTCGGCATATGTGGAGTCGTACGTGTTTGAAACATGCTTGGTCCGGCCTGCAGCTGAGAGAGGCACATGTTCCAGCCAATCCAGATATGTACCCTGCAAGAAGACGGCTTCCTGGTGTTGAAGCCACAAGACCATTTGTTCCTCATAATCACGTTTATTGCTGGCACGGTAAACGTCCTTTGCAAAGTCTATATGCAAGCGCTCAGGAAGTTCTGTGTTGAAACCATCAGCTGCACCAAACAATGTGATTGACTGGACGTAATGAGAGAGTTGGTGCAGTTTGGGGATGTTGAAATGTTCATGAATAGACAGTTCCTTGAGGACCTCCTTGTTAGCGTGAAATACTGATAGTGCTGTTTGTAGGGCTTCGAGCGAATCCACCGTGTGAATTCGCAGTTGCGCATAATACACGAAGTCCAGAATCAAACGAGTAACTACCAAGACCCGACTACCCGGCATATGATATCAGCCACATATACCATGTTCGAGACTCGAAATACACACACCTAGGCACTGCTCCAGTGAGTAAGCCTACAAAGACTCGCTGCATTTCTTTATGTTCACTTCCGGTCCATTGCTTCACAGTCGATATTCTTTTCTTGAAGTGCCGGAGCCCTGGGTAATTTGGCATTGCCTTGAAACGTGCGTCCATCTCTTCCTCCCCGATTATTTGCTGACACCACCTCACAAGGTGGTCCTTGAACACACTTTTATGAACTTGGTGCAAAAGATCTGGAGTGAACACTAGGAAGATGTCGGCATGAGGCATTTTGGCCCAGAAAGGCTTGTAAATGCTATGTAGTCCCATTTCCTCGAATTCAGGCGGATGCTGACTGATCTTACGCCTTTGCAAGACATCCATCGTGGTCTCAGTATCACGCATAACTGAGTCCAGCACATCCCCTCGCTCCTCTGCTGCCACAAGACACTTCAGACATTGATTTTCCTTACAACAGGCCACCAAACACTGTTCAGGGAAATCGGCCACATATGCGGCCGGAATCGGGTATACACGACATATCCATGAGTCAGCACACACCATCTCGACGCCATCATTGCCGGTGGCAATCAGAGGATGGAGTAGGAGGGCCATGCAGTGATGGAAGAGACGGTATCCAGCCAGGGACCGTTCTTCATGAGTGAAGCAGTCCAGCTTGACCGCAGGTATGTATCCGATCAGTACAGTCACATGTGAAGAAGCCTGATGCCTTTTTGCTTTTGCGACATTGCCAATAGACATATACACAGGCCACGCAGACTTATCGCCTCGGAACTGTGACAACATCATTTTGTCTGAAGACAAAATAATCGGAGCTATAGTCGCTCCTTCAGGCAATGCTTTCTACATGCGAGGTGAGTCAATTCCTTCAATGCTTCTCTAGATTAATCTTACCTGTTTCTTGCCCCACCAGTCTGCTGTCCACATCTCGTCAATAACTCTATGTTGGCCTGCACGGTCAGAATATGCTTTGGGCAGGTGAGTAGGCCATATCCGCCTTGAAAGCAGGGTTTCCAATGAGCTCCTTCACATATTCAACAGGATCTCGACTCCACAGCTCAACCTCTTCTTCCAAAAACGCTCCATCCTCATCCTCATGATTACCACAGACAGTAACCTTTTTACAGCTCCACCCCGGACCATGTTGAAGTTCGTCTATTCTTTGCAAGAATGAACAATTGTTGTGAAACGATGGCTTCATGCAGTGTTGTGTCTGTCAACAGCATCAATACGGTGAGTTCCATTCTTGTTCAAGGCTCTTGACGTACTATGGGTAGTTTTAGAAATTTGTCGGTCCGTGTTTGTCCCAGATTTTTGACAATCCACTGCGCTAAACCCCACTCTTCCCTGGTGAGTCTTCTACTCAGTACATATCTGGCCAGCATGTCCAAGGACTTATGCATCCTCAAAGGGAGACCATGGATCTTCGCCACCTTGCTGTTGTTCCCTTCTACGTCTTTCAAATCTGGTCTCCCCTTTGCCAAATCCCCAGCCTGCATTTGGCTGGGGTTCAATATAGCGGCCAATGTTGAGTGATGTACCATCCTCATCATCAAGTTCTTCGACTGAAATGCAACGAATTTTGGTGAGTGTAGGGTTGGTGTCCATTTCAGGACCTGAGTGTGCACAAACATGGTGTGGGGCTATGTCTTCATGGCCAAAGTCTACATCAGGTGTGTGCAAATCCTCCGCCTCTATATCTTCAATCATTGATGTCCACTCCCTTTGGCATTCAGGCCGTCCTACAATGTGTCTTTTGAGACCCTCGTGCATAGACGTGACCTTGCCGCAAAACATACAATTAGGCATGGCAGGTTAGTTGTTGCCAACAGTGACTGGTTTCACATCCTAATACGCTGGTTTTCAGGCACTAGAACCACCAACATGGATGCAGTTCATAATGGGGCTCCATCTTTCATTTCACTTGGTTGGTTACTCGCCTCCTGTGGAATGCGTGTATCCAGGAATGTGTGAGTCCAGAGGCAAATGATGATATTGTATTTGGTTGGGATTACCCTGAGGCAAGCTGGAATGCTATCAGGTTCGTCCATTTTTGCTGCTGAAGGTCTTCGTCGCTAACCTTCTGGTTACTCACCTCCTGTGGAATGCGTGAGGTGAATGATGATATTGTATTTGGTTGGGATTACCCATCCATTTTTGCTGCTGAAGGTCTTCGTCGCTAACTTCACGTCCTCGCCCTTGGAGAACAACGCAACCTTCATCTTTTGTTTCTCTTTTGTTTCTAGGGTGGATATGTTGCTGGTTCGGCAGCCTATCCTCCCTCTTACCAGCGGTGCGCCACATTTCATTTCACTGGTATCTGGTTACTATCATATTTGGCCTGGTCCTTTTCTTCCTCTCGTCTCATATCTTTCTCCCTTGGAAAATGCTGAGTTCATGCATCACATCACATGGCTTTACTTCTGATTTTGCCCATTAGGTTTCTATTTTATTTTGCCCATTTCTGTTCAACCCCATATGCCCATGGCCTGGAGTCCATTTTTCATTTTAAAAAGGCGAGTTCATGCATCACGTAGCTTTCTTTCTATTGATTTCACCCATGGCCTGGAGCCTGCAGTCCATCTTTCATTTTAAAAAGGTGAGTTCATGCTTCACCTAGCTTTTCTTTGGCTCATCTTCTCTACTCTGCAGAGTTCAAACATCGCATGGCTTTGCTTTTACTCCTCTTCTCGATTCTGTTGCTTACTCCTCTTCTCGATTCTTTCATGCACACCTTGCCTTTTCGTTTTATCTATTTCATGCCCGACTGATGACTCACTTCAATTTAATACCCATACGCGCCATCATTCATACCCAACTGATACTACTAACAGACTAAACAAGTGTGGTTATACCATGAGACACGAGCAGGATTTCCAAAAGTTGGACTTTGCGTTGTAGAGACTCGATCCTGGGTAGCCTCACAATGGCACATATTGCAACATAGGTCGAGTCTACAGTATCATGCATGTAACACGACACTTGCGCGATAAACGCGACGTTCGCGCAACGCGCGCGACTTAGGTGACACTTCCGCAACATAGGCGACACTTGCGCGACTTGCGCGCGCTTTAGGCGAATTTTCCCACGCCTAAGCGCTATAGGGCGCCTGACTTCCCACTGTGTTTTCCCATGTCCAACCAAGTTCCCAGGTATGCATTTCTCCATTTATCATTTATTTCAACATCGTACCATGTTTATTTTCACTTGGTACACATTTTTCATTACACATTTTTTTACTTAACACAACACACATTACCACAGACCATCATCATAGACAGTCACCATCTCCGAGTTTTTATTATGTTTTGAATAAATCATCGCAAGCCCTAGTAGCAGCTAGCTCTAGTGGCCATATCCGCATCAGTTGTCTTATCAGCATCTCAGTCCACGTCTTAACATCTCACTATCGCTCGCATACCGCTTTCACCCAGTTCCGCTTTTCGACGCGCGACTTTCCCGCGCTTCGCGCGCCTATAGCGCCTTTGTTCCCGCGCTTTCGCCTTATCACGTGCTTTGCGCATTCCCCCTAGAGTTGACCAGTGGATATTTGCTTTCTCCGCTTCCCCTAAGGGACGAACATATCGCACTCATATTTTCCTCCCTTCAACAATTATATCAGCTGCACCCTCAGCTGAGTTGAAGATCCTTCAGCGTGCTTCTTCACACTTCTTCTTCTCTGCATTCCAGCGACCAATTATTAACTCCCTTACATATGCTTGGTGAGTTAGTGGACCTTGCATGCATTCTGATATTTGCGCTTTGCAAGCCTTGTCACAACGTCTGAGCTCAGCATCCCAACGTTCCACCACCAGGGTTCACAGGTAAGTCTGTGAGGTGGGGATGGGTCCTGGGGTCTGACGATGTGGGTTCAAGGGATAATGAAGATCAGGAGGATATGGTCCCTGCTTGGTGCATTTGAGGCCTTCCTTAGCCTGTCCTGGTGCAACGATGACATGGAATGGGCGACTTGGAGGTGGAACAGGCCTGCTGGATGGTCAGTGTCCATCAAGGCATCTCTTGGAGGAACGTACCGTTGCCTGAGTTCAAGTCCATTTTCCTCCATTTCGCTAAACTGCGGGAAGGGGTATCTATGAGACTGGTTAGTGTGTGGTGAGTCTCAGACTACTCAGTCACTGACTGTTTGTTCATTTGGGGATTGTAGGGTTAATGGTAATGTAATTCAGTTGCACTTTATAGTGTTGCACTGCAAATGAAAACACTAACTTGAATCAACAGAACAGTTCTTTGTTGATCAGACCTTTGTTGATCAGACCTTTGTTGATCAGACTCCACGGCACCATATTTAAAGGCATGTCATCAATTTTTTTGCACTGCAGACTACCCTGAACCTGATAGATGGCAGTGAAAATGTACTCTAAAAGGTCGTCCTCTAAAAAGTCGCCCCCAAACGCCATATCAAAGGCCCAGGACGACTTATGTGCCCAGATGGTATCAACCGCTGGTTGCACCATGAGTGGTTGTCACCGCTGGCCCACCAAAAAAGAGACTTATCGACGTATGTAATCCTCAGGTGTTGCTCGTCATGTTTTTTTACTGACTTCTACCTAACAGTTTCAAAATCTCAGCGAGGTGATGAGCCCCATAAAGCTATGCAAGCAAAGATTGGCAAACATAATTTAAAGGCACTGTGCACTACATACAGGACAAATCTAGAGGTATTTGATAACAAGCCCACTGAGCTGCTAAGCGATGTTGACAGCGATGAAGATAACATGGTCAGCATCATATTCTTCCTGGTGCTCCATTGCTCACTACGACGTATCAGTTCACCGATTGGTGTGTACCTGCCAAGCCATACGGGCCACAGGTACTCGCTTTCAGTTCAAGCAAAACACTTCCTCCGGTATTCACTCGAAAGACAAAAGGTAAGCAAGTTTGGCTGGTTGTGTCTTGTACTAACTGTACTAACTATGTTTCATCATATTCTCCCATATTGGCTCAAAAGACGAAAGGTAAGCCATCTGCGCTGGTCATGGCTTATACTGACAGACTTTCATCAGATTCTGTCCCTGTGCTGGCTGCTGGTGATGCCAGCAGTGAAGACAGTAGTGACAGTGGTGACAAGACCTATGACCATAACGACAAATGACCCAACGGGAAATTATTTCTCAGTGATGACGACTCCATCGACAATGAAGAGGTCAAAGACTCTTCACAACACATTGACAGGGTCAAGGACCAGCTGGAGATCTCCGATGAAGACATCAAGGCGAAGATGAAAGGTTTCAATGGAAGACGTCACCGATTGAAGGCGGGAGATTTTGATCATGTCACCAAAGATGTGCTCACCACCGCCACATCTGTTTACCGCTGTCTTGTCGTCACTTGGGCACCTTTTCCCAATACGCTCTTGGTCGAAACCAAGCTAGCGAAACGTGCTTGGCATGAGGCATCTGATATCACTGGACTTACCATCCAACTCACGCCTTCATTGGTGAAAATGGTAAGCACTCTGTTAGGTTCTCATCCTGACCTTGTTTGATGTTTTGTGACGGCGTAGATGACGAGGCGCACGTCCCATGTGCACGGAGAGCTCAAAACAAAGATGCATGGTCTCACAGCATTGTTTTTTGGCTTCCGGTCCAGCCATTCAATGGCGGCTATTAAGGCAAACCATGACTTGGCTAAGTCATTGAAGGAAGGGAATTCATTTGTTTTTAAGGTATGTCATCTTGACCATCATTAGGCAATGTCTGACTGTGCGAGTGAAAGGATTGGGAGTTGAAATCCGGCATATACAAAATGGAATTGATCCAGAAAGCAATTAATGATATGTGGTTTGCAAATCGCTGTGACGAAGGTATACTCTATGCTAAATACTTTGATCCTTTACCTGTGAAATTGATGGCGCTGGTACTCATGGTGGTGAGTACTTTGGAGATGTCTGATGGTTGGCGGCAGCTAACGTCTGACAGATGGAATGTTGTGTTGACGAGTGGACCACTGGAGTCAGGGAAGACGTTAAATTCTCCTCGGTGTCTTATGGTCCGGTCTACCTTGCACATCTCAACTCCTTGCAGCAGTTCGAGGAGCGCACTGCTCCCTACAAATTACTGGATAGAATTCTTGATAATCTGCTTGACATGGCTCGGTGCATATCCTACTTGCATTGATCATTAGCCTGACCTAACATTGACAATAAGGTTACATGCTGGTGGTATAAACCCATTCAAGACAGCAGAATCTGTCGACGCCTTTGCCAATGATATATTTGATGAGGCGATCCGAGAGTATGAAGTCAAAATGCAAGCGGCGCGGGATGGGCGTCCTGAAGGGGTAGAGGCTGGTGATGCTGCTGGTGATGCTTGATGCTTCAGGAGGCCACTGGTTATTACGAGTGTCGGAGGTACGGTTGTATTTTTGCCACCCTGAATACATTCAATTTCCCTGCTCCTACTACGTTGGATCCTGTGGTACTATGATAAGCTACTGTAGATATATGTAGCGCGCATAGTGGCCTGTAGCTCTGTAGCCGTGTGCTACAAGATGCTACTGTAGTACTATGTAGCATGCGTAGTGGCCTGTAGCTCTGTGACTGTTTGCTACAAGAAGCTACTGGAGTTACCTGTAGTACTATGTAGCACACGTAGTGGCCTGTAGCTCTGTAGCCGATTGCTATTGGACACTGGCAAACTCGTGGCTGGTCCATTGGAGAGCTTTTCTGGCATGGGCACAGTTCAATTCTCCCCAGACTCGAAGAAGCTCGCAGCCAAGTCATCTGTGGGGAGGTTGCTTGAGGTCTGGAATGTCCAATCATGGACATTGGATCATTTGGATGTGAGGAGAGGGGAATGGAGGACAGGACACATCACATATGCGCCAATATTTTGGACAAACAACAACAAAAACATCTTGGCCGCATTCAGCTTCACTGATGCCAACATCATAACTATCTACCAGTTTGACACATCAACACTGTAGACTGTCGGAACTCCCTTCAGAGGGCACACCCACACTGTTACTTGTCTAGCACTTTCATTTGATGAAGCTCTTCTCGCTAGTGCTTCCTTTGACAACACCATCAAGCTGTGGGATTGCGAGTTCCACCAACTTCTCACCTCCTTCGACATTCAGAAGATCAGTACCCTTGTCCTCTCACCCAATTCGAGCCGACTAGCTTACATGACATATGCCAATGATGATCACGAGATCTACATCTGCGATACTTCACTGGATGTCCTTACTCAGGCCAGTGTATGCCTTCCCCGCTTGTCCATATGCTAGTATTCTCTTACAGACCATTGCATGCAACAAGTCAGCTCGCAGGGATCTACCACCTCCCTCTACCAGTTTCAGCCATTAGAGCACAGAGTCCGGATCCTCGACCGACAGCCTACACACAGGAACATTTCGCATACAGCCTACTGACACGCAGTCCTCTACAGTAGGTTCATGGTCATCCCAGTTATGCCCAAACCATCGAGAGCTTCTTCCCTCCTCTTCCCATTCGCATACAGTCTTCTCTGCTCGTAATGATGAGCCCCACGATCTCCCTCCTGAAGCAATCCTCCAAAACCTCACAGGATACATCACTAAGGATGAAGACTATCCTACTGCTCATGGTGGGATTGGGGAGATCTGGAAATGTACCTATCACATAGATCGGAGATCAATCAAAGTTTGTCTGCAGTGTTGTTTTCTCATCAGTCTAAAATTGACAATTGGGCAGGTCACAGTGAAAGCATTGCAGGCGTACACGACTGATCAACTTGGTGCAGCGAAGGCGAAAAAGATCAAGGTGAGTGGCATGACAAAAGACTGAATCTATCACTTACATCACAGGGTGTCACTTCGTAGAGAATAAAGCATGAACTCAGGATATGTGCCAACCTCAACCATCCAGATATTCTGCATGTTTTTGGTTATACAAATGGCTTCGGCCCATTTATAGCAATAGTCAGTCCTTGGGCGGAGAATGGTAACTTGACAGTCTATATGGAGCGCAAGGGTGTGGCTCTTACTCTCATTAGACGATTCCAGCTGGCAAGTCATCTCTTCATGTATTTTGGATAGACCATAAAACTGATGGAAAACTTAGCTGAGAGACATCATAGCTGGTCTGCAATATCGTATGTGATAGACTAAGTTACTGTTGCCGGACCAAGCCATAACTACTCCTCATAGTTCACGCCAACAGTGTCATTCATGGTGACTTCACTGGGGTGAGTTCAATCTTCTCGATGGCTTCAATTTCATTGAGATGTGAGCTCCAGCCTAACGTGCGTTAATTTGCAGGTAAATTTCACCTAATTGACTGTAATTTACTCTACAGACTCCCATGTCTCCCACTCGTCATCCATTGGTGTCGTCGATGAAGCTGCAGTGTCAGACGTCAGCTTGGATGGAGGTCCGTGACTCGCGGAAGCGGTTGGCTTAAGCTGCACAGGCTGGTCTGAGAGAATATCGAGAAGGAATCCTGATGATAACTTACAAGGGCTGCATGCTGTAACAGCATGCAGCCCTTGTAAGTTAGGAACACCGATTTTCGCCTTGATCTCTATGAGTCGCTTAAAACACGCATGGCCAGCAATGGCACCATCTCACTCACCTTGGTGAGTTTGTCTGTTTAGACCATATTCCTTCCACAGAGCTGACATTTGACCACAGAGAACAGTCAATTGAATAGACGCCCATGATAATATATAAACACACACAGTCCATCCAGATCAGACATATACACGGAACGCCCCTCGAATTTTTCTTCAATACCAAGCCCTCGTGCTCCATCCCCAAACTCTGTCCTTGCGGCGTTTGACTAGTTTTCGCCTTCATCGGGTTGCAGGACGTGGACAAGTTTATATTTTGGAAGCAACGCTTTTAATATCCACGAGGTTGATTGGTGCGTTGGGTTTTCGTAGGGAGAAACGGATGCAGATGCTGACTCAGTGATGTAGGCGTCTGCAAGTGGCACTCGACTATGCTAATTGGCGTATTCACCTGAGCTTCGACAACGACGCACTCGACCCGGTTTTTGCGCCTAACGCGGGAGCACTAGTAAGCATTTTTGATTCTTGACTGTTAGTGCTGGTTTTGGTAGGATGGAGTCAGTCATATGGTTTGCACGCTTTTGATGTGCGCACCGAAAGTGCCTTTTGATGGAGACGTGTCTTGAAAGTCACAATTATTTTCCATGTATCCTCAGTCAGATACCTGACGCTGCAGGCACTCGCTACATGCGTGAAAGAAGCACATTGGCTTGTGCAGATCCTTTATACGTCGTTTGTCCTGTTTCATTGGGACTTGGAGCTACAAACACTTTGATCCGTTGTAGGAATGGCCATGTTTACAACAGGCGATATCTTCCGACATGAATGTATTCCGAGTCAAATCAAATGTGAAGTCAATGACCAGCACTCACCAAAATTCTGGGTATGGGCACGTCTTTTATGGATTTCAGCGTCAGAATGACATTTATGTAAAGCTCAGAACACTGAATTCAAAGGTGATCAGGGCGTGATCAAGGCAAAAATGGTCGATGCCGACAGGTTGTGTGGGTTGGTGGGGTGCCAGCCTTAGATGCTTGAGCACGATCCAACTGTGGGACGAGGAAAGGTGGTCTTCGTGTGGTCTCCATGCAATGTCAATAACAATTGTTCACGCGTCCGCTGGCATTCAAAATAAAACTGCAATGACGAGCGAGCAACGAAAAAGGTGAATGCTAAAGGCTGAATGTTGGACCACCCAGGTAGGCCATAGCCATCAAGCATACAGCAACACTGACGGGTGGGAAATAGAAACGAGATTGACGCCTTAGCACAGGAAGCTCTCATGGCTGTGAAAGGCTGCGATAAAGGAAGCAGAAGCAGAATTAGAGATACCACATCTTGAACGACTGCGGTACCCGCATTTTAAAATTTCTCAATCTATCATTGATAGCCTCTTGGTAATATCAATTTTCATTCGCACTTCCAGCTCGAATGAACTGACGATTGGCTCTACTAGACTCTAGAGGCAAAAAAAATTAAGGATCTTGAAAATAATTAGCAACATCAGGCTTACAACACACAAGGAGAGCTCACCACGGGTCCTGCAAACACAATCAAAGAATCCCTTGCTCGTACTTGACTACGTCCGGGTTTCGCTCGCGGAGACGGAGGCATGGCATCTACATCGACGAAGGCAACCGCCACGAAATCGATTCTGACACCATCAATGACTTTGAAGGGCCATAAAGACTCGATTCGATCTATATCCTACTTTCCAGACGGCCAGCGAATGATCAGCGGATCTTATGATAAGACCGCTCGACATTGGGATCTAAAGGCAGGAAAGGAGATCGAGGAAGCACGGGGTGTTTGTGAGAAGGAGGTATGGGCAGTGGCAGTATCAAGGGATGGTCGATTGGTTGTCACCGCTGGTGGAGATTCGAGTAGTGCGGAGCTGAAAGCTTGTGAGGTTGAGACGGGGATTGTGAAAACATTCAAAGGCCACTCGGTTACGATCAACTGCATTGATATCTCTGTGGACAACACCCTGCTGGCGAGCGGGGAAGATAATTTTACAGCACGGATATGGAACATGGACACCGGCAAACTCGTGGCTGGTCCACTTACGAGCAATGATTGGGTGGGCGCAATTCGATTCTCCACAAATTCGAAAAAGCTTGCGGTCAAGTCGTTGGTGGGGAAGCACCTTGAAGTCTGGAATGTCGACACCCAGGAATTGGATGTTAAGACAGGCCTGACATATGGTGGACAAGAATTCACGTATTCGCCGGTACTCTGGACAAACAACAACAAAACCATCATAGCCGCATTCAGCTTCACCACAGATGACAATGTCAGGATAATCTACGAGTTTGATGCGTCAACGCTAGACCCTGTCGGAATTCCTTTTGAAGGGCACACTGAGGTTGTCGACAGTCTAGCACTTTCGTTTGATGGAGCTCTCCTTGCCAGTGGTTCTTTCGATGATACCATCAAGCTCTGGGATTGCGAGTCCCGCCAGCTTCTCGCCTCTTTCGACGTTCAGAATCTCATTACCCTTGTCCTCTCACCCGATTCGCGCCAACTAGCTTACGTGACATGCACCAAAGATGATTACAAGATCTACATCTGCGAAACTCCACCTGACATCCTTGCTCAGGCCTGTGTACGTATTCCAAACAAACTTCTACTAATCGTGTGCTAACATTTTCTTACAGACCAGTGTACGCAAAAAGTCAGCCTGCAGCCATTTACCATCCACTCCCATCAGTTTCGCCTCACAGTCCGAATCCTGGACTGACAGACACGCCGGAACCTTTCGCGTACAGCCTACAGACATGCGACCGCTTCCTGATATGCAGCAGTGGCCTGCTGACATGCAGTCATCGTCTGATAAGATGTGGGGGAAACACTACGAACTGGGATTCCAGCCACTGGAGACACTGCATTCTAATGGAGGCCCTACGGCAGATCTCCAAAGTACAACAATATCGCCTGTCATAGCTCTTCTTCCTCCACTGCAGATACCCTCTTCTACAGTAGGTTCACGGCTATCCCAGTTACGCCACGAACCCCGCGAACTCCTTCCCTCCTCTTCCCATGCGCATACAGTCTTATCCGCTTGTAACGATGAGCCCCATGATCTCCCCCCTGAAGCGGTGCTCCAAAACCTCACAGGATACATCACTAAGGACGAAGACTATCCTACTGCTCGTGGCGGGTTTGGGGAGATCTGGAAATGCACCTATCATATAGATCGGAGATCGGTCAAAGTTTGTATGCAATGTTGTTTGCCTGTCCGTCTAAATTGACAATTGGGCAGGTCGCAGTGAAAGCGTTTCAGGCGTACACGGCTGATCAACTTGGTGCAGCGAAGGCGAAAAAGATCAAGGTGAGTGGCATGACAAAGGACTGGATCTGTAACTTATACCACAGGGCGCCACTTCGTAGAGGATAAAGCGTGAACTCAGGATATGTGCCAGCCTCGACCATGCAAATATTCTGCGCGTTTTTGGTTATACGTATGGCTTCGGCCCATTTGTAGCAATAGTCAGTCCTTGGGCGGAGAACGGTAACTTGACCGTCTATTTGGAGCGCGAAGGTGTGGCTCTTCCTCTCGTCAGACGATTCCAGCTGGCAAGTTCTCTCTTCATATATTTTGGGTTGACCACAAAAACTGATGGACAACTTAGTTAAGAGAAATTATAGCTGGCCTGCGATATCGTATGTGATAGACTAAATTTTACTGTTACCGGACCGAGCCATAACTATTCCTCATAGTTCACGCCAACAGTATCATCCATGGTGACTTCAATGGGGTGAGTTCGATCTTCTCGATGGTTCCAATTTCATTGAGACGTAAGCTCCAGCCTAACGTGCTGATCCATGGTGATGGCACTGCTTGTGTTGCTGACTTCGGTCTTTCGTTGATGTATTCCGAGTTTATAAGCGCCTCTCAAGCTTCCTGGACGTCCACGCTCAAAGGAAACATGCGATGGATGGCTCCTGAAATGCTTGTCGAGCGGGAGGATGGCTCTCAAGCTCGGCCAAGCGAGCAAAGTGATATGTATTCATTCGGCGGTATCATGCTGCAGGTACGTCTGGGTTCATTTTGCCTGTCATTGATATCACGAGCTCCACTCGTAGGTCCTCACCAACAAAGTACCCTATTATCACCTCACGAATGATGCCGCCATCATACTTTGCATAGCAAAGTCGCAAACGCCTGCCCGATCTCGTTATGCTGAGGTCCCTGAACAATACTGGAAATTTATCGAACGATGTTGGTCTACTGCTCCTCAGGACCGTCCCTCGACAGAGCGAGCTGACACTGTGATCAGGAATGAATTTTACTCGCTGTCTAGACTTAGTTAATTCTTGCACTGTCTCGCATTCAGAAATCTTGTTACAGTGCAGCTATATGGATAAACCTAGGTACGCCTGTATAGTACGTAGGCTCCCCCAAAAATTTCTCTTATAATATTGGGGCACACTTATACCGTGACGGGGAAACTTCAGTCATACAGTCATTATTGGAGTCGGGAGACTCATTGTCGCTGACCAATGACGAAAAAATTATCCTGTTCGCGAATTCTGCGATGACCTAATTCAACATGCAGGCGGGCACTGGCTGGTCTGACTGAGTATCTCGTTGTCAGACCTTCGAGATAGAGGGAACATGACTGGTTCATGTTCTACTAGTGCCAGCCCTGGTGTCACAACTCCCTGTAAGTACGCTGGCTTACTAGAGTTCCCATAATCTACATAAATACTGTCCGCGATACTGAAACACAAGCTTTCAGTATCACTGTCTTTTGGCGTAACAGTTAAGGGACGACAGTCTTAGCTAAGTTACACTCCATCGTATAGCTCTATACCATTCTGTTCTGCCCTCGTCTTACGTCAGGCTTTGCACCAGTGGCCTTGGAGAGCGGGTTTCAGGCGTTGCACGAGCATCACCAGGCTTAGCCTTTTGAATTCTGGGACAGGTACTTCAGTTGGGCACACCGACACTTAGCACTTTCATTTGATGGAACTCTCCTGGCCAGTGCTGCAGATACTACCATCAAGCTGTGGGATTACGAGTCCCGTCAACTCCTCGCTTCCTTCATCGTTCAGAATTTCATTGCCCTTGCCCTTTCACCCGACTCGTGTCAACTAGCTTATGCGACATACGCCAAAGATGATTGCAAGATCTGTATCTGCGATACTCCACCCGATGTCCTTACTCAGGCTACTAGTGTACCTGCAATATATCCTGTTCGTGTGCTAATATTACCTTACAGACTAGTGCACGCAAAAGTTGGCTGTCTGTGATTTATTAAAGTACGTGCCTTATTATTTTACTCGTTGCACTACTTCATCTGTCGCTATGATCGCTGCAGTCTGACGCAACTCGTCGTCCTCCTGCTGGGCGCCGCAGACCACCAATATCTGTCATACATATGCTGCCGAGACCTTTGCCCGCAATAGACCCGCAGCAAACCGTTTTCGTTCGCCTTCGCAAATTTCTTCCTTTCTCGTCTCGCACAAACGCAGCACACCCTGTTCGGAACGATCAACTTCGTAATCCCTTAGATGTACGTCTCTTTTCTTGTTTATGTTGGATTTGATTCGACGCTCGCGTTGCAGTTCTCGGCTACATTGCCCCTACCCCCTCTCTCAGGGCACACCTCAACTCAGGGACGTCCAGATATGAATTCCGGAGAGAGCGTGAGTTTCGGCTACTTGCCGTCACATATTCGACTCACTCTTTTTAGTCTCAACCACTACCAATCACTCGATCGTCTCCCTCACCACCCACCACATTCACATCCCGCATACACCAGCTATCATCCTGGTGGCCCGTTCGTGGAGGTAATGCACAGTCCCGCAACGTCGATGTCCCTCTCGCGCAGGCTAAAGAGGTATGTTCATGCATTTTTCACATTGTATCCAAAATATAATGCATGAACTTACAGCGCAATGCTGCAGCGGATGCTTCGAAAAAAGATGAAGATATAGTACCCTCGACCCTCCCTCACCGAACCCTGATTCACAACCACCAGTCGCTGCGGTGCAGACTAGCACGGAAGAGCATGGAGGCGACCGGTCATGTTTCTGCTTCTAGCATTGTGCATTTGACATTCCCTGTACTTTAATATTATCGTCCACTCACACTCAGTATTCTATAAGCATGGATACATATGTTTTGTGTAACTTTAGATCTCACCCTGTGTTTAGCTTGATGCGTTGGTACATGAGCGAGGCACATCAGTGAGCTATATGCTCATGATGCGGTGCTTTGCCTCTTTGTAGTAAGAGCTTCGAGATTAAGTAACGTCTATTTTCTCTGGTAAACGAATCAGCAATTACATTCCTTCCTCTCTGGCTGCGTATGATGTACACCTTCGCTAAACTGAGATCGACATCCCAGAAGTTTTGCACGCTGATCCATGTATCGCGTCTGGTTGGACTAAATAGAATATAAGAAATTCGAGATGCAAGAGGCTAAAACACCGACCCAAAGTACAAATCATGGGAGCGATACCGTTGCGACGTGATAAATCGAGTTGATCAGCGATGCCAATCAATATTCCGTCTTGGAAAAGCTTGGCAGTGTTGGTGGTCGAGGGTGACAATGTTGAGGGGAGACATCTGGAAGTATAACAGCTTCGCTGATACTTGCGCCGTCGACGAAGCACACAAGAACAAAGGTAGTCGTTCATTCATTCTTTCATAATGTGTTTCTGGCATTCCGTGCCCAATGCTCCGCGCTGGGAGTCAACATTTTACCAAACAGAGCCTGGAGGCTGGTGGTCAAGGATATCACGTTTTGGTTGATGTAGAGCTTACCCTTTCGCGCCCTCACAGCTGCCTTTCAGTGGGACAGACTCTAGTTTTCCCTTGTCGCACTCCAGGTACGCAGGTCTTGCCTGCAGAAAGGCTCGGTGTTGCACATTTGCAAGCAAGAAGCGCCAGAATGTCTGCGTCGCGTGGGTCGTGTCGGAAATGCCATCTGTGGTGGGGAAAGCAAGATGGAATTTGGATGGAAGTCTGTTGCGTGGTTGGCTATTAAAATTGCGGAGGTTGTCAGCCATACAAAAGTGGGTTTGGGACTGGATAATTCCAAGCTTCGACTTGGGAGCAAAAACATTCTAGGCTATCAACACATCGTCGTGCACTATAGAGTTGATTCTCGTTAGGGTACGGGTGAATCCGAGTGGAAGCGCGCGCATTTGACATCGGTTTGTACTTGGAATGCATTTTCAAAACCTAAGGCTGAAAGTACGAAATAGACTCGATCGAATGTCTTCCCTCATAGACGCTGCAAGAGAAATATTAATGAGGACGCTCTCATGATCGCTAGGAAGCCTTGTTGGTGTTTCAGATGACGATGATACCTGTCGGACTTTGAAAAAACAAAGTGTAGAACGACTATCGTCCGCAACTGCACCTTTGGAAAGCATCACCGACTCATCCGACTCCACTATGAATTTCACATGAACTGTTCGAAAAAATTGTTGGTGCTCCCTAGGTGTGATATCAGACGGTTCAATAATTATTCTATCCATATGTACATGGTAGTCCAGCACATCCCCTCCCCGAAATACAACAGCATGCAGCCCTTGTAAGTTAGGAACACTGATTTTCGCCTTGATCAACAAAAACTTAATGAGTCGCTTAAAACACGCATGGCCAGCAATGGCACCACCTCACTCACCTTGGTGAGTTTGTCTATTTAGACCATACTCCTTCCACAGAGCTGACACTCGACCACAGAGAACAGTCAAATGAATAGACGCCCATGCTAATATATAAACACACACAGTCCACCCAGATCAGATATATACACGGAATGCCTCTCGAATTTTTTCTCAGTATCAGCCACTCGTGCACCATCCCCAGACTTCGTCCTTGCGACGTTTGACTAGTTCTCGCCTTCATCGGGTTGCAGGATGTGGACAAAGTTATATTTCGGAAGCAACGCTTCCAGTATCCACGAGGTTGATTGGTGCGTTGAGTTTTCGTAGGGAGAAATGGACGCAGACACTGACTCAGTGATGTAGGCGTCTGCAAGTGGCACTCGACTATGCTAATTGGCGTATTCACCTGAGCTTCGACAACGACGCACTCGACCCGGTTTTTGCGCCTAACGCGGGAGCACTAGTAAGCATTTTTGATTCTTGACTATTAGTGCTGGTTTTGATAGGATGGAGCCAGTCATATGGTTTGCACGCTTTTGATGTGCGCACCGAAAGTACCTTTTGATGGAGACGTGTCTTGAAAGTCACGATAATGTGTATTATTTTCCGCGTATTGTGAGTCAGATGCCTGACGCTGCGGGCACTCACTACATGCGTGAAAGAAGCACATTGGCTTGTGCAGATCCTTTATACGTCGTTTGTTCCGTTTCATTGGGACTTGGAGCTACAAACACTTCGATCCGTTCTAGGAATGGCCAAGTCTCCAACGGGCAGACGATATCTTCCTACATGAATTGATTCCAAGTCAAATCAAATGTGAAGTCAATGACCAGCACTCACCAAAATCCCGCAGGTGCGCAGTGGCCTTACAGGATACTACATCCGGGAAGCGATTCATGAAACTAAGTTTCTCGTCGCGCTTGACTGAATGGTACGTCTGTTACTTTCGTTCGTAAAGTCTATTGACATGATCTGACATGTTCCGCTGGACACAGATCGCTTGTGGACGTGGAGATACTGTAATGTGGGGTGCTCATTCAAGGGCGCGGTAACTCGCTATTCTGTAAGAGAAGAGAAGGTTTGCATGGGTTACTAGGGTGTGGAGTTCGTATACGATGTCCTTTTGGACTGTCTCTGCAACCCGGAGACACGGCCTTCTATTGGTTGTTGGCCATATATATATATCGTTAGTATCAATAACTATGGGGTATCCTGTCCGGGGTGTTCATATTAATGGATTTTCTCGATAGATCTCGAGTGCGCAATTTCGGATGGCAATATCGTCGGTAACGTCTGGCGAACATATACACAAAGAACATACGCAGCTAAAGGGGAGACTACTCTAAAATCAATAAGATCCGACGCGTCGTGTTCAATATTTGTGGATAAATAGCACTCCTCTCCACTTAATTGAACATCTCCACAGCCGTGTTGTGGAATATCCCTGTGGCCTATGTGTTATATCATTGTCCGCTGACAGAATCAAGGTTAGTGGACACATTCCTTTGTATTCGTGCTGTTTAACTTGGGTAACAATTCGTGGGCCACAGCGCTTCATCCACCTGTGGCGGGTGCTTGGACAGTTTAAATACTGCAACTTGTGTTTCATACCTCCTCTTTGCCATACATCGCATTTTGCCTTGTACGTCTATTATCTAACTTGTGTACTGTGAGTTAGTCTTCTACACATACTTCACCTTTTGTCGCTCATCTTGTCCTGCCACAGGCTAGAGCCTACCGCCGTTCTATATTTGAATATGCAGCAGCAGCAGCAGCAGCAACCAGCTCAAACAGGCCAATGGTCGATCCCAGGCCCACCTCAATATGGACTCCATCAATACCCTCCCATGCCTCAGCCTCCATCAGTGCCGTCACGTCTTAATCCTTATCCCCCAGAAGTCTACACATATGTATATCATCATTGGATCCAAGCGTGTCACACACTCTACGGAGGGCAATACTCGGCCCCTCCTCCCGACCAATTGGGTGGGTATCCCCCCGCCGTCCAGGATACGGGTGTACCGCCGACGGCTGCGCCACCTAGCTATCCTTCCGCACCCCCCTTGGTGCAACCCACCCAGAACCAACGTTTGGAGCAAGTACCAGAGCAAGCACCGCCGACTAGCTATCCTTCTGCACCCCCCTTGGCACAACCCTCCTACAACCAACGTTGGGAGCAAGTACCAGAGCAGCAAGCACCGGAGCAGCCCTACCATTTTGGTGGGTATCCCCCCGCCGTCCAGGGTATGGGTGTACCGCCGGCGGTTGCGCAGCCTAGCTATCCTTCTGCACCCCCCTTGGCACAACCACAACCCTCCTACAACCAACGTTTGGAGCAAATACCAGAGCAGCAAGCACCGAAGCAGCCCGACCATTTGGGTGGGTATCCTCCCGCCGTCCAAGGTATGGGTGTACCGCCGGCGGCTGCGCAGCTTAGCTATCCTTCTGCACCCTCCTTGGTACAACCCTCTCGCAACCAACGTTTGGCGCAAGTACCAGAGCAGCAAGCACCGAAGCAGCCCCACCATTTGGGTGAGTATCCCCCCGCCGTCCAGGGTATGGGTGTACCGCCGGCGGCTGCGCAGCCTAGCTATCCTTCTGCACCCCCCTTGGTACAACCCTCCCACAACCAACGTTGGGAGCAAGTACCAGAGCAGCCAGCGCCGAAGCAGCCAACACCAGAGAAGCAAGCACCAGTAGCCGCCGCTGAGGAAAGCTCTGTCAAGCGTGGAAAGCGCAAGGCGGTGGACTTGGATGATGATGATGCTCCCCCGCGAAAGAAACAAATGATCCACCCCCTCCTTTACCATCCCGATTTTGTGAGTCCATTTTCTGTTTAGTTCTCGCTATCATTCTGACGGTTTTATCAGGAACTGGTAGAAAGTCACGGTGAAGCCCGTTACAGATGCTGCCTGACGCAGTGCGAAAATGCACCTTCAGTACGACAAGCTGATATTCAAGGTCATATCAGATCGAAGAGGCACCAGAAGGTTCGGTTCATATCACCAGGACGTGACGAAGCGTAAGTACTGCAGTGCTTTCAAATGCGACTTTGGGGCTGATATATAGATTCTTGCTAGTGTAACTCGCGTGGACTCTTCGGATATAGGCGGCTCTTTTTCCAAGAACCAGCCAGAGGCCGGCAAGGTGTCTCAAAGACCTTCCGAAGGTTTCACTTCAAGCCAGCCATTGGAACATTTTTCCAACAATGTTGAAGAAAGTGCCAACCCCACTTCGAGCGAGCCGTTGGAAGAGCCTTTCAACAATCTTGATGAAACTGTCGATCCGGCTTGGGACGAGCAGGTGGCTTCGGATGAGCAGGTGGCTTCGGATGAGCAGGTGGCTTGGGACGAGCAGGTGGCTTGGGACGAGCAGGTGGCTTGGAACGAGCAGGTGGAAGAGTGGTTCAGCATTATCAACAAAGCTGCCGAATCGACTTCGGGCAAGCAGTTGGAAAAGGCTGTCAACAATCTCGAAGAAACCGCTGACTCGGCTTCGGGCGAGCAGTTGGAAGAGGTTGTCATCAACCTCGAAGAAACTGCTGATTCGGCTGCGGGCGAGCAGTCGGAAGACTTTGTCAACAGTCTTGACGGAACTGACGCTTCGGCTCCGGATGACTTGTTTGAATATTGTATGAACAATTGGGACCTAGCTTACAAAGAAGCTCCGGGCGAGCCGTCGTTGGAAGAATTGATAAATCGTTTGGTGTCTTCGAACTATGAATTCATCGCTATTTAGCTTCATCCTTACTACATTGTAACATACTGTACACTACATACAAACTGTGATATGGCTGCAAGCTGGTCTTGCCAGACTCGTACACGAGGCTATACTGCTACCTTTGAAATTTAAAACAAAGTTTCTCTTATTTAACCACCACAACAGTATATACGTAATATCTACGGTCTCCAATCCCCATATCCTTGTTCAGGAACATACATGTCCCAGATTGGAAGTACTGGCTACGCTTGGGGTCTCTACATTGATGGCTGTGTTTGGCGTACGTCAATAGTGTCTCTGTTCCTCGTCGAGTCTGGAGTACTTGGAGTGAGCATGGCCCACTTCCTCATTGCTACTGCCATACCATTGTACTGCGACAGTGACGGGAAATCCGGAATTCTGTCCTCTTTGTGCAATGATTTGCTTCTGTTTACCACAGGTAGGCTTTGCGGCTGATCCAGTCGGTGGGCGTAAAAATGCAGCCATACAAAATTGAATTCTACTGGGACCCTGACTAACCCAGGTACCCGCGCACTTGGATCAAGCATTTGCGCTGGAGAAATCTCTGGTTAGTGTTGATCGAGGACGCCAAGCTGTCCGGTCTCACATCACCGCTAGCCTGAGCGCATGTCATGACAGGTGGATGGATGGGGCGGTTTATGTACAAGCTTCAGTAACCTCACTGCTTCAATGGCAGCTGGCGGCAACAAGTTACCGACGTGTGGATTGAATGTCAACTGTATGTACTGCACTTGACAGGATTAGGTATGTATTTCCAAAATGCAGTGCTCCTCCACCCATCTCATGACTGATCTGAAACATTGCATCGTCACAGCTATGGCTGTTTCCCCAAATGTTTTGAACGTGGATCGACATCATGTAGGTGCGCTTCTTTAAATCCACCTAATGTCAAAAGTTATTGAAACCGTGCAATGATGATTTACATAATGCCCGACGCAGTGCATGTATCATTTGAAACTCAATGCCGCCGTAGACAATGCCACCTTCAAGGGGTATAAAGTTGCTCAACTTATTTGCCATACAAGAAATACCTAGAAAGCGCCTTAACCCTCATAGCCAACTTCCCGTTAACATGCTCTTCAAGTACATAGCTGTCTTTGCTGCAGGGATTTCTGTCGCCTTGGCTCAGACAATCGAGTTAGGGTTCCCTCAGAACGGGGACAACTTCTGCCCCGGTCAAGAAGTAATCGCTCAAGTTATTCTACCGGTTGGTAGTTGGTTCGTTTCTTAGTATAATGTGTCACTCTGACAAATGCTATAGGGATCCCTAGCATCTTGCATTCAGGTTGGCATTGCCTTAGCAATCGATAACTGCGTGGACGGTTTGTGCCCCGTCCCAGCAGAGGAGTTAGGATCTGTTCTCTATGCAGGCCCTTGGACACCCGATACCCCCCTGGACCACCCTCCTGGTGGTAACTACCAGAACTTTACCGTCACTATTCCGTCCTACCTTGCAAAGGGTCCTGCTATCTTTACACTCACGCACTTGTGTCTCCTTGGGGTACGAGATCTTCCGTTTTTATCTCCTTTCGTAGTCTGAGGACGTTTTTATAGGCGGCTCCATATCCACTCCTTGAATATCGTAACGCGACGGTGAACATTGTGTGAACGGTGGACACCGGAGAAAGGTTTTCATCATGTGGGTTCATATGGATGTGCTGGATCTGGACTGTTGTTTCGTGTCTTCATTATGAAACTCAAGGACTTTAGTAATTGTTGATGTAGGATCGGAGGAATTACTGTCTGTCGTACTTCGCTAGCACTCATACATGCCATCAATTGATGTAATTACGCATAATCTGCAAGTAAAGAGTGAGCACTAGACTGGGAGACGAAACAAGGAAATTCATGCGAACTCTGGTAAAAGTTTGGAATCACTTGTTCTGCTCACAGCGTGCCACCAAGGAAGACTTGAAGACTGAGCATACATGTGTCAAGACATATTGTTCGATACTCTGTCCCGCGTTGCCTGTTCCATGTTCTTGCCCTTCTCCATGTGCTGCCCACCGTTGCGCGTCTTCAAAGACTCGGTCAAGTTGTTCACTGTCATCTCCACTTTTGACAACCCCTTGGGCGGGTTAACATTTAATCTGGTATCCATATTGAAATCTTCCTCAATTTCATCGTGCCGGGGACTTCGCCAGATATGCCAGAAAAAGAGCAGGGTGACGGAAGCAAATAATCAAAGAAGACTCAATAGAGTCACAAGTATGATTGTACTGCTTATGTTGGTGCCTTGGATGCAGAAGGCGGCGATGGCGATGGTAAAGCAGAGGACGGACCATAACAGTGACACTACTGGAAGTGAGAGAAAACAAGCAGTAATGGTCAAGTCAACGTGTTCACCCAGGTGTCGGACATGGTACAGGTACGACTCCTGAGATTGAATCAATAATCCATCATAACGTGGAATTGGATATGATACTTGCTGCGTCCTGGTGGAGCGCGTCCGCCTTGCCGCGGTGTCGCCACACGTGGTGCACCTCGAAGGCAATGCTCATCATAGTGAACAATGATGATGCAAGTGAAGCGGTTTTTTGCAGCGCATCGATCCCCCTAGACGAATGAATTTATCGGTTGATGGTACACATATTTGGTTGTAATGCTTACAGGAATGGCCAGGAATACTACGTTGGCATTGACGAAAACAGTCGCCAGCGTTTGAATGTATGCAAGTTAGACATGTCTACTGCCGCTCGATGGCAAGCCTTACAAGCAAATTGGAGTCTGTCGTCATGGTGAGCTTAGATAATGTTGCAGGATGGACGGCGCTTACCCGCCCATTCGTCAAGGAACTGTTGCATCAACTTCCGAAAGTCGGGGAGGTAAACGACCCCTTTGACTCTTGTCCCTTGTAGCCGCGTCCGGTACATGGAATGAGTCCCAAATAGTGGCGAAGGCAAGATAATCTCCAGGAGCGAGAACTTCGGAATAGCTATATTCGGTTTTCAGGTGTGCCCCAGTGATACCGTGTGCGAGATTTCTCAACTTCTGTCATTACTCTGGCGATATGCCATACGATGGCCGGAATGACAGCGTTCTCTGTCGATCCCTGTCTATCTATATTACAGCATTAATAATTAATTCTGCAATGCATCACTGACCAGAAGACGATAGAGCTACCTTTCAGATCCTGATATATTCGAAGAAAGCGTTCACATTGACGATCAACAAATGGGAATGGCGTGTTTCTGAAATCGCGGATCCTTTCTGACCGTAAAAAATCAGCGTACGTGACCAAATTGAAGCGACGGTGACGAAAGTAAACTTTGCCACTGCCAGTGAAGTGAACGTATTTGGTCCAGAGGGGGACCGATGATTGTTCTTGTTACCATCTCGGGGTGTGTGGTCCCTCGTTCGGTTTTGCTCTTCGGGTCATAGTATCTGTGGTTAAGGTGGCCTCCCTTACAACACCTCTCTGAGGGGTGGTTTTGACATAGGAGCGTTCTGATTCTTTACCAACTTCTGTACCAGTTCGACTAAAGGTCGATGTAAGTGAGCCACGGAGGCACTATCTGATGGCGCCAAGTGTTCGTCCATGTCAGAAGATCTTTCCTCAAGAGCAGGAATGTTATTCGCAAGTCTATTCCACTCAGCTCGAGCGGCAGACATGTCAGTCGGAACAAACTTGAAAGTCGGAGGGAGAGGGAGGTGGTGTCATTTTGTGCGTCGGGAGTAGCCATTGGCTGAAGGCGTTTGTCTGAGTTCAGCCATGAAACAGATCTGGTCCTTATATTGATAGCACACTACAAGTGATGCTGTTGTTTGCAGAAGGTCCAGGGAGCCTTTCATAATATGATAGTGTTTGTGGCCAGGAGCACGGACAAGTACATGTTGCCATTGCAGGTCCATGTAGGTCTTTGTGTCACCTGCATTTCAGAATCAGATAGGAAAGGTCCCAGGTCTAATCAAGGGCTGTGATTATGAATGTTTGACTAGTGGCCGCTACTAGGAGTACTAGCACTGATTCGGGACAAGACATTGTGGAGTCTGGACAACGAACAAAGACAAACTTTCCTATCTAGGAATAGGAAACTAGCAACTTGCGGTCGCCCCCGACTTCGTTAAGTGTCGCATTCATCATTACAATCCGAAAAAAAATCAAGCAGCTGCTACATAATACCCACGCAACGATTACACTATGACCAGCGACTGGTGCTACTAGTAATAAACAGTAAGATACAATACTCTCAGCAATTACCAAGATAGCAACAATTTTGCTACGACGGTCGACTCTCCCCTCTCCCGGATAAAAACGACGAAAAAGCAAGTTCACTGCTCAACGGAGCAAGTCCCAGCTTCGGATTTGGAGGTGGTTCGACCGGAATGGGTGATCCTGGCGTCTCTCCTAAACGTGAGCCAGATGGAAAACTACCAGTTTGGAAGGCAGACAGGTCTGGTTTACTGTCGAAGACCCCTAAAGTTGGGTAAGCTTTGAGAGTAAATAATGAATATTTGCAACGTACCTAGCTTGCGAAGCCATCGCTGCCGAACTTGGTGATATCCCCTCGATGGTAACGCTTTCTGGACCAAGTCCCACTTCTGTCCGTATTTGGCGACGGCCTGTCAAAACGTGTCAAGAATCTGGCTGCTGTATAATCACAAAATATTGACCTGAGCAAGTAGATCATCCTCCTCCTTGCTCCACTTGACGTAAGGACTTCGCTGCCTCTTTGGGATATCTTGGCCCACAACCCTGGTGACTTCCTTGTTCTTCGTGATCGCCACAGATTCTGTTCCAGTTGCAGGACTAGAACTCGGTTCATTATTATCAGCGATCGAATCAGCACTTCCTGCATCAGTCTTTCCGGGAGCTGTCTCGTGCCGCAGATGTGCTTGCAAATCCGACGGGGCATCTCCCCAACTACTACTGATCGGGGCCGTGACTGCCCGTTGGTGTAGTGCAGATATTGGGGCCACAGCTTCTGTAATTGTGGAACTTTCATGCCGAGGAGAAAGAGGAACGAGGAATGGATCAATGAGTGCGGACTGACTGGGGGGCGTATTCACACTAGGATCGGGAGTGGGCTCGGCGGGAGGTATAGGTGGTGGTGTAGCCGCGTTGCTGGGAGGATCATGCCTCACCTGATCAGCCGACTCGGGTCGCGGAGGAGGGGTAGGGGATATTGTTATAGGCTGAGTGGGGGGAGGCGTTGAGGCGGTCGCGATTTCACGAGCAGAACCGTGGTCCCCGGACGCAACTTGTGAAGATCCATCGGCCCATTGGACTGGACGTAGATTTGGCGGTCCAGAACCCCAGTCAACTGCATTTGCTCGGGGTAAAGGTGAGGGACGACGGGAGCGAGGAGGCTGGGGCGCAACATCAGGTACGGATTGCTTCCTTTTTGACCTGCTTTTCTCTCTCAGCTGATTGTCGGGGGATTTATCAGGAATAGAGGGAGCCTTCTCCTTTCCTTTGCCCTTGGGCAGTGAGTGAGGTTCCAAATGATTCTGCTGATCTTGCGAAGAGAATGCGGCGGCTTGGTCAGCTAGTACGTCCAGCCCTGATCTAACCCTGCCAACAGCAGCTGAATTGGAACCAGCTGAGCTACCGTTCGGCTGTCCTGCACCTTGATCTCTCGCTTGATCTCTGAGCGCACTGACCTTGTCCCGAGCAGCGATTTTCCTGCGTTTCGGTACAGGACTATCAGGCATTTCGCTTGATCGCGAACGCCTCGTGCCAGTGACAGTCTCTTCCTCATCTTCCTCATCATCCATCATTGACCTTGCTGCACTCAAAAGAGAGTCCAAAGGTGTTGGTGGGTTCTGGTTACGCGCACCTTGCTGCTTCTTCTGTTGGTGGGTGGAGGAAGACGCTGAAGCCGCTGTCTTAGAAGAGCTTGGGGTTTGTAGCAGGTGATGTGAATATGCTGGAACAAGCACAGGGACAGCACCTGGGCGCATAGGACTATTAAGATAGACGTACCCTGGCCCAGGGGGAACAGCTGTCGTGCGCTTTGGTGTCTTGGGGGTAGCAACAACGGTTGATGTTGATCCCTCTCGCTGTTTATCCAAGGTCTGTGTGAGGCCAGCCATTATGCCAGCACGCTGTTTTCCGATTCTCTTTGCCGCTAGGAGTAAGTGTTCTGTTCTTGCATCCGCAGTTAGAACTCGCGGAGCTTGTCTTTGAGAGTGCCGGCGCTTGGAAGGATGCGGATGGAGACTTGCTGCCGCTGTACGAGGTTTCTGCTTTGGTGTGGTTGTAGGTGTATCTTCAGGGTCTCCTGGATGGTCATCATCAGAAGGATCAGGACCAGCGTCCTCGTCTTCTGTAGTTAGTGGATCTTTCTTTCTCCGCCGGTGTGAACGAGTCTTTGAGACTTGATTCAAGGTGACAGTCCCATTCAATGCGAGAGGTTGCATTAGAAGTAAGGGACGGAGGCGGGATAGTTCGCCTTCGAGGATAGAGAGACGCGACTGAGTTTCATGAAGCTGGTGGGGAATCAGAAATGGGGGTGCGTAATGGAAGGTGGGGCTCACTCGTTGGCGGAGACTTCGGTTGTCTGCTTCAGTTATAGCATGTTGTCGCTCGAGCTCCTGAATCGAAGTTAGTCACTGGTAATCCGAAGAAAAAGGGGCAACGAAGACGACAAAAAGTTATAATGAATTTTCACATGTCTATTAAATTGGCTTACTGCCAGCATCATCGCGGCCGAGTGATTGGCGTGAAAAGTGATTTATCAAGACGACCATGCAGTCTTGCTAAACCAACATCGCTAAAAAGAGAGAAGAATGACTTACCTCATCCTTGTCAGACGAACTCCTGTGCTTGGCCTGCTGTACAATAAGTGCTTCGGCCATCCGTGCCCAACCATCCTTCTCTGAGTTCCACCGCAATCTCTGCTCCTCTGCCTGTCGCACGAGCATATCGCGCTGGTCAGTTAGGCAGGATATAATTTCGGCCTGTCTAATGATTTGCTCTGGATCAGGATGTACGACATCATTTTCCTTCACCGTCTGTCAGTATAGATATGGAGCTTAAGTCTCATGCCCTGTGATAGTATTGAATGGGACATAACGCACTATATCGGGTAGCTCTTTCTCCCCTCCACCAAGATCATGCATATCCGTAATATTCATGCGTATTTCTTGTATGTCAGTGTCATTTTGGGGCCTAGGATATGCGATTTTGGGCCGGAGGGGTAGTTGGGAGTCATCCAGTGTTGCGAGTGGTGGCGCCGGGGAGAGGGATATGATATGAACAAGGTCATCAAGAGCTAGGGGTGGATATTCATTGCTCATCACGACCGACAGTGAGAGGCCTTGTCAGTGCGGGTCGTGGTCGTCGTGGGTGACGATGAGCAGGAGTCGTCGACCGCAAGAAATCAAAAAGCCAAACAACGCCAACCCAACGCGCGGTGCACGTCACATGATCTGTCGGAGTTGCATAAGCTGTAGTCATGTGACATTGCGCTGTTGCAGTTGGACCGGCTCCTGTTTTGGAGAACGCTACGTCTTTCGTGCGTTTCATGATTTTTACGCGATTTGTGTTTAATTACTGCCAGTGATACCCCTCATCTTGTGCATATCTTGATCATCATCAGCGACGATGGGTTCAACCCCATTTCATCGTCTAGCCCTGGTTCTTCCCCCGCTGTTTCTCACTGTTTATCTCTTAGCCAGCTTCCCGAGACCACCTACTGTACCCATCATCCACACATCCCTAGCCCACCTTCCGAGCTCATCGCCGTCGTGGAATGTATTCCCAGAGGACTTGTATAGTGGAGGTGCATACGCTAACCTACCTCTAGGACGGGTATGTACTTTGCTGATGCGTACCCATGTTCTAGTACTGACGAGTATATTACTCAGGTGCGATATTGGCTCATAGGACCGGAGCACGGACGGCGTGTGCGTGTTTGCGTGCGCGCGGGTATCATATACTTATCAAGACTACTAGATTGTTTTGATACATGGACTTTCCATCCCGGCCATCGTCTGGAAAGACGTAGCGCCTGTACTAGCCTCACGAGGTTACCGTGTACTTCTGTATGGTGTGTTATTGTCTTGCAATGCATATTACGATCCGAACCCACTCATGTTGTAGATTTATATGGTCGTGGTTACTCGGATGCCCCCCAAGTAACTTATGATACCACCCTTCACACCACCCAACTTGCGCTCCTTATGCAACACGTCAAATGGGATAATGCATTTATTGTTGGATTGTCGATGGTAAATTTGTCTTATACTGTTGATCCACCGCTTAATCCCTCTCCAGGGAGGTGGCATTGCTACTGCATTCTCAGCCCACTTCCCTCATCTGGTGAATGGAAAGGTCGCTCTTATTGCTTCAGCAGGTATTATAGAGGTAATTGGCAACCAGAAAATCAAAGTTTTAATCTAACGTATCTCACATAGTCGAGCGATATCTCTCGTACCTCAAAATTTATGTCAACTCCCCTCGTGCAAACTGTGTCCGCCCTCCCACCTTTCCAAGTAAGCTTGAGGGACTGCTCCATTTTATCTGCCATCTGACTTTGACGTAGCATTATATGCGTCTCCTTGCGAATACCTCTAAATCCTCGGAACTTTGTGAAACCAATCCGATACAAGAAGTCTGTTTTTCCTAATCACCTGTTTCACAGCCACTAACTACTACTGTCTCTCTCTCAGATTGTCCGTCTCCAAACCGCGCATCTTCCTCACTACAACGCTGCTGTGGCATCTTCCCTTCGCGATGGCCCTATTCGTGGCTTACACTTTGCATTCCAATCACTCGCACGCTCTAGCAACCAAGTGTTGCTCATTCATGTAAGAGTTTGCTCCATCAATCTACCACTATGATGCTGACTTTTGCGATAAAGGGCACGTCAGACAAGACTGTCCCTTATAAATATGCTTCTAAGATACAAAGTCTCGTACCGCAAGCCGACCTCGTCACCATCAGCGATGGTGGCCACGATCTCACTGTAACTCACGCATCCGAGGTGAACGCCTTGCTACTTCACTTTCTCGCCGATGATTACTCGTACAAGCCTCGTGGATGAGTATTTTTCACTTGATAAAGGGGCTAATCCTTTTCTTTGATGATATGTATCTGCATCCGCGCACACATGCTATTCGCTACTCATCGTCGAACGCTATTCCAACGTATAATCTCTCTTGCATCATTCTGGATACCATGCCCATCTCACTTTATTCTCGTCTCATGTTATCCTCGCTATTCATCCGCGTTACACTTTACCTCTTTTCCTGTTTGCATTACTCTACAAAGCAATATTTTGTATTAATTACATTTTCTGGAATGAATGAAGCACTTCGAAGTTATACGGAATAATCATTCACCTATCAAGCATTGTGTGTCGATATTTCCGCCTTAGCTGTACGCGCGCTAATGACTGTCACTGACTGGTAAGTTAAACCTCGGAATACGCGAGGTGCTATGTAGCGTGTTAAAGGTGATTTTTTGTCGCTTCTATGTTTATCGTTGGGTCATGTCTTGATAATTATTTAAATCGGGGAATCATCATGATTGTCTGCTACCGCAGAACTCTTTCTCCGGTGTCTTGAAGAACTCTCTAAAGAGGTCCGGTAACGCCATAAAATGGTTTACGGCCCTTGCTAAGTTACAGTCCGATCAGTTTGTCCACGGCAGTGAAAGAATGAACGTTCCTTCGTCAACCTTGCACCATGCAGTAAATGCAATGTATTTGGAGAAGTTCCCTTACGAGCAATATTCTTGACGTGCGCAACTCTCGAACACACGGTGAGAGAGCCACTTTTCCCAGCAATTGAGGTGCATTGGTCTGTGAGGGAGCCAGAGATGTATGTCTTCAACACCTCCAGAAAGGACCGTGAACTTCCCTTCCGGTTTAATCATAAAGTGGACATATTGGCGCGGTCTCAGTCTTCCGTGGCAGAGCGACTTCGACCAGTGCAACACATCGGGTGACCTACTGGTGGATGGATGATGTTCTGTCGGTAATTTTGGCCAAGATGAATCATTGGAACGGTGACCCTCTGTTCGTCCCGACGACGTTATCTCCCAGTTTGAGGAAGTTCATCCCCTTCCGCAAGGTCGCTTAACCAGGCAACTCTCCCCCGGAGGACCTCACTTCACCGACCAGAGGGTGATGTTCAGTCAGACTTGACTTAACTTTGACTCATAGTCAAGTAGTCCCCTTGCTCGTCCAGACGACAATTCCTGCGCCTCCGCTTCAAACAGAAGGGTAGTCATTCCTGTGGACAGGTTCGTCGGAAGTATCGAAAAGAAGTCGTGGACCCGAAGCCTTCGAGACATTCACGACTGTAAGTTACCTCATGTTATTATATCTCTTTTGCCATTGTGAACACCTCCTGCTGAATATCAGTAGAGACGTAATCTATCACTGGCAGAAGCTAGGTTTGTTGCCAAATTTCCGACAGTGATCAGAGAATCTGATATGCCAGTCTGGGCAGAGAACAAGCGTATGTCAATTGATGGGAGGCGTAGATGTTTCGGAATTCCCTTTGCAACTTTCTCGTCTCAAGCATGAATAGTATCACCTGCCCGTCAATGGAGGATGCGACGATGTTTATTTTTCCAAAACAAGTCATGCTGCACAGAATGGTCATAAAGCTCAGGTAAAATGCGAAATTTGACAGATGAAAGCTAAATAAATGATATGTTTACGAAGACTGAGCCTCGAAGTGGTCGGTTACCGCAAGGCGAGATGGTCCTGCTTCTGGCTGTGATTGACTAGCTATCGGTTTCAATTCAATTTCTTCGTGCTGGACCCTGAAAGACTGCATCAGTGAATAAATTTTGTGAACCAATATGTTTTATATACCTGGGAGGAGGCAGGGCGACTGGATCAAGAGCATTTTCTTCCTCTTCGTCGTCCTCGAGTTCATCATCATAGACTGGCCGTGGTTCCTGCTTCTTTTCCTTTTTCTGGAACCAGCTGAGGCAAAAGAAGAGAATAAATGGTCGCCATCCGTCATCCACACCGACAACATCAGCCTGGTGAATGACGCGATCAGATCTCACGAACGCAGCGGAACTGTAGAAAACAAACATAGGTAGCTTGTCCGAGTGGAACATTGTCAACTTTCGCAGTTTTTCGTTTGGGTTCGCGCGCCTTTTGTTTTCCCTTGTCTGATGACGACCGGACGGGGTTGAAAAAGGCCCCGCCACCGGGCAAGGGAGTCGATGGAGAATTGTCTCCATGAAGGTGATTGGGAGGTAAGGGTGATGTAGCTGGGAACTGCAGCGCGAGTCTTGAGTGAGTTGTAAAAGAAACAAGAGAAAGAAACTCACATCTAAGGGATCACGAGATTGATCCTTCCGACCAGGGCGTACCATGTTCATGCGAGGAGAGAAGCGAAGAAGTTTGCGGAGGCGAAGGAAAGTGGGCTCTTGCGGGTCACTTCTAGGCGGAAGTCTCGGCGCTATAGGTACGGCGGACATCATTGGTCTGCGGTGCCCAGCAGGAGGACGACGAGTTGCATCAGACTGCAATGATAGCGATGAATGAGTGGTATGATGAGTAAAAGAATGAGATGCTGACATTCAGGATATCTCTTCGGGCTGATTTTTTGCGTGCAATGATCTGTAAGGGAAATGTTAGTACACGAACAGTAGATGTGTGCGGGGAATGCGTACACGGGCCTGAGCAAGGATGTCGGGTGGAATATCACAGATGCAGATCTCGTTGTCGTCTTTGAAATTGGTGGATGTCGTGTAAACCAGTTGGCTTGAAGTGGATGTCGTGTAAGCCAGTTGGCGTGAATCGGATGAGAGGACAAGGGGAAAGGAATTCTGAACGTCGAAAGAGGCGAGGAGCTGTCGCGACTCGAAAGCCCAGAGCTTGATGGTGGCGTCGTAATGGGAAGCACTGGCGAGGAGAGCACCATCAAATGAAAGTGCTAGACCACCAATGGTCTTGGTGTGCCCTTGAAAGGGGGCTCCGACAGTCTCCAGCGTAACCGCGTCAAACTCATAGATTTTCTTGGCGAAGTCATGTGAAAAAAACCCTGGCTCAGATCTCAGACTCAGAATCATCTGCGGTGGAGCTATATGTGGCTATGATGGTTTTGTTTTTGTTTGTCCAGTAAACTGGCGATATTGTGCCTCCTCCTCCACTGGGGTTCCCTAACCTCACATTCAATTTCTGTGATTGGACATCCCAGACTTCGAGGCACGTCCCAAAATCTAACTTGACTGCGAGCTTCTTCGAGTCTGGGGAGAATCGAACTGCGCCCACGCGACCAATGCTCTTGAATGGACCAGCCACAAGTTTGCCAGTCTCCAAGTTCCATATCCGCGCTGTTTCATCGGATGACCCGCTCGCCAGCAGGGTGTTTCCCGCAGAGATATCAATGCAGCAGATTTCCCGTGAGTGTCCTTCGAATGTTTTCACAATCCCCGTCTCAACCTCACAGGCTTTCAGCTCCACACTGCTCGGATCTCCACCACCAGTGACAACCCATCGACCATCTCTCGATACTGCCACCGCCTCTACCCCCTTCTTGCAAACATCCCGCGCTCCTGCCGAGTAGTCTTGTCCACAGATCCGCTGATCATTCGCTGGCCGTCTGGGAAGTAGGATATGGATCGAATGTTATTTCCATGACCCTTCAAAGTCGTTATTGGTTTCAGAATCGATTTCGCAGTGGCTGCATTCGTCGACGCGGAAGCCATGGCTGCGTCTCCGGGAGTGAAACCGTGAAGTAGTACGGGCAAGGTATCCTTTGGAAGCGTTCAAAGGTGCCCAGGTAAGGTCTCCCGGTATCAGTGTACTATATGACTAACACTGACAGTGATTTGAAAATGAGCCCCTTGGTAAAGCCAAAAGTTAGTCCATCCCTGCTGGAAATACAGATAATATTGTTGAATCACCGAGAGATTCTGGTTAGTAGCGATGGACTCGAGGAGCGATGAATTATTGAATATGAGTACAGCTATTAGTGTTAGGCGCCACGCCGCCACCTCACATATATGCCGTAATGTACGCCCTCTCCGATGCATGGCAGCAGTGTGCATTGCACCGAATTCTTCCATCCATATCAATGACATTAATATTTAATTGGTTTTTATTCAGTTCTCAGCTCACAGCCACGGCCTATACTTAGCGTCAATCTGTTTCCATTTTCCACCTACCTGACGGACGACAACTGTGATTGCATATCGTTGCTCGCTTGTCGGATTCACTTTAGATGCATGAATGTTTAGAGATAGATACCACTATTCCTCGTTTCATCATAGCAAACGTTCCGAGTATAAACAAACAACGTTGCAGACACGCGAATGTTTCAGCGCCCTTTTTGTTATCCCTGACCACGCACCGACCACCTTATGGATTCACAACGTAAATTTCCGGTCTGTGGACGTTTCTCTGACGCTGATATAAAGTACCTTTTCAAAGAGTTCAAGGTCGCCATCACTATACATACTCGTAAGCGTGTCGAATGTCGGAAGCTTGAGCTGTAAACCTGCAACATCTAAACCTGTCGACGGTATATGTCATTGAATCTCATCACTTGTAAATGCCATAATCGCATGCTCATCACCCCTACAAGTCACAAAGTATCCAGTGCGCAATCGACGAGATGGTAAGTCAGATACCAAGAGAATCTATCCAAGATGAGGAAGTGCGAAAGAAAACAACGGAATGAGCCAGTCTAGGCATCGATGATAGTAACTGGCACCCTGGAGGTTGTCATTAGTAGTTGGAGATGTGACTGAGAGCGGAGGTTTGAAACTCACCATTGGTAGTAGAGGTCCGCAATACAAACGAAGTCCTCAAAAACAGGAACCGAATGTCCTATGAATAGGGATAATATCGTATACTCCGGTGCTCGAGCCAGCCTGCTTGAATCAGTGTATGAGAGATGGTACGAGAGATATATATAAAAGAGGATGATTTCGTATGATCCGAAGTTGTCGTGTATCATTGTGATATGCGGTGAGACGGTGTGTCATCTCATGAGCGCAAGGAAACACATTCCAACATGGCCCATCAGTACTTCAATTCGGAATATTGAGCGAGCAGACACGGCATAGTCTATGTATGAACATGATGTTGCCTTGACAAAACACTTTGATTTGTGTTTGTCATTGTTTGGGCAAGGGTGCTCGACTCGTTTCCCGCCAGTACCCAACGTTCAACACCCAACTACATATATCCTCAATCTCCTACTACTGACTCACTGGCAATATTCCTCTCGCTCAATTCCTGCTTCGTCGATTCTGATACCGACCCCCTTAAGATAACAGACTAAATTGTTTCGTTCGCTACGTGCACATACCCTCGCCCACATCTACCCCAGGTACATCCGTTCCACCACCACAAAAACGCTCTACACGCAGATTCAACACCCTCACCGGCGCCACAGCTACATTGCGTGCGCTGTCACACCATCCTCTGTGACCTTTCAAATACAGATACGTCTTGCTGCACCTCCCACCATTATCAGAGCGCCCTCGTCGATCGCGCTGCGTGTGAGATAGTGCGGGGCTCAGAGGAACGTGGTATATGGATCGTACTATGAGTGAAGATGCACAGTGAGTGTCTCCCTCGTTCCTACAATTCAAAAGCTAATTTGACAAGACACGGGCTAAACACATGTGCTTCTGCGCAGATTCGTCCATCTAGTCGCACCTAATAAACAGGCATATCCATTACAAGTGCTGGTAGATTGACTTGCAATATCGTCTAAAACACATACGATGCAGCAGCTCAACTCGCCAGCATTAGAATGGCAGGTGTACACAACTGCTCAGATCCCAAGTATGCGTGTGGAGATAATACAGATGAGTCTCGCCTTAGACAAGCTTTGCGCTCATTTGTCGATTCGCTTCGTCGCATTACTGTCAATAAGGGGGTCGTTTCTTCCGTATCTCACGCAAGCGTTACGACTGATTGTACACCTTGGACAGCCTTTCAGCGCATTTTCGCTAGCTCGCCAATGAAAAAAAATTGAAGAGGATCGCCTCAGATCGCCATGTCGTTTCACAAGTCAAAATATCGCTTCTGTTTGCAGCATGTTGAACGGTAAGACACTCGAGATACACAGCATTTTGAAGAACAGAGGTCGCTAAGTTTTCATTGTACCTTGACGGTAGCTTCGACGATTTTGGATACAGAATTTCCCTTGCGAGCAATATTCTTGACGCGCACAGCTTTCCAACACACGACGAGAGAGTTATTTTACCCAGCAATTAAGGTACATTAGTCTGGGAGGGTGCCAGAGATGTATGTCTTCGGCACCTACAGAAAGGACAGTGAACTTCCCTTCTAGTTTAATCATAAAGTGGTCTATCCTGGTCATATCGGGGCGATCTCGGTCTTCCGAGGCAGAGCGACTTCGACCGGTGCAACACCCCGGGTGACCTACTGGTGGGTATGGTGTCCTGTCAGTAAGTTTGACCAAGATGAATCATTAGAACGGTGGCCCTCTGCTCGTCCCGACGACGTTATCACGACTTTACTCCCAAATTGAGGAAGTTCATCCCCTTCCGCAAGGACGCGGAATCTCCCATACCCAGACAACTCTCCCCCGGAGGACCTCACTTCACCGACCAGGGGGTGATAACCAGTCAGACTTGACTTTTACTAATAGTCAAGCAGTCCCCTTGCTCGTCCAGACGACAATGCCCACGCCTCTGCTTCAAACAGGAAGGTAGTTGTTCCTGTGGACACGTTCGTCGGAAGCATCGAAAAGAAGTCGTGGGCCCGCAACCTTCGAGACACTCCTGACTGTAAGTTACTGCGCCTCTTTGACCATTGTAATCAAATGAAAGTGCTAGACCACCAATGTGCTGGGTGTGCCCTCCAAAGGGAGCTCCAACAGTCTCCAGCGTAACCGCGTCAAACTCGTAGATTGTCTTGACGAGGTTATATGGATCGGGCTCAGATTCTGAATCAGTGGTGAAACTGAATTCGTATGCGGCTATGATGGTTTTGTTGTTGTTTGTCCAGAAAACTGGCGATAATGCGATTCCTCCGTCACTGGGTGTCCCTATGCTCACATCCGATTTCTGTGATCGGACATCCCAGACCTTGAGGCACGTCCCCAAATCTAACTTAACTGCAAGCTTCTTTGAGTCTGTGGAGAATCGAACCGCGCCCACGCGACCAATGCTCTTGAATGGACCAGCCACAAGTTTGCCAGTCTCCAAGTTCCATATCCGCGCTGTTTCATCGGATGACCCGCTCGCCAGCAGGGTGTTGCCCGCAGAGATATCAATGCAGCAGATTTCCCGTGAGTGTCCTTCGAATGTTTTCACAATCATCCCTGTCTCAACCTCCCAGGCTCTCAGTTCCCCATTACTCGAATCTCCGCCACCAGTGACAACCCATCGACCATCCCTTGATACTGCTACCGCATATATCTCCTTCTTGCAAATACCCCGCGCCCCCTCAATCTCCTTACCCGCCTTCAGATCCCATCGCCGAGTAGTCATATCCTGAGATCCGCTGATCATTCGCTGGCCGTCTGGAAAGTAGGATATGGATTTAATGCAGTTTCCGTGACCCTTTAGAGTGATTGATGCAGTCAGATCCAATTTAGTGGTGGCTACCTTCGTTGACGCAGAAGCCATAGTTGCGTCTCCGTGAGCGAAACTGTGAAGTAGCCGAGTATTCTTTGGATATATTCAAAAGTGAGGTCTCCCGTTGCCACTTGCAAATGTGCGCTATATGACTGACGGTGGTAGCGATTTGAATATGGGTCCCCTGGTTATGCCCAACGTCAGTTCATCCGCGCTCGAGATACAGATAATACTTTGGTCTTACCGAGAGGTTCCGATTAGCAGCGATGAACTTGAGGAGCGATGAGCGATGAATTCCTGAATGTGAGTGCAGCTATTGGTTTTAGGTGCCGCCTTGCATATATATACCCTCCTGTGCATGGCAGCTGTGCATTGCGCCCTGAATCGCTTCTCGGCCCACAGCCATGGCTAAAGTAACTGCCATCACTAAACCGCCTATCTATTTTATACTCCCCACCCAATCAAAGACAACCATGGGCGTCAAAATAATCGAGCTTTAATCATTGCTAGTTTGTCAGTTTCGCTTTCGACGCGTGAACGTTTACGGAGACCAATATTTGTAATTCCGTCGCATCAAACTGTCCTGAGTCTGTGTAAACACAATGTTACAGGTGATACGTGGATGTTTCCCTGTTCTTTCACTACGCTTCAACCACCTGGTGAATTCAAGCTATCACTTCCAACATTTGAACGTTTCTCTGCCGCTGGGATCAAGCGCTCATCCACAGTATTCAAATCGACATTTCCATACATCTGCTCGTAGGAAACGAGAAGGTTGTGAGTAGAAATGCGGCATCTCGCAACATGCGCCCGAGCCATTACCCGTCGACATCCCCCCAAACGGACTGCAGGGCACCCAGTGTGCAGTCGAGAGTCGGAGAACTGTATCCGAGATGAGGAAGATACAATAGATCTGTGAACGCAAACAGCGACGTCAGCCAGTTCAAGCAATGACACGGATGACAACAATTAGCACCCTGGAGGTTGTCATCGGTAACTGGAGACCTGTAGACTGCGCAGTAGCGTGGCTACGTCACAAAGGGCATCGCATCTGAGTGAGAGAAGGGGGACTTCTGAATGAAAATACACTGACAAGACTGCTAACCAGGTGGAGATGGTAGACTGCGTTTCAGTGTCGAAGATGAGAACGACAGCCTGAGACGTGCGCGACTGCCTAGGTACAATTTATGTTAGCAACGATCTAGAATGTGATAGATATGTACTTGTTAAAAACTGATTAGCGTCAGAAGTGATGTGACATGTGCATCGTCGTCGCTGGCGAGTTGGATTGGGTTTCCAGTGCATCTGCGCATCATAAGCCCTTCAACTCAACTGCTACAACTTGAGACGTGGGCGACCACCTGGATAAATTTTGTGAGGATGAACTTGAAGTTCGAATGTGATGCAGTACGTACCACATCCTTATAAAAAACTGATTAGCATCGGCAGGAAAAGTAGCATCGCTGAGAAAGCCATTCAGCTTGACGACAGCGACACGTGAGCGTGCAGTGTGTAAAGGGAGTTTCTGCGTCTGGAGAATGCCGAGTCAGAACGCCTGATGCCACTCATAGTAAGCAGAGGATCGCATAACCTCAAACCTAACTGGGCGAGATAAATCATGGGACGGTAGTAGCAGCGCATATCGACGAGAGAAATCAACAAATATGCATTGGTGTGTTTCATGTCCAGCAACGATTTGAGCTATCGCTATGGCACGAAAACACCCCAATGCAAACGGTGTGCTCAAAGAAATTAACGCGACGGATCTAGCTTTGCAGGTGAGGCTGGCATGTATGACATGGAATACAAGTCCTGTAGCTCAACTTGTCGGCGTCAGAACGAGCAGGATATGTGACCACTTATGTATACCAACAGCTTTTCAAACATGGGCGTGATTTATTTAGCGAAAAATAGCATCAGCGGGCAGGGAAGTGGCTCTTGAGCATGCAGATGGGATGACTGGTTAAGGATGACTGGCATAAGTGGACGAGATATCAACGGGACGATCTCAAGAGGGATGACGTACTGAAACTAACAATACCCGCAGCGACAATAATTTGGCCATCTGACCATGGACTTTAAAGCTCATCTGGGGCAAGATTAGAAGGAGCGAAGAGTTGACATCGACTCATTTATGGGCTGGTGAAGTGATTTGAAATTCAGCTTATTGACACAACACGGAAAAACGGGAGCTAGGTGTCATATGAACAAGGAAAATATCTTACCGGTCCTGAATCAGTATGCTGAGATGACGTGGTGCTTGCAACGTTGCAGCACATCCATACTGGTAGAGGCATTGATAAACAACGGCCTCATGTTGACGAGTTCAAGTTACTACGGATCGAGAAGGTCAGCTAGTTGACGCAGATAAGAAAACAGGTTTCAACGGTTGAAATGAAGCATTGAAAGCAGAGAATGACGAGGATGTAGATGCATCGATGAGCGCTTGCAAAACACTTTGATCTGTGTTTGTTGTTGTTTGGTATACAGGTTGACTTCGAAGCCTTGTGCACGTCCGCTGGAGATCATCTTCTGCAGATATCGATATTGTTGCTACTGTGCTTCCTTTCTTTACTGATTTCCATTATCTACCAAGTATTTTTACATCGAAGGAAGATCAACAAATATTATTCTCTGAATCGAGTACGTACGATGGTCTTCGGTCTCTTCACTCGCGTTGGATTCATCACCCGACGCCCAACTACCTTTTCGAATTCCCACACCGACTCCCTGCAGCAGTCTCGCCAGTCCACCTCCCAGTTCCGTATATTCCATCGATTCTGGAGTCCGACCCTAATGCAACAGAGTTAGACCCAACAGCCCTATAGACCTCGTACGTTCATTCCCTCCGCAGACGCTACACATACACCAGATCCTCGCCCAATTCCATTCTAGGCCAACATCGCCATCATCCCCGCACACACTCACTATGTCACGCCTCCTTTGGATTTCAACGACAGCGCCCTCGTTGATTGCGCTGTGTAGGAGACACTGTAGGGTTCCGAAGGGATGTGGGATATGGGTCTTCCTGAATCCTGATGGGTATTACAACGAGGGAAGACACAGTGAGTATTTATCTCACACTTTCGAATACTGACATACGGATGTCAAATGTCACCTACTGAAGCGCCGCACCCTTCATAGCGATATGCGCCCAAACCCAAACCCAAAACCCCTGGTGTCTCCTCCCCATTAGCTGTGCCCACGCAACGGACCCAACACAAATCGAACCTCCACCAACTCTCATGTTACCTCTCCAATGTAGACGGCGTTTCTAGCACATTCGCACGACACAGACATTCCCGCGTACTACTCGAGGATGCGCAACATCAAGCCATACTATGGACAAGAAAGCACGGGAGGTACGCCAATGAAGAGTGGATCCTCTGGTATACGATGGAGAGTTTGAGGGTGCGCGATCTTACGAATGGGTAGGTCCCGTGTTGATTAACACGATGATTCCTAACTACAAGCCTCGAGTAATCTTTTGTTTAACAGTGTCGACTTCCAGTGCTACTCATTCAGCAGGTACCACAGATTCAAGATGCCATCTAGCTTCACTCGTCCATGGTCTGCCCAGGGAATACCCAGGATTAATACTCGAGTCTACACTCGACGCGGGCGAAATCTTAATACACTTTGCTTCATAAATGATGCGAGTATCAGCAAAGCTGTCGGGACTTCCAAATGTCCGCTTTCGACATTGTCATTCACAACAACTAGCACCATAAGTTCATAACAACTTCTAATAGATTAACACACCCCCTGAAACATGCCAGCCTATTGGACTGAGGCCTATTTCATATACTTCATCCCTCGCAAGTCAATAACACCTGCATCATCTCGTCAGACCTAATGTTCGGCTCGACAATACCAATGCCCACGCCTCTCCATCAAACACGAAGGTAGTCGTCGTTTTTGTGGGCAGAAGCATCGTGCCCGAAAGGAAGCTGCGGACCCGCGGCCTTCGAGATTCTAGACCGTAAGTTTACCTCGTCAACACGTCCTATTTCTGAGCAACTCACGGCACAGTTCCTACTGAATATGACCCGAGAAGTACAAACGTGATCCGTTAGTGGCAGAAGTTCGGTTTTGTGGGCAAAATTCCAGAGCGGAGAATCTGATGACAAGCGTAAATATTTCAGGCTTCCCTTCTCAAGTTTGACTATCTAAACTGTATCACCAACTTGTCAATGTATAGCGAGGATTCAATAATTTATACTCTTCCAAAACAATTCGATATCCAGAGACAGGAAGACGAGTAACACGGTGATAATCATAAAGCTGCAGGTAGAACGCGAAACTCGACAGATGAAAGCTCAGTGAATGGCATATTCACGAAGACTGAGCTTCTAAGTGGTCAGTTACCGTGAGGGGAGATGGTCCTGCTTCTGGCTGTGGTTGACTAGCTATCGTTTTCAATTCAATTTCTTCGTGTTGGACCCTAAAAGACAGTTAGTGAATCGTTTTTGTGAACAAATATGTTTTGTATACCTGGGAGGAGCCAGGGCGACTGGACCAATAACATTTTCTTCCTCTTCGTCGTCCTCGAGTTCATCATCATAGACTGGCCGTGGTTCCTGCTTCTTCTCTTTTTTCTGGAACCAGCTGAGGCAAAAGAAGAGTACAAACGGCCGTATTCCGTCGTCCACACCAACGACATCTCCCTAGTGAATGACGCAGTCAGATCTCATGAACACAACAGAATTGTGGAAGACAAACGTAAGTAGCTTCTCCGTGTGCAACGTCGACAACTTTTACAGTTTTTCGTTTCGGTTCACGCACCTTTTGTTTCCCCTTGTCTGATGACGACCGAATGGGATTGAAAAAGGCCCTGCCACCAGGCAAGGGAGTCGATGGAGCACTTTCTCCATGAAGGCGATTGGGAGGCAAGGGTAGTGTAGCAGGGAACTGCGGCCCGAGTGTTGAGTGAGCTGTGAAAGACACAAGAGATAGAGACTCACATCTAAGGGATCACGAGATTGCTCCTTCCGACCAGGGCCTACTGCGTTCGTGCGGAGAGAGAGACGAAGGAATTTACTGAGGCGAAGGAAAGTGGGTTGTTGAGGGTCTCTTGTAGGCAGAGGTCGCGGCGCCATAGGTATGGCGGATATCGGTGGTCTGCGGTGCCCGGCAGGAGGACGACGAGTTGCATCAGACTGCAATGATAGCGATGGGTGAGTGGTACAATGAGTAAAAGAATGAGAAGCGCACATTTAGTATATCTCTGCGGGCTGACCTTTTGCGTGCAATGAGCTGTAAAGGAATGTTAGCACATGAATAGTAGATGATCGCAGTGGATGCATACACGGGCCTGAGCAAGGATGTTGGGTGGAGTATCACAGATGCAGATCTTGTTGTTGTCTTTGGTGTATGTCGTGTAAACTAGTTGGCGTGAATCGGATGAGAGGATAAGGGGAAAGGCATTCTGAACGTCAAAGGAGGCAAGGAGCTGTCGCGACTCGAAAGCCCAGAGCTTGATGGTGTGATCGTCGGAAGAACTGGCAAGGAGAGCACCATCAAATGAAAGTGCTAGACCACCAATGGTCTTGGTGTGCCCTTGAAAGGGAGCTCCGACAGTCTCCAGCGTCACCGCGTCAAACTCGTAGATTGTCTTGGCGTGGTCATCCTGATCAAAATCTGCGGTGAGACTGAATTCAAATGCGGCTATGATCGTTTTGTTCTTCTTTGTCCAGAAAACTGGCGAAAACGCGGTTCCTCTTCCGGTGGGTTTCCCTATCCTGACATCCAATTTCTGTGATTGGACATCCCAGACTTCGAGGCACGTCCCAAAATCTAACTTGACTGCGAGCTTCTTCGAGTCGTGGGAGAATCGAATCGCGCCCAAGAAGCCAATGCTCTTGAATGGACCAGCCACAAGTTTGCCAGTCTTCAGGTTCCATATTCGTGCTGTCCCATCGTGTGACCCGCTCGCCAGCAGGGTGTTGCCCGCAGAGATATCAATGGAGTAGATTTTCTCTGAGTGTCCTTCAAATGTTTTCACATTCCCCGTCTCAACCTCACGGGCTTTCAGCTCCGCACTATTCCAATCTCCACCACCAGCAGTGACAACCCATTGACCATCCCTTGATACTGCCACCGCATATACCTTGCCCTCGAAAACATCCCGCACTCCCTCAATCTCCTTACCTGCCTTTGGATCCCATTGCCGAGTGGTCTTATCATATGATCCGCTGATCATTCGCTGGCCGTCTGGAAAGTAGGATATAGATTGAATGTCCTCTCCATGACCCTTCAAAGTCGTTACTGGTTTCAGAATCGATTTCGTGGTGGCCGCCTTCGTTGACGCAGAAGTCATAGTTGTGCCTCCGTGAGCGAAACCGTGAAATAGTTGAGTACGGGCAACGTATTCTTTGGATGTATTCAAAGGTGCAAAGGTAAGGCACGGCGTCAGTGTATTATATGATTGATGGTGACAGTGATTCGAAGATGGGCCCCCTGTTCAAACCAAGCATCAGTCCATCCCCGCTGGAAATTCAGTTGATATTTTGGTGTTACCGAGAGGTTAACGCTTAGCAGCGAAGGACTTGAGGGGCGATGAATTGTTGAATGTGAGTGCAGCTATTGGTTTTAGGCGCCGCCTTGCATATATATCCTAACACGCCCCCTCTGCATGGCAGCTGTGCACCAGCTGTGCATTGCACCCTGAATCCTTCCATTCATCTCATTTGCTTCTCTTCGCTTCTCTGCTCATAGCCATGGTTGAAGTCGCTGCCATCAGTAAAGCATCAAATTTCCCACTCAACGATGGTCGTCAAAATACTCAAGCTTTATCATTGCTCGTTTGTCAGTTTCGCTTTGGACACGTGAACGTTTACGAAGACCTATATTCTAAATTCCGTCGTATCAAACTGTCCCTAGTCTGCGCAAACACAACGTTACAGACACATGGACGCTTCTCCGTTCTTTCACCACGCTTCAGTCACTTCGTAAATTCACGCTATCACTTCCAATCTTTGAGCGCTTCTCTGACGCTGAGATCAAGTGCTCATTCAGTGTTCAAAATTGACATCTCCACATATCTGCTCGTAGGAAGGTTGAGTAGAAATGTGGCATCTCGCAACCTGCACCCAAACCAATGCCCATCGACATCACCCAGAACCGACTGCAAGGCACCCAGTGTGTAGCCGAGAGCCAGAGAATCGTATCTGAGATGAGAAAGATGCGAACAGCGGCGTCTGTCAGTCCAGGCATCCACTCAGACAATGACAATTGGCATCCTGGAGATTGCCATCGATAATTGGAGACCTGTATACTGCGTGGGAGTGTGTCCGCGTTACAAAGGGTATAGCATCTGCGTCGCTGACGCAGGCGAATTGGTTCGTATTTCCTGTTCAATGACGTGTTCAACTGAGGAGTGTCAGAATGACAGCCTGAGGCATGCGGGCTATGGTGCTACCACCTGTTATGTGAGTGTGATGTAGTGTGGGGTCGACGATATCAATGAAACCGATCACTCACCTTCGGGATTCTTCTGTTCCTTGTTCCGGGCTTGAATGGTTAGACGCGATCTAAAGATCGAAAAATCTCGAGTTCGATCCCTAAATCAGCAGTACGGTGATCAGTAAGAAGCATGTCATTCTCTCGCGTCCTGAAGAACAATGGTAATTTTTGGTCTACTTTCCAGGGACGACCTACTCTCCGCCGACGGCTTTGGGCATACGCAAGACAAGGACGCCCACCATGAGTGAACGAGATATCGACGGCACGATGCTCAGAGATAGCACCTTCTGGAATATGTGCAGTGATAATAACTCGCCCGTCTGACATTGGAAGTCGCTTGAGCTGATCTAGGGAAAGATGAGGGAAAGTATTTTACTGGTCTCGAGTTGGTCTTTTATGATGCGGCTGTATCAGGGATAGTGCGGTTGGATCGAGAGATATAAAAGGGCGCCGTGGCACTTGCAGCTTTGAAGCGGAAGGCCATCACTTGGCATGGCGCCGACTAAACATGATGCAGCGAGCTAGAGGAAGCTTTATTTGTTGTTGTTTGCAAGCCGTTCCCTCCATGATTTCCCAAATCGACGCCACTCTCAGCTGTGTATATAGCACCCTCGCCCACTCCCCATAGGTTCTGATAGCGAGTTTGAGGGTAACAGACACAATTGCCTTGCATGACCTCGTGCGCTCCATCCCACCTCGGATGCTATATGGATCATACACCTCGACCGCATCCGTTCTACCACGAATCAATCATACCACAAAGGCGTCCAACTAACAAAGTTCACAGAATGTACCGTAGCTATGTGATGATATTCATTGTTCCTTTGATGTACTTACATTACATAGCCTGTGGCTCAGGGATCAAAGCACTATATATTGCGTGTTGGCAGTATTCTCTTCTTTCCATCTTTCCATCTATTCGCACCTACTGTCTACTCTGAATTATCATGTCTAGCAACATCCCTACGCTCAATTCTCGAGCAGCCGTCATAGATCTGTCTGATTGTCTGGGCTCTCTATACCACCTTCTCGACACTATCAATAACATTATGAAACTCAGTCACTTGGATGATTGTGAACTGCAACACTACGGGCACAAGGTCTTGTCTTTGTTATTAATCATCTGTTATAGTCAACTAATGATTTCCGTGCAGATAATCACTCTGACGGACGTAATTATAATTTCAATTCTTGTAAACTCTTCAATAATGCTCTTGGTAATTAAGGTCGTGTGCATGACTCTCAGGTATCAGAGATTGGACCTGTCATTGGGGCTGTTTGCTCTTTGTTCTAAGAAATTTCCACCGTACAAGTCAGCGTACTTCAAATTACTTGTTTGGATCAGATGGCGGAAGGCCGCATTTCCTGCTGGCCTGAATGGTAAATATTGGTCGTTGTTTTGTTCGATTTCCTTTTCACCATTTGTATAGATCGAATCAACGTGCTCTTGTTTACTATCGGCCATGGTTTTGTCGTACAACGCAAGGGAGTCAACCCTCATGCCCAACTGGGAATTGAAGAATTACTAGTCCCCAGGAACACGAACCCACTAGATTATTGGATAATTACCAGCAACGCTACAGCGCCTGCTGCTGCTGCTGTCTCGTCGGAACCAAAAACATCCACCAGCCCCTCCGAAATACCTAACAAGCGATGATTGGGCACCTCTCCTTCGAAGGCCATTTGTTCGCAGATTTTGAACAAGAGCCCAACACTTTGAGGTTGGCACTGGGAAGCACTCTTGATGTTCTTTTCCAGCATTATTGGCTGGACCAATGGCTACCACGAACCTCAAATCGCAACCTTCGTCTGCATCTTGTCATCGCGAACACCAAATCTGTCTACATACTCCGTGTTATATGAACAAAACGCCATCCCCTTTCATTGCAGGGCTTTTCTTCAAAATTTCATATCTGTAAATATACATCTATTGCCCATGCCACTATCGACGGACAATCTACCTTCCTCGGCTGCCACACCACTTGTCCTTGAAGTCTGGAGTCTTCTGCCTCATCCTGCGTAAAAATTACATCCCCAGGCACATTTGCCACCCTCACCCACCGCTTTTGTTGTCACACTTCCTTCTATGACCCTTCAAACACAGACTCAGACATGTCTTGCTGCATCTACACAATGGCAACAGCACCCTCATCGAGACTCTGCGTGGCTCTGAAAGAACGAGGATATGGGTCCCCTGACGAGTAGTGCTACGCGCGAACACACACGGTAAGTGTTTTTCTCGTGCTTACAATTCAAATCTGATTTCACGGGATGCATATCAAACAGGTGTGCTCCTGCAGTGTCAACCGTGACGATCAGCTTGCCAATACCTACGCTCTATAAAACGACGCCGGACATCCTCTTTTCCCGTTCTCGACAACTTGGCACAGTTCCTGCTGAATAGTACAGTCACTGCCAGAAGCTCGGATTTATGGCCAAAGCTCTCGTAGTGATCGGACGAATCTGAAATGCTTAGTCTGAGCGGAGAACGAGCGCATATACATTGATGGCAGGCGTAGACATATCAGGCTTCCTTTTTCAAATATCTAAATTATATCACCCGCCGTCAATGCATTTAAGTGAGGATGCGACTATTTATTTTTCCAAAACAAGTCGTGAAGCTGGAGGTACAGTGCGAGATTCAACAGATAAAATGCACAACGGATGAAATATTTAGGAAGACTGCGCCTCTGAGTGTTCATCAGCTACTGCAAGGCGAGATGGTCCTGCCTCTGGCTGTGACTGACTAGCTACCGGTTTCAATTCAATTTCTTCGTGCTGGACCCTAGAAGACCACATTAGTGAATGAATTTTGTGAACGAATAGGTTTGTTGTACCTAGGAGGCACGGGGACTGGATCAAGAACATTTTCTTCCTCTTCGTCGTCCTCAAGCTCGTCATCATAGACTGGCCGTGGTTCCGGCCTCTTCTCCTTTTTCTGGAACCAGCTGAGGCAAAAGAAGAGAACAAATGGTCGTATTCCGTCGTCTACGCCGACAACATCGGCCTAGTGAATGACGCGGTCAGATCTCATGAACGCAATGGAATGGTAGAAAACAAACGTAGGTAGCTTGTCCGAGTGGAACATTGACAACTTGTGCAGTTTTCCGTTTCGGTTCACGTGCCTTTTCCTTCCCCTTGTATGACGACGACCGAATGGGATTGAAAAAGGCCCTGCCACTGGGCAATGGAGTTAATGGAGCGCTTCCTCCATGAAGGCGATTGGGAGGCAAGGGCAATGTAGCTTGGAACTGCAGCGCGAGTGTTGAGTGAATTGTGAAAGAGACAAGAGAAAGTGACATACATCCAAGGGATCATAAGATCGATCCTTCCGACCAGGGCGTACTATGTTTATGCGAGGAGAGAAGCGAAGGAAAGTGGGTTGCTGCGGGTCTCTTGTAGGCGGAAGTCTCGGTGCCATAGGTATGGCTGATATTGGTGGTCTGCGGTGCCCAGCACGAGGATGACGAGTTGCATCAGACTGCAATGATTGTGATGGGTGAGTGGTATAACGAGTAAAAGAATGAGATGCGCACATGCAGTATATGATTGAGAGTTGACTTTTTGCGTGCAATGAGCTGTAAAGGAATGTTGGCACATGAATAGTAGATGATCGCAGGGGATGCATACACGAGCCTGAGCAAGGATGTCCGGTGGGATATCACAGATGTAGATCTGGTTGTCGTCTTTGGTGTATGTCGTGTAAGCTAGTTGGCGTGAATCGGATGAGAGGATAAGGGGAAAGACCAAAAAGAATCCCTGAACGTTGAAGGAAGCGAGGAGCTGTCGCGATTCGAAAGCCCAGAGCTTGATGGTCTTGTCATAGGAAGCGCTAGCGAGGAGAGCTCCATCAAATGAAAGTGCTAGACCATCAATGGTCTTGGTGTGCCCTTCAAATGGAGCTCCGAAAGTCTCTAGTGTAACCGCGTCAAACTCGTAGATTGTCTTGGCATTATTATCATCTGCGTACGGATCCAACTCAGATCCAGAATAGTCATCCCGATCCGAATCCCGCTCAGATCCAACTGTGATGAAACTGAATGCAGCGATGATCGTTTTGTTTTTGTTTGTCCAGAACACCGGCGCATATGTGACACCACCGCTCTCGCGTTTCCCTTTGCTCACATCCAATTTCCCAGATTGGACATCCCAGATCTCAAGGCACTTCCCCACGATGGATTTGACTGCGAGCTTCTTCGAGTCGTGGGAGAATCGAACCGCGCCTATCAGAGAATCGATGCTCTTGAATGGATCAGCCGCAAGTTTGCCAGTCTCCAAGTTCCATATCCGCACTGTCCCATCGTGTGACCCGCTCGCCAGCAGGGTGTTGCCCACAGAGATATCGATGGAGTTGATTTCCCGTGAGTGTCCTTCGAAAGTTTTCACGATCCCCGTCTCAACCTCACAGGCTTTCAGCTCCCCACGTCCACCACCAGTGACAACCCATCGACCATCCCTTGATACTGCCACTGCATACACCCCCTCCTTGCAAACACCCCGTGCTCCTTCAATCTCCTTGCCCGCCTTCAGATCCCATTGCCGAATGGTTTTATCATACGATCCGCTGATCATTCGCTGGCCGTCCGGAAAGTAGGATATGGATCGAATCCCGTTTCCGTGACCTTTCAAAGTCATTGATGGAGTCAGATTCAATTTCGTGGTGGTTACTTTCGTTGACGCAGAAGTCATAGTTGCGTTTCCGTGACGAACCCGTGAAGTAATTGAGTGCGGGCAAGGTATTCTTTAGATGTAATCAAAGGTACACAGGTGAGGTCTCCCGTTGCCAGTGTGTGCTATATAATTGACGGTGTCAGCGATTCCAAGGTGGGCCCCCTGATCAAATCAAACATCAGTCCATCCCCACTGGAATCACAGATGGGAATTTGGTGTTACCGAGAGGTTAACGCTTTAGCAGCGATGAACTTGAGGAGTGATGAATTGTGAGTGCAGCTATTGGTTTTAGGCACCCCCTTGCACATATATACCTCTGCATGACAGCTGTGCACTGGCTGTGCATTGCACCCTCAATCCTTCCACCACATTTGTTTCTCTTTTCTTCCCACTCACAGCCATAGCCAATAATAAAGCGTCAATCTGTTTTCCATTTCCCACCCCACGATGGGCAACAAGACATTGAACTTTTATCATTACTCACTCGTCAGTTTCCCTTTGGCTTATAATTCATGACATCACTTCCACGGAGTACACAACCAAATCAAAGTGTAAAGTTTGGTCGAATCAACTCAAATGACATTCAGAAAATATAAGCGCATCTCAAAGACCTGGCATCGAGCCATGCGAAGTGACAGGGCTGATCCAGTGGATTTGAGCATAAGCTTTTGGTGGGGGATCCAGGCTAGCGTCACAAAGGAGTGAAGTCCATCAAAAGTGTAAACTCGTTGACAATCAAAGACCAGGTAAGCCAAGCGACTATCCAAAGCGATACATGAGAGGGCGAACAATCTTGAAAGGACTGTAAGAGAGGTGGTCGGATTCTAATAACACGCCAGATAGACAAGATCATCCATGAGAATAGGGTCTAGAGAAGCGGAGGTTGATTGGAAGATTGACACGGAAGTAGTTGTTGGCAAAGCGGGACTCGGAATCCAGTCGATTCTAGGAGGTGCTATTGGCAAAAGAGGGTTCCAAGGCTAGTTGTTGTAAAGGCCCACCTGAGAGTGAGAGTCTTCTTGCTCGAATCCATGCACAACCAGGTAGTAAGAGTCGCATCTTGCTCGATAGTTAAATTGCACCGATTTTGTGGTTTGGTGTCGTCCCATCGAATTTCACAAAAATTGTATGAAGCTGGATGTCTAGATGGGTAGGGGGAGTGGAAGTAGAAGGAAGAGAAGGTTGATTTGGACGACCGCCTGATATATGCGAGAAAGCAATTGTAAGACATCCAAATGAGGCTCCTGACGAAATGTACTACCTGTCCTGTCTCACTAAGTACAGTCCGTGATGATGTACAATGAGGCCATTTCAGTCTTGAGCAGATCAACATTCTGTGGGAGATAACCGTCAACGAGGATGGGGATCTGATGAAGTTCATCTTCTGATGGAATTTGGTAAATGCAGCAAGTATTGCAGATAGCACATAATTAATACACGAGTTGAAACATCAGTTACGGAGCATATATCATACAACAAATGTGGACGAGTGCATACGAAGTTAACTGCGATCATGAGCACCACCACGGCTGCTACTTGCTGCACCATCCTGGCGGGGTATGTCAACACGCTCCAAGCGCCATCGAGGAGGCATCCTCAGTCTGCCATGAGACAAACACGAGTAATAGCAGAGGAACGCCTTGACCCAATGCACATCTGGGAGCGAATTGATGTCAGCTGTGTCGTTTTCCTGCGGCACGGTAGCTTGTTGGCTAGAGGGATGTCGGGTATCGTCTACTTTCTTGTATTCCGGTAGTTTGGCAGCAAGAAGCCGCTGTAGGGCACACAGATCAACAAAAAGGTACCGAGAAGTACGGAAATTACATTACAGTGACTTTCCGTCCTGGTGCGACTTCAACGACTGGTGGCCCATGGCTGTGTTTGGGCACTAGGAAAGAGAGATGCTGCCGTAGGGATTGCACGACTCCGTTCGAGCGTGGAGGTGGGGAATTTATTTCAAACTGGATACACTCTCAGTCATGCATCGCGAGTTTAGCATATAAATCGAAGACTGACCTGATCAAATCGAGTTGCGACCTGACCTGAAAGAGGGGATGGTAGGGGTAATGCAGCAGGAACCTGTTGTGCCGTCAGAGTTGTCAAATAACCGAGATACGAGAGTCGCGGCCTACATCTAGAGGATCACGAGGTTGGATGTGACAAACAGGAACTGCATTCGCGCGAGGAGAGAAGTGAAAAAATTTGCTGAGGCGAAGGAAAGTGGGTTGTTGCGGGTCTCTTGTGGGCAGAGGTCTCGGTGCAATAGGTATGGCGGATATTGGTGGTCTGCGGTGCCCGGCAGGAGGACGATGAGTTGCATCAGACTGCAATGATGAAGGTGGGTGAGTGGTGTCATGAACAAAATAATGAGATGCGCACATGCAGTAGATGATTGAGGGTTGACCTTTTGCCTGCAATGAGCTATAAAGGAATATTAGCACATGAATTATAGACGGTCACAGGGGATGCATACACGGGCCTGAGCAAGGATGTCGGGTGGAGTATCACAAATGCAGATTTTGTAGTCGTCTTTGGTGGATGTCGTGTAAACTAGTTGGCGTGAATCGGATGAGAGGATAAGTCGAAGAGGATTATGAATGTCGAAGGAGGCGAGGAGCTGTTGCGACTCGAAAGCCCAGAGCTTGATGGTGGCGTCATCATAGGAAGCACTGGCGAGGAGAGCTCCATCCAATGAAAGTGCTAGACCATCAATCATCTTGGTGTGCCCTTCAAAGGGAGCTCCGACAGTCTCCAGGGTCATCGCGTCAAACTCGTAGATTGTTTTGGCGTAGTCATACTGATCCGAACCTGCGGTGGAATTGAATTCGAATGCAGCAATGATGGTTTTGTTCTTGTTTGTCCAGAAAACTGGCGAAAATGTGGTTCCTATTCCAGTGGGGTTCCCTATGCTCACATCCAATTTCTGTGATTTGACATCCCAGACTTCAAGGCAGGTCCCCCAATCCGACTTGACTGCGAGCTTCTTCGAGTCGTGGGAGAATCGAACCGCGCCTACATCACCGATGCTCTTGAATGGATCAGCCACGAGTTTACCAGTCTCCAAGTTCCATATCCGCGCTGTCCCATCCCATGACCCGCTCGCCAGCAGCATGTTGCCTGCAGAGATATCAATGCAGTTGAGTGCCTGTGAGTGACCTTCAAATATTTTCACAATCTCCGTCTCAACATCACAGGCTCTCAGCTCCGCATGTCCGCCTTCATCCCCGCCACCAGTGACAACCCATCGGCCATCCCTTGATACTGCCACTGCCCATACCTCCTCCTCGCAGACACCTCGCGCTCTCCCTGCAGCAGCCTTTCGCCAATATATCCCAGTTCTGTATGTTCCATCAATTCTGAGTCCGACCCCAATGCAACAGATTCAGACCCAACAGTCCTAACCTCGTACGTTCATTCCTTCCACAGACGCTACACACATACACCGGATCCTTGCCCAGCTCCGTTCTGCCACCATTGCCATCATCCCCGCGCACACTCGCAACGGCAGTGCCCTTGTTGACTGCACTATGTAGGGAACGCTGTGAGGCTCCGAAGGGATGTGGGATATGCCTGATGGGCATTGCTATGAGGGAAGACCAAGTGAGTATTTATCTCGCACTTTCGGTTAACTTCTGAATACTGATATACGGAACGGACCCCAGCATATATCCAATCTCCACCAATCTCTTGTTTCCTTTCCAACATAGGCGGTGTTTCCGACACACTCGCGCGACGCAGGCATTCCTGCGTGGTGCTCAAGGATGCGCAACACCAAACTGTACTGCAGACAAGATAGTACGTGGAGTGCAGCAAGGGAAGATCGGAGTCGCTGGCACACGAGGGCGAGTTTGAGGGTGCGCAATGCGGGGTCAATGGGTAGGTTCCAGGTCGATTAATATGATGTATTTTTGACCACGAGCCTCAAGGAAATTTCTTTTCGGGGCGTTGACTTCCAGTACTACGCATTCAGCATTCACCACGCAATTCAAAACGCCATCTAGCTTCACTCATCTGTGGTCTTTCCAGCGAAAACTCAGGATTGGTACTCGAGCCTACACTCGACGTGGGCGAAATCTTGACGCACTCTGCTTCATAAATGATGCGAGTATCAGCACAGCTGTCGGGACTTCCAAATGTCTCCTTTCAACATCGTCATTCACAACAGCCAACCCCATTAGTTTGACATGCCCCCGAAATGCGCCAGTCTATTGCACCGAGTCGCATTTCACATGCTGCATCCCTCGCCTGACGGGCTAATAACACCTGCAGTATCTCATCAGATCTAATCTTTACTTATCGGAAAGCAGTGCCCTCGATCGTCCCGACAATACTAATGCCCACGCCTCTGTATCAGATACGAAGGTAGTGGTCATTCCTGTTGGCAGGTTCGCCACAACATCGTGACCGAAAGGAAGCCATAGACCCGCAGCCTTCGAGACACTCTAGACCGTAAATTTGCCTCGTTAACGCGCCCTCTTTGCAGTTTTGAGCGACTCACGGCACAGTCCCTACTGAATATGACCCGAGAAGTGCAGACGTGATCCATCACTGGGAGAAACTCGGTTCTGTGGGCAACATTCCAATAGTGATTGGAGAATCTGATGACAGGTGTAGCTTCCTATTTCAAGTTCGACCATCTACACTGCAGTCTGTATTACCTACTTATCAATGTATAGCGAGAATTTGACAATTTTTACTCTTCCAAAACAAATCGATATCCAGAGACAGAAAGACGAGTAACATGGTGATAATCTGCAGGTAAAACGCAAAACTCGACAGATGCAAGCTCAGCGAATGACATTTACGAAGACTGGGCTTCTAAGTGGTCAGTTACCGCGAGGCGAGATGGTCCTGCTTCTGGCTGTGGTTGACTAGCTATCGTTTTCAATTCAATTTCTTCGTGTTGGACCCTAAAAGACTGTTAGTAAATCGTTTTTGTGAACAAATATGTTTTGTATACCTGGGAGGAGCCAGGGCAACTGGATCAAGAGCATTTTCTTCCTCTTCGTCGTCCTCAAGTTCGTCATCATAGACTGGTCGTGATTCCTGCTTCTTCTCCTTTTTCTGGAACCAGCTGAGACAAAAGAAGAGAACAAATGGTCGTATTCCGTCGTCCACACCAACGACATCGGCCTAGTGAATGACGCAGTCAGATCTCACGAACGCAACGGAATGGTATAAAACAAACGTAGGTAGCTTGTCCGAGTGGAACATCAACAACTTTTACAGTTTTTCGTTTCGGTTCACGCGCCTTTTGTTTCCCCTTGTCTGATGACGGCCAAATGGGATTGAAAAAGGCCCTGCCACCGGGCAATGGAGTCAATGGAGTGCTGTCTCCATGAAGGTGATTGGGAGGTAAGGGCAATGTAGCAGGGAACTGCGGCGCGAGTGTTGAGTGAACGGTGAAAGAAACAAGGGAAAGGAACTCACATCTAGGGGATCACGAGATTGCTCCTTCCGACTAGAGCGTACTGCGTTTGTGCGAGGAGAGAGGCGAAGCAATTTGCGGAGGCGAAGGAAAGTGGGTTGTCGCGGGTCTCTTGTAGGCGGAGATCTCGGCGCCATGGGTATGGCTGATATTGGTGGTCTGCGGTGCCCGGCAGGAGGACGACGAGTTCCATCAGACTGCAATGATAGCGATGAGCGAGTGGTATAATGAGTAAAAGAATGAGACACACACATGCAGTAGATGATTGAGGGCTGACTTTTTGCGTACAATGAGCTGTAAAGGAATATTAGCACATGAATAGTAGATGATCGCAGGGGATGCATACACGGGCCTGAGCAAGGATGTCGGGTGGAGTATCACAGATGTAGATCTTGTGGTCGTCATCATTGATGCGTATCGTATAAGCTAATTGTCGTGAGTCGGGTGAGAAGATAAGGCGAGAGGTATTCTGAACGTCGAAGGAGGCAAGGAGCTGTCGCGACTCGAAAGCCCAGAGCTTGATGGTGTTGTCCCCGTAGGAAGCGCTAGCGAGGAGAGCACCATCAAATGAAAGTGCTAGACCACCAATGTACTTGGCGTGCCCTTCAAAGGGAGCTCCGACAGTCTCCAGCGTAACCGCGTCAAACTCATAGATTGTCTTGGTGTGGTCATACCGATCCAAATCTGCGGTGAAATTGATTTGGAATGCGACAATAATGGTTTTGTTCTTGTTTGTCCAGAAAACTGGAGAAAACAAAATTCCTAATCCAGTGAGTTTCCCTATCCTGACATCCAATTTCTGTGATTGGACATCCCAGACTTCGAGGCATGTCCCCCAATCTAACTTGACTGCGAGCTTCTTCGAGTCGTGGGAGAATCGAACCGCGCCTATTTCACCAATGCTCTTGAATGGACCAGCCACAAGTTTGCCAGTCTCCAAGTTCCATATCCGCGCTGTTTCATCATCTGACACGCTCGCCAGCAGTGTGCTATCTGCAGAGATATCAATGCAGTAGATTTGCCGTGAGTGACCTTCGAATATTTTCACAATCCCCGTCTCAACCTCACAGGCTTTCAGCTCCCCACGTCCACCACCAGTAACAACCCATCGACCATCCCTTGATACTGCCACCGCATGTGCGCTCCCCTCACAGACATTCCGCGCTTCCTCAATCTCCTTACCCGCCTTCAGATCCCATTGCCGGGAGATCCCGTCCAAAGATCCGCTAATCATTCGCTGGCCGTCTGGAAAGTACGACATGGATCGAATCCAGTTTCCGTGACCCTTCAAAGTCATCGATGGAGTCAGATTCGATTTCGTGGTGGCTACCTTCCTTGACGCAGAAGCCATAGTTGCGTCTCCCTGATGAAACCGTGAAGTAGTTGAGTGCGGGCAAGGTATTCTTTAGATGTATTCAAAGGTGCAAAGGTGAGGTCTCCCGTTGCCAGTGTGTGCTATATGACTGACGGTGTCAGCGATTCGAAGGTGGCCCCCCTGGTCAAATAAAACATCAGTCCATCCTGCTGGAAATACGGATGGGAATTTGGTGTTACCGAGAGGTTAACGCTTAGCAGCGAAGAACTTGAGGAGCGATGAATTGTTGAATGTGAGTGCAGCTATTGGTTTTAGGCGCCGCCTTGCATATATATCCTAACACGCCCCCTCTGCATGGCAGCTGTGCACCAGCTGTGCATTGCACCCTGAATCCTTCCATTCATCTCATTTGCTTCTCTTCGCTTCTCTGCTCACAGTCATAGCCAATAATTAAGCGTCAATCTGTTTTCCATTTCCCACCCCACAATGGGCAACAAGACATTGAATTTTTATCATTACTCGCTCGTCAGTTTTCCTTTGGCTAATAATTCACGACGTCACTTTCACGGAGTACGCAACCAAATTGAAGTACAAAGTTCGGTCGCATCAACTCGAATGACATTCGGAAAGTATAAGCGGATCACAAGGTCCAAACATCGAATCCTACGAGGTGACAGGGCTGATCCAGTGGACTTGAGCATAAGCTTTTGGTGGAGGATCGAGGCTAGCGTCGCAAAGGAGTGAGGTCCATCGAAAGTGTAAACTCGTAAGATCAAGTCAGCCAGGTGACTGCCCAAAGCGATACATGAGAGGGCGAACAATCTTGAAAGAGAGGTGGTCAGATTCCAAAAACACGCCAGATAGACAAGATCGTCCATGAGAATAGGGTCTAGAGAAGCGGAGGTTGATTGTAAGATCAACATGGAAGTGGTTATTGGTAAAGCGGGACTCGGAATCCAGTCGATTCTAGGAGGTGCTATCAGGCAAAAGAGGGTTCCAAGGCCAGCTGTCGTAGAGGCTCACCTGAGAGTGAGTCTCCTTGCTTGAATCCATGCACAACCAGGTAGTAAGAGTCGCCTCATGCTCGATATTTGAATCGTATCGATTTTGTGGTTTGGTGACGTCCCATCAAGTTTCACAAAGATTGTAGGAAGTTGGAGGTCTAAATGAGTTGGGCAAGTGGAAGTAGAAAGAAGAGAAGATTGATTTGGACGACAGCCTGATATATGCGAGAGAACAATGCGAGTCATCCGGATGAGACTCCTGATGGAAACAAATGTTCCACCTGTCTCACTAAGTACAGTCCGTGATATGAGGTAATTTCAGTCTTGACCAGATCAACATTCTGCGGGGGATAACGTTAGCGAGGATGAGGATCTGATGAAGTTCGTCTTCTGATAGAATTTGGTAAACGCAACAAGTATTGCAGATAGCATATAATCGATACAAGAGTGTTAAAACATCAGTTACGGAGCATACATCATACAACAAATGTGGACGAGTGCATACGAAGTTAACTGCAATCATGAGTACCACCACGGCTGCTACTTGCTGCACCATCCTGGCGAGGTATGTCAACGCGTTCCAAGCGCCATCGAGGAGGCATCCTCAGTCTGCCATGAGACAAACACGAATAATAGCAGAGGAACGCCTTGACCCAATGCACGTCTGGGAGCGAATCGATGTCAGCTGTGTTGTTTTCTTGCGGCACGGTGGCCTGTTGGCTAGAGGGATGTCGGGTATCGTCGACTTTATTGTATTCTGGCAATTTGGCAGCAAGAAGCCGCTGCAGGGCACACAGATCAACAAAAAGGCACTGAGAAGTACTGGCAGCAAGAAGCCGCTGCAGGGCACACAGATCAACAAAAAGGCACTGAGAAGTACGGAAATTACATTACAGTGACTTTGCGGTCTGGTGCGACTTCAACGACTGGTGGCCCATGGCTGTGTTTGGGCACAAGGAAAGAAAAATGCTGCTGTAGGGATTGCACGACTCCGTTCGAGCGGGGAGGCGGAGAACTTATCTCGAACTGGATACAAACTCAGTCATGCATTGCGAGTTTAGCACAGAAATAGAAGACTGACATAATCAAATCGGGTTGCTGCCTGACTTGAGAGAGAGGATGGTAGGGGCAACGTAGCAGGGACCTGTTGTACCATCATAGAGTCAACTGTCAAAGAACCGAGATGTGAGAGTCACGACCTACATCTAGAGGATCACGAGGTTGGATGTGACGAACAGGGACTGCGTTCGCGCGAGGAGAGAAGCGAAGGAATTCACTGAGGCGAAGGAAAGTAGATTGTTGCGGGTCTCTTGTAGGCAGAGGTCTCAACGCTATAGGTATGGCGAATATCGGTGGTCGGCGGTGCCCAGCAGGAGGACGACGAGTTGCATCAGACTGCAACGACAGTGATGGGTGAGTGGTATAATGAGTAAAAGAATGAGACGCCCACATGCAGTAGATGATCAATGGTTGACTTTTTGCGTGCAATGAGCTGTAAAGGAATATTAGCACATGAATAGTAGATAATCGCAGGGGATGCATACACGGGCCTGAGCAAGGATGTTGGGTGGAGTATCACAGATGCAGATCTTGTTGTCGTCTTTGGTGTAAACTAGTTGGCGTGAATCGGATGAGAGGATAAGGGGAAAGGCATTCTGAACGTCGAAAGAGGCAAGGAGCTGTCGCGACTCGAAAGCCCAGAGCTTGATGGTGAGATCGTCGGAAGCACTGGCAAGGAGAGCATCATCAAATGAAAGTGCTAGACCACCAACGGACTTGGTGTGCCCTTCAAAGGGAGCTCCGACAGTCCCCAGCGTCACCGCGTCAAACTCATAGATTGTCTTGGCGTCGTCATCCTGATCGGTGAAACTGAATTCAAATGCGGCTATGATGGTTTTGTTTTTGTTTGTCCAGAAAACTAGCGATAATGCGATTCCTCCGTCACTGGGTGTCCCTATCCTGACATCCAATTTCTGTGATTGGACATCCCAGACTTCAAGGCACGTCCCAAAACCTGACTTGACTGCGGGCGTAGCTATTTTGACGCGGTCCTGCCGCGCCTGCCGCGCCTGCCGCGGTCGTGACGCGGGTGTGACGCGGCATTCACGCGGCTACTAAATGCGCTAGTGTAACTCATTCCTATGTTCTATACTCGACTCTCACATCAAGTTGAATGGGTTCATGATCGTTCCTTCGTTGATTTTATTCACCATAGGCACATATACTACAAGCTAGTCATCAGCTAATGACTATTTTCTTGGTACTGACGAGCCTTGACGCGGGAAAGTTGTCTCAGACGCTTTGGCAGGGTCAATGACTTCACTGATTTTTTTTGACGCGTGTGACCTGAGACCGATAATGCTGCTGACAACCTTTGAGGAGCGCTCTTGCTCCATCTTTGAGTTCGGCTTGAGAACGTGGATCCTCGGAGTCGCAATCGGTCCAGAATGTAATGAATGGTTGAGTAAATCCCACTCATTCAGCCTTGCTTCATGAGTCGATTACATTACCTGTTCCACTTGTCGAATTTGAGTTCGCAAAGAGCATCAGTGGAACGGCGCACCCGAGCGGTCATAGCAGGAAATCAGGTCCCCAACCAGCGGTTGATCTGAACGATTTTGATCCCCTCTCTCACTGGAATAGAAAAATTGAATACATGTTGGATTAATTCCTAGAGTATGGTGCACTCCGTATCTCAAAGCACTCACAAAAGGCATGGGTATATAGATTTTCAACAGCGCGATACCAGTTTTGCCCTAGGCCATAGGAGTGGAGGCTGGAGTAATGATTTTTTGGAGTGCCACTGTCCGTAGAATGCTTATATATCTAACTTACTAAGTGACACTGACAGTTATTGAAATGAGGTTTGACGCGGCATGTATAGATGTGACGCGGCATGGATGAGGTCAGACGCGGCCGTGACGCGGCATTGACGTGGCACAACTTGATTGACGCGCCTGTGACGCGGCACTGACGCGGCATGTGCTATGCTTGACGCGGCATACAAGTGGGCCCTGACGCGGCATAGGAAAGTGTGGAAGTTTACATTAGTACAGAGGCTACGAATATGTTGGAGAGAACTTGTCGTGGTGTGAGTAGTGCTTGACCCAGCCTGACTGAAGCTTGACATGGCATGGTTGGGGGGGCTTGACGTGGTAGTACAGAGTACAGAGGCTCCCGGACTTGATAAAGTGGGGTCGAGACTTGACACAGTGATACGATATTTCACACTGCTGTCTGAAAACAAACGTTGGATCAATGATTAGATCGATCAGAGACAATACAATACAAACACAAGAGGCACAGAACATTCCCCAAGAAGTACGCACACGGGCCGCCAGGATCAAGCAAATTGGTGAGAGATGAATGCTGCATTTCAGGGCCTGTACGCAGATGGACACTCATATATTGATCATTAGCGAGGATTCAAAGTGTTTGGAATTCATTTAGAGCGACGTAAGATAGTGTTTGAACATAATCTGTACCCTAGTATTTGTGACGGGGCCACGTCACATAAGACGCGTCACAGGCGCGTCACGACCGCGGCAGGCGCGGCAGGACCGCGTCAATTTCACCTGGCCCCTTGACTGCGAGCTTCTTCGAGTCGTGGGAGAATCGAACCGCGCCTATTTCACCAATGCTCTTGAATATACCAGCCACAAGTTTGCCAGTCTCCAAGTTCCATATCCGCGCTGTTTCATCGATCGACTTGCTCGCCAGCAGGGTGTTGCCCGCAGAGATATCAATGCAGATGATTTCCCGTGAGTGTCCTTCGAATGTTTTCATAATCCCCGTCTCAACTTCACAGGCTTTCAGCTCTCCACCACCGGTGACAATCCATCGACCATTCCTTGATACTGCCACCGCATACACGTTCTTCTCAAAAACATCCCGCGCTTCCTCAATCTCCTTACCCACCTTCAGATCCCATTGTCGAGTGGTCTTATCATACGATCCGCTGATCATTCGCTGGCCGTCCGGAAAGTAGGATAAGGAATAAATACAGCTTCCATGACCCTTCAAAGTCATTGATGGAGTCAGATTCGATTTCGTGGTGGCTACCTTCGTTGACATAGAAGCCATAGTCGTGTCTCCGTGAGCGAAACCCTGAAGTAGTTGAGTACGGGCAATGTATTCCTTGGATGAATTTAAAGGTGAGGTCTCCCGCTGCCTGTGTGCACTATATGACTGATGGTGACAGAGATTTGAATGTGGGTCCCCTGGTTAAGCCAAACGTCAGTTCATCTACGCTGGAGATATAGATGATATTGTGCTGTTACCGAGAGGTTTCGGTTAGCAGCGATGAAGTTGAGAGCGACGAGCGATGAATTCATGGATGTGAGTGCGGCTATTTGTTTTAGGCGCTGCCTTGCATATATGTATATACCCTACCACGCTCCCTCTGCATGGCAGTTGTGCACTAGCTGTGCACTGATCCCTGAATCCTTCCATTCATCTCATTTGTTTCTCTTCGCTTCTCGCCTCACAACCATGGCTAAAGTCACTGCCATCACTAAATCATCAATCTATTCTCTATTTCCCACTCAACGATTGGCGTCAAAATACTCGAGCTTTATCGTTGCTCGTTTGTCAGTTCTGCTTTGGATGCATGAACGTTTACAGAGTCCAATATTTTTTTTAATGCTGTCGTATCAAACTGTCCTAAGTTCTGTGCCAACACAGTGCTATAGACACGTGGACGTTTCTCCACTCTTTCAACCACGTCCTGAATTCACGCTGTCACTTCGAATCATCGAACGTTTCCATGACGCTGAGATAAAGTGCTCGTCCAAAGTTATTCAAAATCGACATTGTCATACATCTGCTCCCAGGAAAACAGAAGCCTGTGAATAAAAATGCAACATTTCGCGTCCTGCACCAGAGCCACCCAGAACCGACCACAGGCGTTAGTCGAGAGCCAGATAATCATATGCAAGATGAGGAAGATACAAAAGATCTGTGAACGTGAACAGCGATGTCAAGGAGTCCAGGCATCGACTCGGATGATAATAATAATAATAATAATTGGCACCCTGGAAGCTGTCATCGGTAACTGGAGACCTGCGGACTGCATGAAAGCATGTCCACGTCACAAAGGAATTAGCATCTGCGTCGCTAGTGCAGGCGAGTCGGTTCAGGTTTCCTGTGAGATAACATTGAAATCCCACTCCAACTAAGAGTGTCAGAATGACAGCCAGAGGCATGCGCACTACCACCTGTTATGTGAGTATGATGTGATGTGGGTCGACGATACCAATGAAACCGATGCACTCACCTTTGGAATTCTTCTGCTCCTTGTTCCGGGCTTGAATGGTTAGAGGCGATCTAAAGATTGAAAGTTTTGCAGTTCGATCCCTAAATCAGCAGTACGGTGATGAGTAAGAAGCGCATGTTATTCTCTCACATCCCGGAGAACAACGGTCAATTTTGGTCTACTGACCAGAGACGACCTGCTCTCTGCCAACGGCTTTGGGCATGCACAAGACAAGGACGCCTGCCATGAGTGAAAGAGATATCAACGGCACGATAACCAGAGGGATAGCACCTTCTGGAATATGTGCAGTAACAATAACGAATAACTCACCTTCTGACATCGGACGTCGCTTGAGCTGATCTAGGGAAAGACGAGGGAAAGTATCTTACTGGTCTCGAGTTGGTCTTTTATGATGCTGTATCAGGGATAGTACGGTTGGATCGAGAGATAGAAAGGGGCGCCATGGCACTTGCAGCTCTGAAGGATCGGCATAGTTCCTCTGAATAGTACAGTCACTGACAGAAGCTCGGATTTGTGGCCAAAGCTCTCGTAGTGATCTGACGAATCTGAAATGCTTAGTTTGGGCGGAGAATAAGTGCATATACATTGACGACAGGCGTAGATATATCAGACTTCCCTTCAAACTCTCAAGTTTAAATATCTAAATTATATCACCCACCCGTTGATGCACTTTAGTGAGGATATGACTACATTTATTCTTCCAAAATAAGTCGTGAAGCTGGAAGTAGAGTGCGAGATTCAACAGATGAAATGCTCAACGGATGAAATATTCACGAAGACTGTGCCTCTAGGTGTTCGTCAGCTACCAATGGTCCTGCCTCTGGCTGTGACTGACTAGCTACCAGTTTCAATTCGATTTCCTCGTGCTGAACCCTAGAAGACCACGTTAGTGAATTTATTTTGTGAACGAATAGGTTTGTTGTACCTGGGAGGCACGGGGACTGGATCAAGAACATTTTCTTCCTCTTCGTCGTCCTCAAGCTCATCATCATAGACTGGCCGTAGTTCCTGCTTCTTTTCCTTTTTCTGGAACCAGCTGAGGCAAAAAGAAGAGAACAAATGGTCGTCTTCCATCGTCTACACCGACAACATCGACCTAGCGAATGTTATGGTCAAAACTCGAGAATCCAATAGAATTGTAGAAACAAACATAGGTAGCTTGTCCGAGTGGAACATTGTCGATTTTTGCAGTTTTTCGTTTGGGTTCACAGGCCTTTTGCTTTCCCTTGTATGATGACGACCGAATGGGATTGAAAAAGGCCCTGCCATTTGGCAAGGGAGTCGATGAAGAGCTTTTTCCGTGAAGGCGATTGGGAGGTAAGGGTGATGTAGCAGGGAACTGCAGTAGGAGTATTGAATCAAACGTGAAAGAAACAAGAGAAATAGACTCACATCTAAAGGATCACGAGGTTGATCGTTCCTAACAGGGTGCACTGCGTTCGCGTGAGTGAAGTGAAAAAATTTGCGGAGGCGAATGTTGAAAGTTGGTTTCTGCAGGTCAATTGTGGGCGGAAATCTCTGCGCCACAGGTGTGGAGAATATTGATTGTTTGCAGTGCCCAGCAGGAGGACGGCGAGTCGCATCAGACTGCAATGATAGCAACGGATGAGTGATGGAATGAGTAAATGATAAGGAGCGTACTTTAAGTAGATCACTGAAAGTTGGCTTTTTGCGTGTAGTGGCCTGTGAGGGAATGTTAGCACACGAACGGTGGATGTTGGCGGGAATTACGTACGCTGGCCTGAGCAAGGATGTCAGGTGGAGTGTCGCAGATGCAGATCTTGTATACATCTTCGGTGTTTATTGTGTAAGCTAGTTGTCGTGAGTCGGGTGAGATAATGAGTCCATGAAGATTCTGAATGTCGAAGGAAGCAAGGAGCTGGCGAGACTCAAAAGCCCAGAGCTTGGTGCTGTCGTCTCTGGCAGCGCTAGCAAGGAGAGCACAATCAAACGAGAGTGCCAGACCGGTGACAAGTTTGGTATGCCCTTCAAAGTTCAAAGGGAGCTCCTACATTCTTTAGTGTCGACGCGTCAAGCTCGTAGATCGTCTTGGCATCGTCGTCCGTAGAGGTTAAGGTTAATGCGGCTATGATTGTTTTGTTCTTGTTTGTCCAAAATACTGGCGCAAATGCGACACTCGAGTATCCAAGGGGTTTTCCTATCCTCACAACTGATTTCTGTGATCGGACTCCCCAGACTTCAAGGCAGTCTCCCGTATCAAACTTCACTGCGAGCTTCTTCGAATCATTGGAGAATCGAACTGCGCCCACCCAACCAACGCCCCCGAATGGGCCAGCCACGAATTCCAAGTTGCCAGTGTCCAAGTTCCATATCCGCGCTGTACCGTCTTTTGACCCACTCACCAGCCGAGTGTTGTCCGCAGAGATATCAACACAGCTGATCTTCTTCGAGTGGCTTCCAAATGTTTTAATAATCCCCGTCTCAACATCACAGGCTTTCAGCTCCCCGTGCTCGCCATCTCCACCAGCAGTGACAACCCATCGACCATCTCTTGATACTGCCACCGCATATACCCTCCCCTCGCAAACACCCCGTGCTTCATCAATCTCCTTGCCCACCTTCAGATCCCATTGCCGAGTGGTCTTATCCCAGGATCCGCTGATCATTCGCTGGCCGTCTGGAAAGTAGGACATGGATTGAATGTTGTTTCCATGACCCTTCAAAGTCATTGACGGTGTCAGAATCGATTTCTTCGCGGCTGTGTTTGTTGATGTGGAAGCCATTTCTATGTCTCCGTGAGCGAGACTGATGTAGTCAAGTATAGGAATGGTATTCTTTGGATATGTTCGTGGTGCAAATGTGAGGTCTCCTGTCGTCGGTATCCTATATGAGTGACGCTAACAGTGATTTGAAGATGGGTCCCCTGGTTAAGCCAAACGTCAGTCCATCTACGCTGGAGATACAGATGAGATTTTGGTGTTACCGAGAGGTTAACGCTTTGGCAGCGAAGAACTCGAGGAATGATGGATGCCTGAATGTGAGTGCAGCTATCGGCCTTAGGCGTCGCCTTGCATATACTTATATACCCCAACACGACCCTTCTGCGTGGCAGCTGTGCATTACACCCTGAATCATTCTATCACATTTGTTTTTCTTTGCTTATCGACTCGCAGCCACAGTCGCGTCAATCCATTATCCACTTCCCACCCCACGACGACAATGCATTGAATTTTTATCGTTACTCACTCGTTGGTTTGCCTTCGGCTTATAATTCATGACGTCACTTCCAAAGAGTACTCAACCGAATCAAAGTGCAAAGGTCGGTCGAATTAACTCGAATGTCATTCAGAAAATATAAACGAATCACCAAACATCGAACCATACGAGTGACAGGGCTGATCCAGCATAAGCTTTTGGTGGAGGATCAAAGCTAGCGTCATGAAGGAGTGAGGTCCGTCGAAAAATGTAAATTCGTTGACGGTCAATGACCAGGTCGGCCAAACGAATATCCAAAGCGATACTTGAGAGGGCACAATTGGAACCCGAAAGGACTGCGATAGCCTTTGAAGGTGGCCGGATTCCAAAAACACGCCGGATAAACGAGATCGTCCATGAGAAATGGCTCTAGAGAAGTGGAGGTCGATTGGAAGATCGACACTGAGGTGGTTATTGGTAAAGCGGGACTCGGCATCCAGTCGATTCAAATGGGTGCCATCGGACACGAGGGATCCGAGGTCGGCTGTCGTGAAGGCCTGCCTGAGGGTGAGAGTCTTGCTCGAATCCATGCACAACCAGGTAGTAAGAGTTGTGTCATGCCTCATAGTTAAATCGTACCAATTTTGTGGTTTGGTGTCTTCCCGTCGAGTTTTGCAAAGATTGTATGAAGTTGGAGGTCTAAGTTAGTAGGAAGTAGAAACAAGAGAAGGTTGATTGGACGACGGCTTGATATATGCGAGAAAGCAATTGTGAGATATCCGAATGAAGCTCCTGACGGAAACAAATGTTCCACCGGTCTCACTAAGTACAGTCCGTGATGAGGTAATTTCAGTCTTGACCAGATCAACATTCTGTGGGAGATAACAGTCAGCGAGGATGGGAATATGATGAAGTTCATCTTCTGATGGAATTTGGTAAACGCAGCAACTATTGCAGGTAACAAATAATCAATACACGAGTGTTCAAACATCAGTTACGGAGAATATATCATACAGCAAATGTGGATGAGTTCATATGAAATTAACTGCGACCATGAGCACTACCACGGCTACTATTTGCTGCACCATTCTGGCGAGGTATGTCAACGCGCTCCAAGCGCCATCGAGGAGGCATCCTCAGTCTGCCATGAGACAAACACGAGTAATAGCAGAGGAACGCTTTGACCCAATGCACGTCTGGGAGCGAATCGATGTCAGCTGTGTCGTTTTCCTGCGGCACAGCAGCCTGTTGGCTAGATGGATGTCGAGTATCGTCTACTTTCTTGTATTCCGGTAATTTGGCAGCAAGAAGCCGCTGTAGGGCACGCAGATCAACAAAAGGCACTGAGAAGTACAGAAATTACATTACAGTGACTTTCCGTCCTGGTGCAACTTCAATGACTGGTGGCCCGAGGCTGTGTCTTGGCACGAGGAAAGAAAGATGCTGCCGTAGGAATTGTGTGACTCCATTCGAGGGGGGAGGCGGAGAACTTATTTCGAACTTGATACGCACTCAGTACTCAGTCATGATGCAAGATGACTTAAAAATGAAGACTGACATGATTGAACCGAGTGGCGGCCTGCCCAGAGAGAGGGGATGGTAAAGGCAATGTAGCAGGGACCTGTGGTGCTATCGTCCAGTCAAATGTAGAAGAACTGAGATATACGACCTACATCAAGGGGATTACGAGGTTGGACAGGTGGTACCGCATCCGTACGAGGAGAGAAGTGAAGAAGTTTGCGAATGCGAACAAAAACGGGTTGCTGTGGGTTGATTGTAGGCAAAGGTCTTTCTGGCCTGGGTATAGCGGATACCGGTTGTCTGCGGCGCCCGGCAGGAGGACGACGAGTTGCGTCAGACTGGAATTATAGCGATGGATGAGTGGTGTAATGAGTAAAGGAGTGAGATGCCTACATTTAGTAGGTCGTTGAGGGTTGACTTTTTACGTGCACTGATCTGTAAGAGAAGGGCCTGTTAGAACACGAACAGTGGACGTCTGCGGGGAATGCGTACACCTGCCTGAGCAAGGACATCGGGTAGAGTGTTGCATATGTAGATCTTGCAATCATCTCTGTTGAATGTCGTGTACACTAATTGGCGCGAGTTGGGTGAGAGGATAATGTTATGGATGTTATAAGCGTTGAATGAAGCGAGGAGCTGGCGAGACTCGAAATCCCAGAGCTTGATGGTGTCATCAAAAGAAGTACTGGCAAGAAGAGCATAGTCAAATGAAAGTGCTAGACCACGGATGGTTCTGGTGTGCCCTTCGAAGGAAGCTCCTACAGCCACCAATGTCGATGCATCAAATTCATAGATCGCCCAGGCGGCGTCAACCGTAAATGTGAACGCAGTCAAGATGTTTTTGTTTTTGTTTGTCCAGAACACTGGCACAAGTGTGAGTCCGGGTCCACCAAATTTCCCTATCCTCACATCCAACTTTTGTTTTTGAACATCCCAGACTTCAAGGCATGTTCCTGTGTCTAACCTCACTGCGAGCTTCTTTGAGTCTTGCGAGAACCGAACTGCGCCCACCCAAGGGCAGCTGCTCTCGAACGGACCAGCCACGAGTTTTCCAGTGTCCAAGTTCCATATTCGCGCTGTGGCATCTTTTGCCCCGCTCGCCAGCAGCGTGCTGTCCGCAGAGATATCAATGCAGACGATCTGATCCGAGTGTCCTTCAAGTGTTTTGACAATCCCAGTCTTGGCCTCACAGACTTTCAGCACCGCCGCGCTATTCTGATCTCCACCAGCAGTGACAACCCATCGACCATCCCTTGATACCGCCGCTGCCCACACATCCTCCTCGCAAACACTACGCGCTCCCTCAATTTCTTTACTTGCCCTCAGATCCCATCGCCGAACGGTCTTATCCTTGGATCCGCTGATTATTTGCTCGCCATCCTGAAAGTAGGAGATGGATCGAATCGTATCTCCATGACCCTCCAAATTGATTGATGGTGTCAGAATCGATTTAATGGCGGCCGCCTTTGTTGATGTAGAAGCCATAGCTACTACGTCTCCGCAAGTAAAACCGTTTTGTAGACAAACACGAAAAAGGTATTCGTTGGATAGGCTTGAAGGACTGGTGGTGTGAGCTCTTCTCGTGCTGTAGGCCTGACGCTGATTTGAGGACTCCCAGCCCACTCGAGAGTACTTTGCCTGCTAGAGCTGGTTGTCAGTTCATTCGCGCTGGAACTTCAGATGAGAGTTGATGTTATGAAGAGGCTAGCATTGATAGAGGGAAGGATTCTACAACGTCAGTACAGCTATTGTCCTTGCAAGATGTGCTATTTATTCTTCAACTCGATATTCAGTTCCTGTGCTAGAGCGTCAATCCCTTGTTTATTTCTCACCCGCCAGTGTCGCTGTGTGCTAAGTCTCAAGATAGCATATCTGGAAAGCCCGAAACGTCGGATGTGCTGTGGTATTCAATGTTAGTATTCGATGTTCTTTGCTCGCTCTCCATTGCAGTTTTGCTTTGGACGCCGGCAGACACGCGAACAGTTGCCATTACTAACACTGTAGGACAACACAGAGACCACCTCTCCTCATCCCATAGTCTCCAACGTTCTGAGTACACACTCATGCAAGGCCATCTCACTTTCCCAATGCTCGACCAACCCCAACCTTTCGGCATCGACAATTTTAGTTTCATGGCACGCCCTGATTACCTTTGAAGGTTCCGATCTCTGAATGTCCCTCTGACGCTGTGATCAACGAGTGAGTGCCCATACCTAGAATCTGGAAGCGCGAGAATGATGCAAGACTTATCTTGTAATGACCAGCACGTGAGACCTGCTCGCCAAGGCCACTGCTGCCTGACATATGATGAGGGCAGGTCATAGAGCATTGCACATTTCAACTAATGGAAATGCATGTCTTCTGCCGTAGTTGATTTCAGCAGCCCTTCAAGTCTCCCGGAGAGAATGCAACTGCTGGTTCATTTTCCCGAGGGACAAGTCAGAGATGGACTAGCGCAGTGAGATGGATCGAACAGAGAAATTTACTCGTCGTACAAGTTAATAGCAAAGGTTCTCCGAGAATTTGGATCAGAGAGTAGACCTAATCTGACCCTAGAGTCGACCGAGGGTGACTTGAGAGGGAGTCCGCGTCGGGCTGCACAGGGAATTCCTGCATCTGAAGCACAGCGTGCTCAATAGATGCCGAATAAGAGTGCCCTGACAACACCCATAGTCAGTATAGCATCGCAAAACCTCAAGCCATCTCTTAGACGCGAACATACAACTAGCGCTGGCAACAGCGAAGCCCCGACGTAAAATAAGCCCCGAGGTAAAATTGGTGTGTTTCAGGTCCAACAGTGATTCAGACCAAAACATCCTAGCTCCACAAACACTCCAACGAAACAAGTTGCTCGGAGGAGTAGGAGCTGTAAGTAGAGAGCACACGAAAAGAAGACCAGGGGTAATGACTCGGAATTCCTCATGGCCAGTCATGGAATCACAGAGAAACTCACGGTGGATATGAGCGCTGAGCTGTGATCTCGTTGTTTTGCGGGGAGGTATACTAGCACACTGCAGGTAAACGGGAAATTCAACAACGACCCCTCGCCCAAGCCAGCCAGCAAACTTTTCAAATTTCCACCATAGGCAGTGTTTCGGAATCCAAGTCAGGCACACACGACCATATGCGTTCTTGAGTAAGGCTCGACAGAGACTGAGGGTGAGTTCGTAAATTTGGAACACAAAGAAAGAGGTCGATAGGTTATCATGACATTCATGAATCATGTATGATCGATTGATCTCCCTAAAGTTGCCGCACACGGCGGCATCTGTGTTTGTTGTTGTTTGGTGTACAGGCTCGCCGCTCCGAGTCGACTCTAGAGTCTGGAGTCCAAGTCACCCAGCCTGCAGCATGTGCATGCAGTGGCACCCTCCAATTGCCCTCCAGATTAATTGATATCGTTTCTACTATTGTTTCTTCGTTTCCTGATTTCGAGTTCTCAATCACCTGTTTGGAAGATACAAGCATTCAGTCTCTTCATTCGCAAGCTTGAAGCGTTGAACGTTGCCAAGCACACTAATTTCATATTCACCGCCGGCATGACCCAATTCCTACAGGTTTTTCCTATCTCGGCGCTTGGTTTTGCAAACCACTGTGATGCCTGCTGCGGTCCTCGTCATGTTCTTTGACCCCATTCCAACCATGCCACCATTGGCTGGTGTTGAACCATGAAGATACATGCAGCCGATGGGCAACTTGTCAACACGACTCCTGGCGCCAAGGCATTGCCCCCCGTACACCCTCAACAAGGATCGCCGAAGGTCTTTCATTTACCGCTTTGGGGTGACGAATGAAAGTGTGCCAACAGGCTAATTGCTTTATTCAAGTTCCGAGGTCTCTAGATCTATGGCTCAGAAACGAGTGAGAATACTGGAGTCCTGATAACACTTGCTGAATGGTCGAAGTCTGTAACTCACATACTCTGACATCTAAGACTGGCTTTCCAGACTCGCGCAAAGCTCGCCGAATTTCAAATGACGAATGCATGATGATCCGGGGGTTCCTGATAGCACCTCCCGGATAACGGGAGCCTGTCCAGCATATATTACAGGATTCCGCAAGGCGTCAAATGCTTACATATACATTGGCGCCTTCTCTAGGTATGGACGCCTGTGGGAACAGGCGTGGGATTTGGCAAGTTCACGCCTTGCTCTGACTACACACTTTTTACATCTTACTTCACTCAGACTGTCCTACAACTTCCACTGTTCGCGATGAGTAATGTCTCCAAATCCCGTGCCATGGATTCGAGGCTAGATCATCTTCATGAAGCCTGGGAATTCAGCCACACAAACCCTGACGAGAGCTTGGTGCGTGATCATGATGATCCCGTCTGATAAGGGCTCATGAAATATATCGTGCTTAAAATCTTGCCTCTGATATTTCCTTCGTACAGAGCCGACCCCGTGGCAAAATTCATCGGTTTCTACGGAAGATCAAGGGTTTGACTAAAAAAACATCTGTATGTCTGACGAGGGCTCATGAAATATAGCTTGCCTCTGACATTTCCTTCGTACAGAGCCGACCCCGTGGCAGAATCCATTGGTTTCTACGGAAGATCAAGGGTTTGACTGAAAAAACATCTGTATGTTGATGTAAATGCCCTGAATTGAGGCTGATATCGTGCAGGAACACTTTAGGCGTTCCAAGAGCCTCCCCATTCAACGGAACGTCGACAATGAACGTGCTTCGTCGATTCAGAATGTCGAGGTGGGCACTCAAATCCGTTATTGCAGTCCTTCACTTATCTGAGAAATGCCTAGGACCCATCGCATCTTCATCTTTCCAGGGACAACGACAAGCGTTCCACTAGTTATCAAAATCCCAATAGCTTGAACCGAGGATCATCTCAAGATCCAGTTTTGAAGGTACTTGCATCCAAATGTTTTCTTACGCTTACTCTAAATCGTGATATTTATGATCAGGAAGCCCCTTCTGGCTTGGAGGATGACGTCGGCGTCCGCCCAGTAAACACGAGCCTTCTGGATGCCCATGGAATCATAAACCACATGAATCCGCTCGCGAGATCTGGGGCGGACATTCACCCAAATGTACAAACAATTGTTGATACTAACATCTCCGTCCAACCTCAGACAGCTCTTAACGGATATCCATATCATATATCGAACCTTGATATGTCGGCCTCTGCCTCAGAACCCGAAGAAACTCCTGTGCTGCAGTATATAATCACCCACATTTTTTGCCCCATCAAGTTACCGCGGCGTGATGATTATACTGCTGACAGAGATCGCGCCCTCCTTGATCTGGTGCTAGGCTCTGCTCGCAATTTTGTGAGCCATTTACCCCACAGCGATCAAGAGCATTGGAGTCATTTGTTGAAGATGCTGAAGCACCTTGGGGTTGCAACGACATCTACTTCCCTGACACAGGATGTTGAGTCGCAAGTTCGATCTATGCGTGCTGGAGGTATGCTCATAGTGTTAGCGACCCGAATTGATGCAAATCTCAACGTTTCCCTACAGATATTCTCGCATATGTGATTCGAGCACAAAATGCAGCTGTCGTGCTTCGTAGGCTTGGTGCAAATACGATATTTGAATCCTTTGAAGTTTCTCCAGTAGCGTCTGCTGTTATGGCAGCACAGGGGAAGCTCCTCTGTTCTTATCCAGGACCTGCAATCGCCGTACCAAACTCAACTGTGGATAACCCTACTTTTCTTCCTGAGTTGGCGAACTTTCTCATGCATATGAACCACGATGTGTTAGATTCGGCAGCAACCACTGCCGAAGCGCATTCCACAGTTCTCAAACACCGAGACACTGCACATCCTCGCTATATCACCGAGCTTTTGACTGGCATCCTGCGCGCCTTTGGCGAGCCAGCTGACATCCCTCGTATCCGAAAACGTATAGGCGATGATGTCTCATGTTCGAAGGACAACCTTGCGTGGCGGAGATCATCCCTATGGCTTGTCATAAGGGTCGTATTGCAGACATCCCTCGAGCGCACCACCCTTGGTCGACAGGGGTATAAGGCCTTCATGGCCTCGCTCATGACGGACCTTGTATTCAAAGCACTTCAGGAGGATCTGTCGAGCGATCTGCTCTACTTCATGTCCACCAAAATCAGTCGACGTTTGGTCAAGCTTCAAGTCGAAGACGGATATTTAGCGGAGATGATGCGCAACGCGACCGAGGGCGTCAAAAATCGACTGGAACTGCGTTGGAGGGAGGTCCAGGTTGCCCAGGCACATTTCCCTTACTGGGATGCCTCGAAGATCGACATAGACAGAGACACCAGGCTCTCTTTGACAGCGAGCGAAGAGTATATCGCTGGTGTCTTACAATATACCTATGTTCAACCTACAGTGCCAGATTTTCAACCCGATCATCACCTATGGGGCAGTATCGACGACTTCCTTGATCCCGATGCCAAATTCTTAGCGGGTGCTTATGCTGAGGACCCTTTTTTAGCACTTTTTGATTTTGAACATGCCGTCGAGCAGGGCATCGCTAGCTGGGTGGACAAAATCATCAACCTTGATGCTGTTCACATCAATGCCGCTTGCCAGACCATTCAAACGTGCGCCACGAGTTACGCCACCAAAGGGCGGCTTTCCTATTCCAACAATCCCGAAAACACATCCATCATGCTTCTTACATTGTTCGAACTATGGGCCGCACTCGACAAGCTGGCTGTTAGATCAATCCCCCTCCTTAAAGACTATTCTCCGGAGGTTCCAGTTACCATTTTCAATCGCCTTCTCCTTCAAAACGCCACTGCTTTAGCGCGTCTCAAACTTCTTCAACAGTATGTTGCTGCTCGCATCCGCGGCGCGCGCTTTGGTTTCTCTGTCTTCTCGGACAGCATGGGCGTAGACACGTTCGCAGTGCGCTATTATCACCAATCCAAGGAATTACAGTCACTGAAGTGCAGGATCGAGCACGATGCAGCTGTCGAGTTGAGCATGCGGATGGACGATCTTTACGATAAGAGCAGCAGGTACCGACATCTCACCCATGACATTAATGCTCTCACATGCGACACATACATGGATCCGCGGGGTTCAAGTCGACACGATGATAGTGATTGTCGCAGGTGCAGAAAAGTGCAGGAGAGGAGGCATCTTTGCATTGAAATTCATGAATGGCCACTTCCTGACGATGTCGACCATGCAGCGGTAGTGACATTTGAACTTGGTGCACCGATCGCTTTCAAGATGTGGCGATCTTTTACCATCCACCTTCTTCATGACATATGCACCCCAGCTGTAAAACAAACTAGGAGCGCAGCACAATTCATGCTGCTCACACATTACAAACCCTTTTTGGACTATCACTTGGAGCGTACTGACCAGCATATCACGCTGGCCTCCGAAACACAATCCTTCCTGACCTCTCAGAGCCGTTTCAAATCCTTCCCATGCACTGAAAGCGACATCCGCTTCAACAATCCGCTGCGTTTTCGCCTTTACAATGCAACTAGAGGCGTTTGGGTGTCTAGCCTATTTCAAAACATCGACATATCTGATCTATGCACGTACGAGTTGCCGCCAGGCCCGTATCACGGACTGCAAAATTACCTGTCGAGCACCGAGCACACCTCCAATGAGGTCTTAGCCAACCAGGCTTTGTGTCATGGAGAATTGACGCTCCACGAATTCATTGCTTTCGGCAACTTACGTAGCGGCAGCCTCCTGCAATGGATTAACATTCTTCGTGAATTCCGAGCACGCACGCTCGCCTTTCGTGATCCAGAAGTCTATTTTCTGTTGCTTCAGGCTAGCTGTGAGGTGGGAGAGCTTTCGGCGGATGGGTATAGGGTATGGCACGATGAGTTGCGAGTCTCAGATTTTGGGCATGCCCTTATCGATGAGCTCCAAAGCTTAAAAGTCAGTGTGGAAGCTAACTGGCTCGAGGGGCTAACAATGGCAACCATCTCCACTATCACGTCCCGCCTTCTCTCATCGGCAGAGGATTCTGGTGTCATCGAGCGATCGTACAACTTGCTGCGCGTCGTCCGAGATGCAACTTTCAAATTAGTGCAAGAACTATCCAAGGCTCTCCAAGATGCAACAAACGAAAATTCCCGTCGTGAATGCCAGGACCACATTCGCGATATCGCAGCAATTTGTCGCAGCACCTACGACGTAGGCTCGGACAGTATCAAAGAACTCCTCCAATCACCACATGACTTAGAGATCTTGGTGTACTGCGCCGTTATGTTGAGGGACAACACGCCTCTAAATCTACATGGTCTTCCCCTGGTTTCAAGGCTACTTCTTGAACGTGATCGTCGGTTGTCACACTTCTTAGAGATTCATTTACACCGCCATGTGGAATATGATAGCCAAGGTCTTGATCGGGCGATGATCAATCTCTGGCCTGCATACCGGCGCCACACCTACTGGACAGTACTTGAATCTCCAAACTCTCGATGGCTTAGATGTGATACAGCGCCTTCCAGCGATGTATCACGTCAGATTATTCACCTTGATATGTTGACGGGGTGCCTATTGGTCGACGGCAAGCCCTTAAGGAGGCTACCGGTGTGCTTTTTGAAGCATCCTAGCTACGGCGTACTCTTCAGTCATGTAAGTGTGCATCTTGCCAAATAGTCGCCAGCGATCTGATAGCACTGAGTAGCAAGAGCTTGATGTTTTCCCTGCGGAAATGCCCGGCTTCGAGTTTGCGACAAAAGCTCTCATGCATGGCTTTCAAGTGAGGTAGCACAGTTTAAGGGTGATGTCCAAAACTTAACCGTCCTTACAGATATTTTTCGGGATGCGCAGTCAGGAAGTTGTCATTCAGTCGAAACGTGTCAATGGGGACGTCCTTGAGCTAATACCTCGACATAAGATTGAGCCAGACATCCCCGCATTCTTGGTCGAAAATCACGTGCATTGGCTCAACCTAAGGACTCGTGCGATCGAATTTCGTCCGAAGGAGAGAATGTGGGAGCCATCTAACAAAAACTGGGAAATGCGATTTACGGAAGGCGGGCAGTCAGTCATGCAACAGGGACAATCAACTCTTTTTGACATTCATAGTCCCACCTTTCACATGATAGCAAAGACACTGAGCCCACTAGAGGACTTCCGATATCTGGTTGTCACTTGCAATGTGGAAGCGGGCCAGACCGTAGTCAAGGTCGTTCTCCCTCGGTTTGGTCTCTCTTTCTTTAAAGACAGAGATGGGGACCTGCATTCGCACGACCAGAGAGGCATGGTTGTTGATGAAAACCAGTCCACTGGCACAATGCTCGGACTCGTTAACCAGCTCGTTTTACGCCCCAAAGATCAACGGACTTACAGCAATCGTTGTGTCATCATCCCACAAGGCGATATCAAAGTAGAGCCTAGAAACCACCATATCCAAGTCACCATTCATACAGCTTCTGATGCTGTTCGCCTTTCCTATCATTGTTATACCATTGACGTGGAACTCTGTCGCCTGGTGGGAAACGTCGGTCTCACAAATAAACTGTACAAGGTGTACCTGCACGCCATGTGTAGTGCCCATGTCCCAGACCCGTTGACTAAGCGCACCGGTTTGGAAGAAGCCATGTATTTGCTGCAATCCGCTGCATGCTATTCCTTCATGAAGCTCGACCCATTCGACTGTGAGCTTCTAGCTCGACTAGGCTCCTTGACCGTCCATCGAACATGGCATGATACTCAGAAGATGCACATGCAGGATATCCATTGGCAAGATGGCTTGCCATCTTATGTTCAAAGCTGCGCATTTCACCATGCTGCCAGGAATATAGTCCCAATATGCACAGAACCTGCAGGTGCTCCAGGAGACTCGGGTTGCAATCTGTCCGAACTTTCCAGCGCGGGAAAAGTCCCTCCTAGAACGTGGCTCTCAGCGGTCTATTGTCCTTTACTCCCGTGATTTAGTCCATTCCTTCTATCCAAGCGAATCATTGAGCAGTGAATATACTGCAAGAGACGTGGTCCACTACTCAGTCGATGAACAAAGGTCTTTTGATTGTGCATCGATGGTGCGCGACTGGAGTATCACTCTGGAACCTTGTCAGTCGCTCTACGATGTTTTCGCTCGGTGGAACAAAGTGTCTGGGGAGATGCACGATGTATCTCTTCAATATGACCAAGGATGGTTGAACCCAGAGTTGGCCAAGAGATGGATATCTGTCTGCGAACTTTGCCGCCACACCGATCGGAAAACTCACACATTCCAGCTCGCTTTCACACTATCGGCCATGGCTTACTCCTCTCCGGAGAATATGGCACTCACAGCAACCATGTTTGCATTTGCCGCTATTCCCAAATTCCGCGCCATCTCCTCCCCTGGATATGATCTATATGACCTTTCCTTCGGGATAGAACCCCTGGAACATAGTCTCTGCCGTCACATCTCCTCGCATACTACCTTCGACAACAGTCCTGAGGCGTCCTTGTCTAGTGACTGTCACGAGTCATCTAGTGATTTTAATGCTCGGCGACAAGATCTCTTCCGATCACAGTGTCTTCGTGAGCAGAAAGAGGCGGTCAACGTCCTTCTTGGTTGTTGGCCTTGTGATTCCGTCCCTAGGCGTGCACTGGAGTGTCTTAGCGATACTCGATATGACAGGTCCACACTTGCAGCTGCCCTTGAAAAACTATATTTGAACTGCTATCGCAATCATCGCCTGAAGATATATTGGGATCAAGTGCAGGATGTGCTCAATGAAGTGAAACGAATCCCCTCGCCGTCTGTCAACTTGAAGCAACCGTACACATTCACTCCGAGCAATTCAGTTCCCGTATCAGTAATCACCGCTGTCCTTACCGAAGACTTGCTCAAAAAGCCCGCTCCTGTTATTACATTACTATCAGATCCACTCACACAACTTGAAAACCCTGTCCCACTGACTGACAATTCTTCTGGTAGCGGGTTCGATTCGACTGCACTGGAGCATGTCATCGCGACCTTCTCACGATCTCGATTTGATGCCTTTGGTCGCCAGTATGCTACAGATCTAGAAGACAGCAGAATCAATCTAGATAACCGACAATCATCAATCTCCTCGAGCCCAACCCCGACAGCTGACATGTTGCAACACCATCATGCACGTTGTAATGAGCTCTATAGCAACACTTTTCGCAACTTGGAAAAACATCTAGCTCCCTCAAGTGTGGCGGAGTGGAGTTTGTTCAACTCTGGGCAATGGCCACGCATTACTGTTTCATTTCTACTCCAGCTTCTTGCCGCCATGTCAAGGATACCTCTTCGTGACTCGTGGAAAAACTGCTTTGACCAATTTCGCTCACATTCTTCTTCGGTTACAACGATCAAAACGACTTCTGAGGCTGGTAGCTGGTGGGGACCACGAAGAGTTTGTAAACGAGCTGGTAAACAATGGCTACCAGGAAGTAGATCGTACACAGGGATATCTGGACTGGCTTCTGATTCAGGTATTCGATGCTCATCAATAATCAAAATTCTCGATTGCTGATCATACTAGGCAGAGAACCGGTTCCTTATCCGTCCCATGCAAGCCAGTGTGGCAACCGAGATGATATTTCCAAGCACTGGAGACAATACTGCTCTGCAGCTTCACATGGGGGAAGGAAAATCTTCTGTGATCGTACCTATCTGTTGTGCTGCACTAGCAGATGGCAGCAAGTTGGTCCGCGTTGTCGTGCCCAAGCCTCTGGCAGTGCAAATGTTTCAGCTACTCGTGGAACGGCTTGGTGGCCTTACCAACAGGCGAATTTTCTACCTGCCATTCTCACGGTCTTCTCCAGTTACCCTCGAACATGCAGAAATCATCCAGTCGCTGTTTGACGAGTGCAAAAGAGTTGGCGGTATCCTTATCGCTCAACCAGATCATGTTCTCTCTTTCAAGTTAATGACCGTGGAGCAGCAGCTTTCCTCCACGAAGGCAAGTGGACAGCGCTCACTGACTGGGCCTGCCACATCCCTGTTGAACAGTCAACGGTGGCTTGATAGATACACTCGTGACATACTCGATGAAAGCGATGAACTCCTGCGTGTTCGCTTTCAACTTGTCTATGCTATGGGTCACCAACAGCACATGGAGGGACATCCCGACCGATGGACCACAACACAACAAGTGATGACTCTTGTAGCAAAACACGCTCGTCACTTGCATCAAGAATTTCCTCTTGGAGTAGAGTTTAAGCCGGGTGCCATCGGAAGCTTTTCACGTTTCAGAGTCCTGGACGTCCGTGCGGGCGAAAAGTTGGTCCAGCTGGTAGCTGATGACGTCCTTGATGGAGGACTTCCCAATTTTGCCTTAGGGCATGTGCCTTCTCATATAAAAGATGCCATCCGCAAGTGTGTTACTGTACCTGCTATTGACGTGCAGTGCCTTGATCGAGTCCGAAGTTATTGCGCTGGCTCTAGTCTGTGGAATGGACTACTGCTTATTCGAGGTCTCCTTGCGGTCGGTATACTAGTATCCACATTGAAGGAGCGGCAATGGCGTATAGATTACGGTCTGGATCCTCGACGCACGTTGCTCGCTGTGCCATACCGAGCCAAAGATGTTCCCTCTTCCAAGGCGGAATTTGGACATCCAGACCTCTCAATCGCCCTTACATGTCTTTCATACTACTACGCAGGGCTTACTGAGAACCAGTTAGCCACCTGCTTCCACCAGCTGCGGAAGCAAGACAATCCTGCATTGGAGTATGAGACGTGGATCAAGGGGTTGCCTCTAAATGTGCTTCCAGATAACCTGCGATACCTCAATGGAATCAACATGCACTCTACTGAGCAGTTCACTGCCCGTTTAGTGCCTCTCTTCGCACACAACAAGGCTGTTGTAGACTTCTTCTTGGCTCAGATCGTCTTTCCAAAAGAGGCGAAGGTATTCCCCCCACAAGTTGTCTTGCTCTGCATGGGACCTTGCAGAACAAAAGTGTTCTGGGTTGCCCACTACCGGCTTCAGCGGAACAAACGATTTGCGTTACTTGCTTCCCCACTTCCATATCACAGCATGCGCTAGCCCACCAGCGTGGTACGAACGCCAGAGTTCTCACGTACCTTTTGCAGTGCGAGAATGATCATTACGATTCGCATGCAGCCGGTAAAGGCGCTCGGGAACTCCTTAGAGTCATCGCAAAGCAGTTGCCAGAAATACGGGTCTTGCTCGATGTGGGTGCACGGGTGCTTGAATTGCAGAATGACGAGGTGGCGGATATGTGGCTAGAAATCAACCAGGATGCTCAAGCGGCAATCTATTTCAATGAACACGATGAGCTTGTGGTGCGCACTCGAGATCAAGTCGTAGAGCCATTTATCGTGTCTTACTATGCTCAACAACTGGATAAGTGTGTCTTGTACCTGGATGACGCACACACCCGAGGAACGGATGTCAATTTGCCCCGGGGATTCCGCGCAGCTGTCACATTGGGTCCAAAGGTCACTAAGGACCGCCTTGTTCAAGGTCAGGATCCAATATATATATTTATATGATAGCACTCAATAACATATTAACAGGTTGCATGCGCATGAGAAAGCTCGGCCACGGCCATTCGGTCATGTTTTTTGCACCTCCAGAGGTAGACCGCAACATTCGGGATGTGAACAACAAGGACAACACTGAGGACATTCACGTGTCGGATATCCTCGTGTGGGCGATGGCTGAAACGTGCTTGGACATTCAACATCATGCTCCACAATGGCTTCAGCATGGAATGGATTACAGATCTCGCCACCGTTCATGGTCTTCATTCTTATCTGACAAAGTTACTCCTGCTGCATTCGCCCTCTCGTGGCTTCAGCCAGAAGCCAAGCACTTGGAAAGGTTGTATGCTACAGCTCCTGTGAGCTACTCCGCTTCCCAGACATCGGTAGATGAAGATCTGTTGGAGAGATTCCATAAGCTGGGATTCAGCATCTTGCCCGACAACCGCCTGGACGAAGAGCAAGTGAGAGAAGTGGTGAATGAAGTCGAGCTTCAGCGCGAGGTTGAGAGACCACTGCTGGTGACGCCTGCAAACCACGTGATTGACAAGGATGTCCAGTTCTTCATTCGAACAGGCTGCATTCCAAAAGATTCTGGCGTGTTCACTCCAATCTTCGACGTTCTTACCACAACTTCGGCTGCCATCTCGAGCAGTCAGCCGTGGACCCATCACATACTTGCCTCGAGGGATTTCGCTACAGCTCTGGTCGGCTTCTCGGACAAAACAGACAACTACATTCGCCCAGTCAATTGGATTCTTTCAAGCGCGGCGTCAAGAGTGCTGGTCATAATAAGCCCCTTCGAGGCCAACACTTTACTACCAGATATCCGAACAAGTCTGCAAGTTCACTTGCATATTTATACACCACGCGTCATCAGAATGATGAAGCCATGCGATGATTTGCGCCTTTACAGTATACCATCACTTCCCATGCAGTGGACGCCACATGAAGCTCTCATCCTGCAACTTAATATCTTTGCTGGACAACTATACTTTCTTCATCACAGCACGTATGTGCAGTTGTGCCGCTTCTTGGGGATCTACATCGCAGATATTGAGGGTCAGGGTGCGTTTGAAGTTCAAAGCGATGGATTCATTAGACCAGAGGATCTACCTCCTACTGCAAATCAACCCCGCCTTTTCGAACAGTCGCCCATCCCCATGTTGAAAGCTCTTTTCAGTATCAGGCGCAAGGGAATGGGGTACTTGCCCACCCACATCGGGAAGCTATTGAGCGCTCAACGGTTGACAAACGAAGACTTTGAGGAGACCGCCTGGTTGGTAAGTTTTGTAATTCTTCTATCCAGTTAGTGCTCATCGACTCACTGACTCATAGTAGCGCTGAGTGATCAAAAATATACTATGACGCCACGGTCTGTAGAATTCTTCTAGTTCATGTATCTTCTTTGCCCTTCCCTTTTATGTCTCACTATCTACTATTCAAAGGATCACCGTCGAAGAAGGATTAATTGCTAGCCAACAATATTATTTTTCTTTTATGAGATAAACTAGCGCACGAGCCTCGGGGAGGATATGTGGATGGATGCCGTAGCATTAGTTCCTTTGACTTCCTTGTGTTTCCCGGAGTTCCGACAGGCGAATGCTTAGCGCCTGGAGTCAATACAGCAGCAAATATTTGCCTCGAGGCGAAGTTATGACCTATTGTGTATTTAAACCCACCAGGACCCACCCTTTCTCCAACTTCTTGTCGCACCCTACTTCGCTTAGACTGATCATCAACCTCAGCTATTCACCATGAACGACGACAATCAATCGAGGGGCTCGAGGTCAGTTCCTCCTCTAGACATCGAGACATCCAATGAAACAAACGCTGTTGGACGCCCGGTAGTACGTGGCTGATGTTTTATGAAGTTGCACCCGAAACGCTGACGCTCGTCAATGCATCCTTTGTCTAGGGCCGATCTCGTGGCAAAATATGTCGGTTTCTGGGGAAGGTTACGAATAGTGTAATAAAAAAAAATTCTGTGAGTCAAAATCAATACTTCGTGGTGTACTGGGATAAAACTGATATCATAAACAAGCGCTCGATCTTGAAGAATTCACGCAACCGCGACCCTGTTCTCCCGACCGTCGACTCTCGTGAAGGTGCATCATCGGTTCCGAATAACGAGGTAGGTCACCTTTCAGTTTATGGACTCTCCATAAATTCTGTTGTCCATGCAGGTCCAGGATACCCCTTCAGGTGTGGAACAATTCGCTGATCTCCAGCCGGCAATTCGAGACGCCGAAGAAGCTGTCAAAGGCATAAATCTACTGTCGGGACCGGTGACATCTGGAGTATCCGCCGCACAAAATGCACCAGCGGATCTCGAGGATGCATATAATTTCGAGGAGACATATCTTCGACCACTCAAGATCTTCGACACTGTTATTGGGACACTCACCGATGTACGGACCACAACTCTTGATCGGGACCAAAATAATCTTGTTCCATAGGTACATCCATACGCAAAGATAGCACTGGGTGTGTTGTCTGGGGCCGCAAAAGTATGTTTGGTTTCGCTCTCATTCCTATCTCTTGCTCAGTTGTTATGTGTGCAGATAGTTCTTGCTCAAGCGGATCGCGATAAAGCGATATTCAGCCTTCTCAAGAAGTTGGGTGACGTTTATGGTTTCATTTCGGACTACAAGAGGCTTCACCAGCTTTCGTCGATGCGCACTGTCCTTGGAAATATCTCTCAGCAGACCCTTGAATGTGCTCATTTCATCAGAGATTATTCGAAGATCAAGAGCTTTTGTAAGTCCTTACAAGTCACTGCACTTTTCGCAGTCTCAACCGTCTACCATTATCATAGGGAAGAGATTTGGAAAGAACCTAGGCCGGGAAACAGATGATGCGATTCGACAATATAGCGAAGTGTTGGATAATCTCATGGACAACTTCCAGAAGAAAGTCACTCTCGACACAAACATCTATGTCCATCGTACAGGTAAGCGTTTGTACGTGCTTCTCATTCGACATCTATTTATAGTCTTCAGTCGAAACAGTGGAGCTCAGTGGTTTGACTTATGCGAGGGGCGCTGGGCTAGATACTGGGAAACAATGCCTACCCAAGACGCGCACAAGAGTTCTCTCAGAGATCACAAACTGGGCCAATAGCACTGGAGGCGACGTTCAGCGTGTGCTATGGCTGTCTGGCCCTGCAGGCACGGGTAAATCAGCCATCGCTCACACGATCGCTAAGTGGTTCAAGGATGCGGGAGGGCTTGGTTCATGTTATTGTTTTGACCGCCAGCAACAAACCGACCATCGCCATCAAAAGATTTTTTCTACCATTGCATGCGATCTAGCTGACCGTGATCCGGAGTTGAAACGAGCATTGGCAGATGCAGTTGAAGATGACGGTTCGCTGAAGAAGACGACAGATATCATCCAGCAGTGGGATGAACTTCTCATGAAACCCCTAGGGAGGCTCTCGAATATAACAAGACCTATCGTTATAGTGATAGACGCATTGGACGAGAGCGGCGGAGTCGAAACACGGCGTCGCATTCTCCACATCCTTGCGGGTAAACTGGGTAATCAACCAATCGCCACACTTCCAGCCAACTTGCGGATTATTGTCACTTCTCGCCCGCTTCGCGATATCGATGATGAGCTTGGCGGTGCTCAGCATATTCGACAGATGTCCATGGACAGTATTCCATCCGCAGAAGCGAAGAACGACATCGGTACTTATGTATCTGATAAGCTGGGAAAGCTGTCGGATTTTCGGGATGAAGAGATTGCAGCTCTCGCTGAGAAGGCTGATGGACTTTTCGAATGGGCGCGTCTTGCCTGGGAATATATCATGGACACCCCTGCTGGCTTATCCCGAATGGATTGCTTCAATGCTCTCATGGCTCGTGATCCTCGAGAGCGGAAAGACTTGTTGTATGATATGTATAACTTCATTTTGGCAGAACTCCTGCCACAGGATAAGTATACACCAGCCGGTTATCAAGGCGCACTAGCGAAGTTTCGGTCCGTGATGGGACAGATACTTGGCACAGCCAAACCCCTCACCTTAGCTTCCCTGAATGACATACGGGACCATTTTCCAGATCAAGGTGACCGTTACAAAGTTGACCTGGTGGTCAAGGGCATGGGTCCGCTGCTCAGTGGTACCACCAGCCAACAATTCCCCATCCGACCTCTTCACGCCTCCTTCGGCGAATTCCTGACAGGCCCATCCTGCAAGCAAGATTTTTTTGTCGATGTGTCAAAGGCGCAACGTGACCTTTCTTTTGCGTCACTTCAGGCGATGAAACATCTTCGCTTCAATATCTGTGGTTTTAAGTCATCATACCTTCCCAATTACGAGGATCCCGGACTGCAAGAACGAGTTAACACATTTTCCCCGCATCTGTCCTACTCCTGTCGATTTTGGGCTTCACACGTACGAGGAGCGCAATTCGACTCGGAACTCGCAAACGAAATAAAATCATTTCTCAACCACGAACGATTACTATTCTGGCTTGAAGTACTTGGCTTCATAAATGCAATCAACGACGCAGATACCTCCCTTGCAATCATTACCCAGTGGCTGAAGGTGAGCCTACTAATATCCAGTGTCAGACAAAGTGCTCACCCACAATCACAGAACCGTTCGGGATATGAGGATGCCTTGTCTACTGCAATGGATATACAGATATTCATTCAAACCTTCGGCGGCATCATCTCGCACAGCACGCCACATCTCTATGTATCAGCACTCCCGTTTTCGCCCGTCAACTCTGAGATATCCAGAAAATTAGCTGCCAGATTTCAAAACGCTCTTCGTCTGACCTCGGGACGCGCTTTGGATTGGACGGCTATTCAGAGCGAGCTGAGCGGGTATACAGTTGGGATGGAGTCAGTCTCGTTCTCTCCTGATCAGACTCGCATTGTGTCCAGTTTGCTGGATCGTACACTCCGGCTGTGGGATACAGTGACGGGGCAGCCAATTATTCCGCCCATGCGGGGGCACACTGGCCGTATTTTGTCGGTCGCGTTCTCACCAGATGCCACTCTTATCGTCACTGGTTCTATTGATAAAACTATCCGGCTGTGGGATGCAGCGACGGGGGGGGAGCCATTGGGTGAGCCCTTCCGAGGGCACACTGATTCAGTTTTGTCAGTCTCGTTCTCCCCCGATGGCATTTGCATCGTGTCTGGTTCTTCAGATTCCACTGTCCGGCTCTGGGATGCAGCGACGAGGAGGCCATTGGGTGAGCCCTTGCGAGGGCACACTGAATCGGTTTCGTCAGTCTCGTTCTCCCCCGATGGCACTCGCATCGTGTCTGGTTCTTCAGATCACACTGTCCGGCTCTGGGATGCAATGACGACGAGGCCATTGGGTGAGCCCTTGCGAGGGCACACTGATTCTGTTTTGTCAGTCTCGATCTCCCCAGATGCCAAACGCATCGTCTCTGGTTCGGCTGATAAGACTATCCGGATCTGGGATCTAGAGACAGGGGAGGCAGTTAGGTCGCCCCTGCAGGGGCACACTGGTTCTGTTTGGTCAGTCTCAATCTCCCCAGATGCCCGATACATCGTCTCTAGTTCAGATACCGATATCTGGCTGTGGGATGCAGGGACGGGGGAGCCAGTTGATGGGCCATTACAGGGGCACACTAGTTCAGTTTCATCAGTCCAGTTCTCCCCAGATGGCACTCGCATCGTGTCTGCTTCGAGAGATGGTACTGTCCGCCTCTGGGATGCAACCATCGCTCAAACCAATCAATTCATCCGTTTTTCGTCTGACTCGACGCACGCGCTGTACAACCCTGCTGAGCTAATTGAGGGTAGCCGCCGCCATGACCGCAGGTCAACATCCTTTTCGCTAGGAGTTGATGGATGGGTGATGGGACCCGATCGACAACTCTTGTTCTGGGTACCGCCTGGTCTCCGACAGCCATTTTATACTCCCAAGACTGTGTTGGTGATACCCAGAGGAAACGTTGAACTTGATTTGAGCAGCATGGCACATGGAGAACGCTGGAGCAATTGCCGAGATGAGTGAGTTCTGGCCTTTATCGTCCGTCACAGTCAGTGAAACGCATACTTTTTAGAAGCCCTACTGAAGGATGATTTATTCTGGCAATCGAGATATTCAGTCTTGCAGTTCAATCCCTTGGATAATTTATAACCTGGTACTATGTAGTCTCGAGATGCTGCTGCTAGTTTACGAGACACGTACTTACGTTGGGGTGGCATACTGATCACGGGCAGAAAGATTTCTCCACTAGAACATCTTGAGTAGAGTCTATATACGATGATTTCGTCGTCCATGTTCCTTTGTGCATCATTAGACAAACAATGAAGATAATATGAGGTTTCCCCGCAATGGCACCGTACCATTCATACTGGTAACCGCCGAACAGCCCGAGACGTCTATGAGGCAAACCGCAGTTTGGTCACCAATTAATGGTATGGTCGGAGGTCGACACGCTGTGCAGATGAGCGAGTAAATGCAGCAGATCGATCAGTCGTACTTGAAAGCACAGTCAACTTGAAGGTGGTAGTATCTGTAGGTACCGCAATGCAAACGAGATACTCGAAAAACGGAAGCTGGGTATCCTAAGAACAGGGAGAATATCGTATACTGGTCTCGAGTCAGTCGCCTTGCACCGGTGTATTTATGAGTGATGGTATGGTGAGACTGAGAAACAACAGGCTGATGTTAGAGCTCGTAAATTTGGAGGACCCGAAGAGGTGAATGGCTACGTGTTTCGTATATATGAAACAAGTTGCCGCAGATTGTTGCGATGTGCAGCGACGAGATGGTGTGTCAGCTGAGCGCAGGAAAAACTTAAAAAAAGACATAAATAGGACTCAAGATGAGCGCCTTGATCTGAGCGCACAAACGGATAAACATCTTCCCCAGTGACCACTCGTCTAATTCCGAGTTGCCGCAAACTAAGTGTGATGTCCAGCGCTGCAGAGGGCGACAAAAAATATTTCGGCATAATGGAGACGGGAAAGACACAGCACGACAATACTGAATTTGAAACTGAACACCGAGTAAATGTCAGCAAAGTAACTCTAGAGGTAGAATTGTGCAATGTAGACGTTAGAAATCACCAGGTACAAGGAAACAAATGATAATAGATACTGCACTAAGTGCAACTGTGAACACCACCACGGCTGCTATTTGCTGCGCCATCCTGGTGAGGTATGCCAACGCGCTGCAAGCGCCATCGAGGAGGCATCCTCAGTCTGCCATGAGACCAACACGAGTAATAGCAGAGGAACGCCTTGACCCAATGTACGTCTGAGAGCGAATCGAAGTCAGCTGCGTCGTCTTCCTGCGTAGCCTGTTGACTAGACAGATATCGAGTATCGTCTACTTTCTCGTATTCCGGTAGTTTGGCAGCAGCAGGTTGCTGTATGGCACAAATCAACGAAAAGGCACCGATAAGTAAGAAAATTACATTACAGTGATCTTCCGCCCTGGTGCAACTTCAACGACTGGTGGACCATGACTGTGTTTGAGCACGAGGAAAGAAAGATGCTGCTGTAGGGATTGTACGAGTCCGGTGGAACGGGGAGGTGGAGAACTTATTTCGAACTGGATACACACTCAGTCGTGCATTACGAGTTTAGCATATAAATTGAACACTGACCTGATCAAATTGAGTTAGGGCCTGACCGGAGAGAGAGGATGGTAGGGGCAATGTAACAGGAACCTGTTGTACCATCATAGAGTCAACCGTCAAAGAACCGAGATACGAGAGTCACGACCTACATCTAGAGGATGACGAGGTTGAATCTGACGGACAGGGACTGCATTCGCGCGAGGATAGAAGCGAAGGAAAGTATGTTGCTGCGGGTCGCTTGTAGGCGGAGGTCTCGGCGCCATACTAGGTATGGCTGATATGGTGGTCTGCGGTGGCCAGCATGAGGATGACGAGTTGCATCATACTGCAATGAGAGCGATGAGTGAGCGGTGTCATGAGTAAAAGAATGAGATGCGCACATGCAGTAGATGATCGAGGGTTGAAACGTTGACTTTTCGGGTGCAATGAACTGCAAAGGAATGTTAGCACATGATAGTAGATGATCGCAGGGGATGCATACACGGGCCTGAGTACAGATCTTGTAGTCGTCTTCGGTGTATGGCGTGTAAGCTAATTGACGTGAATCAAATAAGATAAGGACAGAGACATCCTGAACGTCCAAGGAGGCGAGGAGCTGCCGCGACTCGAAAGCCCAGAGCTTGATGGTGTCGTCTGCTGAAGTGCTAGCGAGGAGAGCACCATCAAATGGAAGTGCTAGACCACCAATGGTCTTGATGTGCCCAGCGTAATCGCATCAAACTCGTAGATTGTCTTGGCATCGTTATCCCGATCCGGATTTGCGGTGAAGCAGCAACAAATCAAAATGCCTACGAAGAACACAAAAGATTTAACAGATCATCCAACGACTCACCCGAAGCCGACGAATTGTAAGTTTCATCAAGATTGTTGATACAATATTCAAATAAGTTGTCCGGTGTCGAATCGTCACGCGTCAGACACGGCAAAGGTGGATGGTTGAAATACTGTTGGGGCCGGGGGCCAACAATTTGATCTGTATTTGTTGTTATTTGGTATCCAGGCGGTGAGCTGAAGTGCTAAAGCGCTAACGCTCCAACTACCAGAAAGATACACATCAACGTTACTCTCTACTATGGTCTTTGGCCTCTTCACTCGCACGCCCGATTCGTCACTCAACGCCTGTCCAACTACACACGTCCTCTTCCCCAAAACTCCGTCCTCACGTACATGACGGTCATCATAGTTCCATTGTATGTGCTGTCACGCCCTCTTCTGTGACCTTTTAAGAACAGATATGTCTTGTCGCACCCCCAATGAAGATGACGGCATGCTCGTCGATTGCGCTGCGGTGAGGCACTGCGGAACTCAGAAGGAACAATATGGGTCCTCTAGATGCGTAGTTCTATGAACGAAGATGCACAGTGAGTGTTTTCCTTGTCCTTACAGTTCAAAAACTGATTTGACGAGACACATGTTAAATGCATGTGCCTTTGCGCAGATTTGCCCATCTTGTCGTACCTAATAAACTGGTATATCCATTACAGGTGCTGGCAGGTTGGCCTGCGACATCGTCTGACGAACATACGATGTAACAGCTCAACTCACCAGCATCAGAATGGCAAGCGCATATAACCGCCCAGATCTCACGTACGCACGTGGAGATAATACGGATGTCTCGCCTTACGACTGACCGTGCGCTTAGGACAACCTTTCAGCGCATTTTTACTAGTTCACCAATGAAGACAAAAAGAGGATCGCTTCACATCACCATATTGTTGTACAAGTCGAAGACATCATATCTGTTCGCAGCATGTTGGACCACAGGACACTCGAGATATACAGCATTTTGAAGAACAGAGGCCGCTAAGTTTTCATTGTACCTTGACGGTGGCTCGATACATGGATACTTATCCAGTCGTACTGCTATCGTATTGCTCACTGGAGGATAAGTGCAACTAGTGGCAGTATCTAGCCCGGCCAGCCAGCCGATTCCAAGGACACATGACATCTGACACGTGGGAGGTCATGGGGTTGTCACGTCTTAAAATAATCGTGCTCTGCACTTGAAATTTGGGACATGTGAGTCTTCAATTTTTCGCCCCACCGGCGTGATACCCTTTGTCCTCAACTTCATTCCCCTCAGAGTAGTACGCACCATTTCAAAGTTTTGACCACGAATTCGAACAACACCTGGACCCACTATATATATATATAGTACTCACTGGGACTGGCCCGTACTACCTTGTTCCAAGCTTACGTTTAGCAGGGGGCACACCACCATATATGAAAGTTTGCCCAAACCAGCATTCCACTAGCATGGATTTAAACTTACTGCATGTTCGTTATCAACTTGAGCTTGTGATAGTATCATTACAAACTTTGTTTTCAGGTGTATGCGCCAGGATTGGCGTACATCTGTCTCGGTGGTTTTGTAGTGTCGGTCCGTTCTATTTCCATTTGAATGTCCTTAGACATTGTGCTTTGCCGACTGCATGCTCAGTTCAACCACTTGTCATCCGCTGCCATTAATTTGCTCCACACCGCCATTTCTCATTGGATTCGTAGTATGCTGACTCTTTGCCGTAGTTCTCGATGGTATCCCTCATACTTAAAGAGAAGGTGAGATGGATGTCCCACCTGTCATAAACCCTCCGATGATCCATACCTTTCCCAGCTTTATCTCAATGAAGTCGTCCTCGGAACGGGTTTTGGGATCATCATAGGCCCTCACGCTGCCAATATCTTTACACCTCGTTCATGGGGTTCCTCGGAGAATGCCATAACATTAGAAGTGATGCGTATCGTCCTTGTCACTGGCCTGTTTGCAGTGGGAGTCGAATTACCCTGTGCGTATATGAAAGAGCATGCCAGGAGCTTGCTTGTAATGGTCGTGCCCACAATGGCCTTTGGCTGGGTTGTTATCGCCAGTATGTGTATCTCCTCAGAGACATTTCCATTTGCTGATCATCATGGCAGGCATCATACAAGCACTGTTCCCGGAGCTCAATTATGTCTCGTCTCTTTGCATCGCTGCCTGTTTAACCCCTACGGACCCAGTCACATGTGCTGCTATCATTCGTCAGTTCTACCAACCATCAAATTGAAAGTAACAGCAGATCTCTGGTGTCTAAATCTGCCCTACAGGCGGAAAATATGCTACTAAACATGTTCCTGTGAATATCCGTCGAATATTGACCGCGGAGTCAGCAGCGAATGACGGTCTCGCATACCCCTTTCTTGCGATATCCATATACCTCACCGTAGAGGCATCTGTTCGAACGGCTATTGGCAAGTGGTTCTTAGTGGGATGGCTATGTTCGTGCTCTCGGTTTTCTGACCGCATCATGAGTATTCATCATGTTCTAAAAAGACCAGGTCATTCTTGGTACCACTTTCGGCGCTGTCATGGGTCAGCGAAGTCGCCTGATCATCTGATTGCATCGATCTAATTGTATTTCGTTTGTGGTTCAGGTTATCTGTTCTCCAAGCTCATGAAAATATGCCATGACAAGGGTTTCATAGATCGAGAATCGTACATCGCACAGTATCTTGCTTTATCCATCTTTATTATGGGAGTCGCAAACACGATCGGTGCAGACGATCTTCTTGCAGCATTTGCAGCAGGTCTGCATACACTCTGAACACGCGGTACTTAGGTCTGACATTCCTTCAGGTTGTGCAATCTCCTGGGATGGTTACTTCCATGCACAGACAGCAAACGACGCATTTTCTTCCGTAATTGATTATGTCCTGAATTGTGGCTGCTTCATCTACATTGGCGCTTGGCTACCTTTTGACGACTATCACTCTCCTGAGTATGGCATCACCCCTTGGAAGCTTGTTCTTCTTATGATCGCTATTTTGTTCTTGAGGCGAATTCCATTCCTACTAATGGTCTACAAGTTTGTTCCCGAGATTGCTTCCTGGAAGGAAGCTCTATTCTCTGGTCACTTCGGTGAGCTGCTAACTCCAGTCATGTCGTGACTTTTACCTAAATTCCTAATCCTTAATACAGGTCCAGTAAGTTGGTTGAATGTCATTTCTATATCCACTAATGTGTCCTAGATGGGAGTCGGTGCAGTTTTCGTGTCTTCCCTTGCTCTTACGCGTTTGCCCACTCCGGAACACCCGCCTGCAGATCAAGCACAGTTCCTCGCCGCAACTATCCAGCCTATCGTGTCCTTCGTCGTCCTTGGTTCTATCATCGTTCGTATGTATTCTCATGGACAGTATCGTACTGTCGCTGATCTCGAAGGCATATAGATGGCTTGTCTATTCCCTTCTTCAGCATCGGCCGTGGCATACATTGCCGCACGACCTCACCCATGGACGCGTTTCATGGTATTGCAGGGTCAGCAGCAGATAGCGATGTCGAGCGAGGCCTGAAGACTCCAGGTGTTATATCTAACGGATCTGCTGTGGATACCCTGCAGACCACCGAACGCGTTGGTGCTAGACTGTAATGTATAACCTCTACCAACTTGTACGATCATCACGCCTCGTCATGTACAGTACACCACGCACACTGAATATCTTGCCACCTACTTTCTGTCACAGCAACCAATGACTACTTAGTGGCGCCTTATGAACATCCTCCACGACTTTTTATCTTCAAACTCCGATATATGTACGACATCTAGACTGTCCAATGACAGTAGTTCTCCCTTTGTTTCTTGATTTCCATTATTCTATCAAGGTCTTGCTACGGGAAACTGCCTTTGTTATGAGTACTCCCTTTGTTTCTCTAGTACCTTCAGAAAATCATATATAAGCCCAATGAGAATCAGCTTCAAATTGCTCAGCTGGAGTTGCCAGTCTCTCACAACTCGTTAACGCTTTGACACCGATACTTCATATTCACCACCAGATGATATCACGTATAAGTACCGAGTGCGTCAGCCACAACGAACTATGCATGACAGATGAGCGCCATCTCTGGTTTATTACCGGCGCTTTTGATGCTGAATTCATTGGTGCGATATCCATGATCTTCTTTCTGATCACTGCTGAACATATTATAGCACGAATTAGACTGGGGAACGCATGCTGGTCCTGAGTCCAACGTCAAATGGATGGATAGGCGTCATTATTGATTTCAGTTGACAAGGTATAACAAATACACAACTTGTGAGTAATACACATTATCACGGGATATATCCCGACTGAGGGTAAAGTAACATCGGTAGGTCAAGCTCGCAGTACGAATCGTCAACGATTTAACTGCAATATTTTCGTTTTGCAGCTCTTCCTTTGATAGTAAACTGTGGCAAAGGCAGGCGATTGATATGTTGACCCGACTGGTCGACTTCTGCAGCAGGAGCAACTGCCCCAGTCTTCTGCGTGGGAGCTTCCTGTCGTGGCTGCAGCTGACGGCGCCTCAACTCCCTATGCGAGTTCCTAACAGTTGTCGTCAGCTGAGTTGGACCAGCGAAATGTGAACGAAAACTCACGGTGCATCTCTTCCGTCGAAAGGCAAGGTTGGTGGGCCTGTCGGGCCTGTTGACGGTAGTCTATCGACGAAGCGGTTTAACATGAGTAAGTCAAGGACGGGGGAATACATACGGTGGTGTCATAGTCTTTAACACTCTTTCTGTCCGCATCTGATCCTCCTCGCCTTCTTCGTAGATCCAATCTTTTGGCCAATTGGGCGCAATCTCCCTCCAGTATGTGAAGTAGGCCTCCAATCTCTCACGCCGCCCCCGCTCGGCGCGCACGACATCCCGCGTGTTCCTCGCCTGCTCCTTCAGCCCCGCCGCTCTCTGGCGGAGAGCGGCGGTCTGGACGAGAATGCGTTGATCATCGGTTGTGATTTGTTTCATAATGTTCACAGCCCGGTTGAGCAGTTGTGGTTGTTCGGGAGGAGGCGTTCCTGCACGCGAGCTGACGGGGGATTTGTAGCATTGCTGCTGATTGGGACTTCCGTAGGACAGGTAAGAACCACCTGAATCACTGGAGTCGTACTCTGCAGCAGGCTGCCCATTGGGACTTGCCATTAACGGCGAAAGGCTTGGCGAATTTCCCGCTAGATTGCCAGGCGCCATGCAACCGTCATGTCCGACTGCTTTTATGGGAGTCGTATTTTCTACCGCCAAAATCAGGACGGGTGCAGGGGCATCTTCCTGGATGATGAGAGGATCGGCTGGCGAAGGGTTAGGTTTCTTGTACTGCAACGCGAGGTATGACACTCACAATTTGTAACCATAGGTAAGTCTATGGTTCGAATTGAAGGACCGGCAGCTAGACGACTCTCCTCCGTCGTTCTGAACTTCTTTCTTGATGGCTCCTCGCTCTCTTCTTGACTGAACAAACGTCAGAACCATTTATAGCTTCGAAGACGAAGCAGGTCACGTACAGTGGAGGAATAATCTTGCCGAGTTTCACTAACTCTCTAATGATTACTGCACTCTTCATGTTCGCTTTTACTCCATGACCCTGTTTGCAAGTCAGTGGCTGGCATTCAGGACAAGAAACGCAACACGCACCTTGGCTACCTTTTGCAGCTGTGCACGGGATAGCTTGCCAAGTGTAGTTTCATCCATGAAGAGGTTTTCTTGACTTGGAGCTGGGATCAGGTCGTTGGATGAGTGGGCACCGTGAGGAAAGAGTGCTTCGTTCATTTTGCGTAGCGTAGTCTTTAAAGCACGGGTACTTTGATGACAAGATGTGGTACTGGGTCAAGTTGGGGATCTGCTCAAGGAGGTTGGGAACAAATGACGAGGAACTTTGAAGGTGCTTTAAATTTGTTTTCGTGATGTGGATAAACCCACAACTTAATTACACGATGCATGCTTGTACCCGGAGAACAATAGATTAAGATCAACTCCGAGAGCCTTGACTCAGCCACAGGGGGTACGGGAGCAGTTGGGCTGCCGTATTGCTGAGATCAATTAATTCACAAGTGTTTTTGTTTTTACACTGAACGCCGATATGTCTGGTCGCATTCGAGGTTTTCGATTTCATGCAGACTGATATCAAAGGCGCACGCTTCCGCAACCACCCGGAAGACTTTCACCCTCTTCTACCCAAATTCCACGTCGCTTTCCTCCTCAGACGACATTTACGACACAAGAACCACGTACCTGGAGTGCGGCAAGGGAGGATCAGAGTCCCATGCGCTCGAAGGCTATATGAAGAGATGTGCAAAAAATGGAATAGAGAAGTGGTAGGTTCCACGTCGATTAAGTGGAAATATGCCTGACCGCAAGTCTCTGGGCAATATTTGCTGCAGCAATGACTCTATGGCCTACCTATGGGATTAGTACTCGTGCACGGGTGGCAATCACTCCCGTATGTATGTACGTTCGACGCGGGCAATATCTCGAGGACTTCCGCTTCGACGAAGCTGTCAGACTCTCAAATGTCTTTTCTCAAAATCGGCACACACGACGACCAACTCCATGATTCCTCGACAACCACTTTCTCTGCCAATAGCGTGGCATCCCCGAATTCTATTGCATGGAGTCGCATTTCACGTTTCGCATCCAATCCAACCACGACTGTCAGCAGAAATAAAGCTTCGTGGTTCCCATCGTTAGCGTTTCTGGCAGAGGGCTCATCCATCGAGAATAAAACTGAGGGTGGTTAGGGCGCTATTGTATGGAATTGATACAATGTTTCCATGGAAGTTCTAGTTAGGATTCAGAATCAGACACTTGACGTCGATATGAATACATTGCATGATGCGTTACATAAAGTGCAATGCACACGTGCACACTAGATGTGGCGAATATTCCTATCAATCGGGTGGCTGTTATCTCCTGCTTACCTCCTGGTAAAATAAAAACTCGATATCTAAGCACCCCGCCCGGATGAACTGACGATAGAGTTTGGCAGGGAAAGTGCTGGAGCGCTCGAACAAGTTAGGCTTCACCATCAACGTCAGGCCAATACACACGAGGAGATCTTACCAGTGATCCTGAACTCGGCCTCATAATCACCCTAGTACTTGTCGCCGTCGCCGTTGAAGAGATCAGCTATGGCTTCTAGCTCGACAAAGCCCGTCAGAGCAACAAACGAATCGATTCTGAAACCAGTCATGACGTTGCAGGGTCGTACACCTTCGAAAAAAGACGAGCAATACGTGAACAGTGTCACATACCATGTTTCATCCATTACCTACTTTCCGGACGGCCAGAGAATGATCAGTGGATCTTGGGACAGGACTGCTCGGCAATGGGATCTGCAGATGGGGAAAGAGATTGAGAAGGTACGGGATGTTTGTCCCAAGGGGATGGTAAATGCGGTGGAGGTATCAAGGAATGGTCGATGGATCGTCACTGCTGGTGGAGAAAACAGTGAGATGTATCATTACGGGGAGCTCCGAGTTTGCGAGGTTGAGACAGGGATAGTGAGAACACTTGCAGGCCACTCGAGGTGGATCACCTGCATCGATATCTCCGCGGACAGCACTTTGCTGGCGAGCGGGTCATACGATTCCATACAGATATGGAGCTTGGACACCGGGAAACTTGTGGCTGGTCCATTCAAAAGTGATGCATCTAATGGTGCTGTTCGATTCTCGCAAGACTCGAAAAAGGTGGCAGCCAAATCAATTCTTGGGAAGGGCTTGAAATTTGGGACGTCCATACACAGAAACTGGATGCCAGAGTGGGGCAATCAATGCGAAGTGTTGGGTTGGTGACATATGCACCAGTGTTCTGGACATCAAAAGACCAAACCATCATAGCCGCATTCTCCTTCAGGGATGACATGATTGAAACAGGCATCAATGACCTTCCAAGGATGATTTACAAATTCGACGCGTCGACACTGAAGACTGTTGGATCTCCCTTTGAAGGGCATACCAGTCTTGTCTCCGGTCTAGCACTCTCAGTCGATGGTGCTCTCCTCGCTAGCGCTTCCAAATTTGACAACACCATCAAGCTCTGGGCTTTCGAGTCCCGCGAACTCCTCGCTTCATTCCGTATTCAGGAACCACACTCCATTATCCTCTCACCCAACTCACATCAACTAGCTTACACGACTTGGTGTGACACAAAGTCCAGGATTTACATATGCGACACTCCACCTGACATCCTTGCTAGCATACGGCCTGCACAAGAAGCACAGCCCAATGTATGCATTCAGCCGCATATATCTGTCCATTCGTACTGACAATTTGTAGATCAATACACCTCGCAATCCACGCCGCGCCGTGCGCCGTGACCCCAGCAAATATCCCATCCGCATCCTACCAAAACCTCTTCCTGCAATAGACCCACAGCAACCCACTTTCCTTCGTTACCTTCGCAAACTTCTTCCATCCTTCTCCAACGCAGTTCGTCCTATTCGGAACGGTGAGCCTCGTGATCCACTGGACGTATGTTTCTTCTACCTGTTGCCTTCGTAATCCACTTGACGTTCCCCTTGCAGTTCCCTGCTACGTCGCCCCTACCTCCAAATATCTTTCCTCCAGCGCAGGCCACAATTCAGGTGCGTTCATATACAGATCCCTGCGAGAATGCGAGTACTCACCGTCGTAATCACATCTTCAACTTATATTTTCAGTCTCGATCCGCACGAGTACTGCCTGCTTCCTAATCCTCTACTGCTACTCCCACTACCTTCATATCCCGCATAAGCCACATCTCAGCCCGCTTGCCTATCGCCGACGTTCCTCTCGCGCAGGGTAAAGAGGTGTGCTCAGTTAATTTGTCACTGTTTGCAGGTCTCATACATCAATTTATAGCGCAACGCTGCAGCCGGTGCTCCCGCTAAGGATGATGATGATTTGATCCGTGATGAAGACTATGTCTCTCCTCCTCCTTCGCCGACCCCCGGTTCACAGCCACGATCCACAGCAAGGCAGATTGATGTTACCTCTGGAGAGCATGGAAGCGGCCGCTTGTGTTTCTGCTTTTAGCGTTGTCTCGAGGACATTCCCCGGATATTTCGTTTTTACTTGTTGTAGCTCGTCGCATGCGTTCCCTATTACCACTCAATGCAAATGGTCAATACACCCTTTGGAGTCCGTCTTATCTTTTTATCGATAGCACGTATTCTGACTACAAATTACATGTCTTCCTTCAGGTATTCACTTAAATTCTGCCAGATTTATGCAAGGCTATATATAATTTCCAAAATCACTTGAGCGGGTTGTGTGCGTGTTTCAAAAGACCAATAAGTAGAGGTCCATTTCCAGCTTCAAATCCTGCACCATACACAAGTATTAAGGAAAGACAAAGTCCTCGCAAGGAAATCCACGGCGTAAGCGCGTGTACACATTGACATGAAATAGAATGGTGCCGGTGATGGATGACCTCCCTCATTCACTCGATTCAGCCATATCGCGATCCCAACATCATATTCTAGACAACGCTTGGTCTCGCCACAATCCATTAGCTCATAGTTAGCATCCCCTTGATCGTGTCTGCTTCGTGTAGGTAGCTGGGCTGCCCGGGCATCTGGCGCCAGCTGAGAGTGCCACATTGGCGAGCGTTTTAAAGTTCAACATCTCTGCGGTGATAAGTATTTGTGGCCTGTTCCAGTTCGTAGCTTTGTGTGATCGTCACATACAGTGACGTGGGTGTAGGCAAGGACCGACGTCAAGTTAAGATCCGAATTGATTTTTGCGAGACTGGAGGTCTGTGAGCTTGATGAGCGAGATTCAACAACCTAGTAAGCTTGTCTCGCAAGAGGTGATCAGTCCGTCTTTTGGACGATCATCACTCGAACGCCCTCGGAAAATTGGGTCATTCCAGGCTTCTCTTTTCTAACTCTCCGTCTCAATCTTGAGCATCTAAACTGTATCTCCTACTTACCAATGCACTTTCCTGTTAATTCGAAACCAATTGAGGGTGTTGGTCTCGCCCATTCATAGTCGTGGCCCGGCCTGACTTAGCAACACAAGGTAAAAGTTTATTAATAGCCATCATTTTAGTGACTCCACAGACATGCCCTTCCGTCGTGGCGCAGACGCCGGGCGTAAGAACGATCGGAAGGACCAAAGACGCTCTGTGACTTAGGTCTGGTACATGAAGTATTCTGTGCCATACAAAGCTGCACATGCAGCTGTGCCTGCCGTCATTGCAAGTGTTATTGGATAAAACGGTGGTCTTAGGGACCGGCGCAGATGCAAGAAGAGGTATGTCAATGACCAAGCTGTCGCGGTGCATGTACATCATGTGTGTGCCACGGAGTGATGCTAGAACTCACCAGTAGCTATTCCGCTGCCGTTCCTTGCGTCACCAGCCCCTAGGACATACGCGGCACCACCAAAAACCAGGGAGAAGCCGACCCGGTGGAGATATGGAGGAAAGTAAACATTTGGACGAACGACAGTGGATGGAATCACGGCTGAGGCTGCAACTATTCGTACCAAAAAAAATCAGATAGTGATGATATGAAGTGAGAACTTTTGACACGTACATAATGTCCCCAGACCAAGAATAGGTCCCCTTCAGAATTAAATCAATAGGTTAATGTGCCAGGACAACTGGTATAGGCAGTGGACTAAACTTGGAGCGTGCGTATGGTTGAAAATGAGAGAATGGTCCGGACGCCGTTTGTGACGTAGAAGGAATCGACGAATTTGCGCGTTCAGGAGACTCCTTTCCTTCCATTCCACCAATTGGGCTGTGTTTAAATGTAAAACTTGAACGTTCTGAACATGAAGTCACGCAACTAGGCCTTAGGGTTGGAGAATTCGGGTATTTATTTAAATCCCGAATGGGGAAACCTGCAGCCTTCAACTGTCAGTCTCGGAACATGCTTGTGGAGCAGTATTTGTGTCGCCAGCACGGAACACACGAGGATTCTCCATAATTTATAGGCAGGTAAGAGAATATATATGCTTTGTCCTCTTGAACAACGTTAACAGCAGTGACTCGGTTCAACTGAACGATGCCCTCGACTATCATCCAGGCAGGACAAACATGGCATGGCTTTAGCAAGATCCAGTATTTGATCATATTGTACGCCATCATCCTGCCTATCAGCTAAGCTTTTATAAGATTAACTTGCTCAACTCGATCCATTTAGTGGTGATTCCTATAGCAGCATTCGTTGGGACTACCAATCTTCTCCCCATCCGACAATCAAGAGCCCGATGGGAGTAACCTATCCTGGAGTAACATACGCAGAGCCTGGCAAGCCGAACTGGGTCGGACATATAGTAAAATCGCGTTCATCTAAACTGGTGTACGACTATGCCAGGGGAAACGACTTTGTGTCTTCTCTAGAGAGGCAGATCATATACCAGTTCCTTCCAAATGTTGCAAGGAAGCCATCGACGGCCCAATGGGAACCAGACGACACACTATTTAGTGAGTGCTCTCGAGTCGCATACTTTATCTCTCTGACGGGATCTGCGTTGATCTACGACAGTGACGTGGATTGGGATTAATGATCTCGCGTAGGTCGTCGTTCTGCTGTCTTGATTATCAACTGATCGAGAATTCCTCAGTCTCATCGAAGACATTGAAGGCGTGTTTAACACGCTGAAAGGCCTTTTCCGGTACCAAGAGAAACTATATGCCTCCGGGGCTCGAAACTTTCTGTTATTTGACCTCCCTCCGATCCATCGATCGCCCTCAGGTATAGTCGCATCTTCTACCGTGGTTCATATATTCATTTCAAAATATAGTACGCGAAGATACTGATACCGTGTTGGAACAGTATCAGACGTGGAATGCGACATTAGAGAAAGAACTCCAGAGCTGGACTAGAAGCCATCCGGATATCACCACCTTTCTCTTTTCCTCGTGGGATTCATTTTCGCGCGTGTTGGATGACCCAAACGCATTTGGATTTGATCACAACGACATCAGCGAAGCTGGGGGCGCAATATGGGTAGATCGGCTTCGTCCCACGAGTGCGATGCATCGAATCATTGCGGACGATCTGATTTCGTTCTTGGATGCCCATTCACCGCATGTCCCCGATCAGCCGGAATTCCCGCATAATCGGGCGTGCTTCTCAGCAAGTAATGCTGTATGAGTGAAGACGAGTTTGCGAAAAAGGCATAGGACGGGGCGGGTGCTTTATTGTTGCCTCTGGAAGGAACTAGTGGCATTTTCAGTCCATGACAACTGTCAGGTTATATATTCATGTGAACGTATCCAGTATGTATAATCCTACGGCATTACGTGACTTACGGAACAACACATCCATATAAACACGCACGCAACTTTACGTTGACGAGGTTGACTTTACCTGCGCTCGCGAGTGCCTCGTACTCGAAAAGCTGACTCTTTCAATTTATTTGGCATGATCTCCCGAGTTTGGTTATCGTCAACGTGATCTCGATGTATCGTTCTCATCAAACAATAAAGTTATGATCATCGCGAGCTCAAAGGAGTATGACAACAATTAATGCTACCCGTGCCGCTGTCAGGGTTGGTGCGTATCCACACTGTACACGTTATTACCACGAGGACTATCGATTGATGGGATAATAACCTACAAAAAAAATGAACAATTTCTCCCAAGAGGATATGCGATCTCGCTCAGTTAGGTCCGATAAACTGAAACAGTATCCGCCTCACGAGTCCAGACAGATGCTGGGGGTCGTTCTGCAAAGAATGAGCTGTTCAGGACATTGCTTACCACAACCTGAATCAAAGTCACCTGATAAATACTCTGGACGTCACAAAAATAAGATCAGGACGGCGTTAGAATAATATAACAACCTCCCACTCACCATAACCATACTCATTCCGATCGCAGTGAGCTAGCGCATGTCAGCACGTCGATCCAACGCGAAATTGAACACTTACGATCATCTCCCCAAATTGACCGGTATGGAATACCCAGCCCTTGCCTCTTGCCGTCAACCAGGCACTTTCCATGCCCTTCGGCAGAACATACATCGCAAGCTCCCCTCGCCTCCGCTTTTCTTCGACAAAGAGTGAAAGCGCACCAAATAATCCACCGAGTCCATAGGAATACTTTGACACAAAGAAGTCGATAAATTTCTGTGGGAGCTTGACTAAAGTTTGGGAGGATAACATCCTGTAGAGATAATGTTTGAAACAGACCCACGCTACAAAGAGATGTCAAGTGTCATGCAGGCACAAGGGACAGTGGGAATACATACTCTGGAACGTAGCAATGAACGTTGCTAGGAACGCAGAACTCCGTATCGTAGCCCAGCCTGCACGTCCAAGCTTTTGCAATGGGTTCCTCAAGAATGCATGCCGCTTGAACAATATCATCGGGACAAAATGCAGAGCACCATAGATTGGGAAGGCCCATTTGAACACTGTGACAAAACGCGGTAGCGGCACGTGTGTGCATGATTCTACCCAGGGGTGCACGGCGCCACAGAGGGGGTAGGGACCAAAGTCAGGAGGCGAATTGGTAGCCATTGCTCTACTGGCGAGAAGGGTGACCTGATTTGCAGGGATAAGGTCCTGACAAGCAAGTGAGAATGTGGCGAGGAGAGTCAGCACAAAAAACCCACCTCGCGGCTGAGAATCTTGTTGAGGTCCTGTACGTCAAACGTCCCTGTCTTGTTCATGTCTTGCACTATCTTAATCGCGTTTGATGGAGCGCCCGACGCAGTTGTAAGCCTAAGAAATTATTTTTAAAATACGCTACAAAATACTTTAATCGACTGACCATGCGGTGTATGACCGCGGGAGTGTGTCTGGTCGTGCAAATAATGCGTACACAATTTGTGTAGAGCTGTTCACATGTCAGAGCTAAGACCTCTACCATAATGCACAGACTATACCAAAGACAAAACATGAGCACTTCTCCATTGGGTAGATGGAAACCGTGCTTCGAAGTAAAAGCGTTATATGAACCTTGTAGGCCTCTAGACATCACTTTTAAATGAATAATTGCATTATCATGAAGATAGAGTAAATTACCGAACGAAGAGTTGTTGTGCGATGACCACTCTTCTTGATCGCTTTTCAAACATAACAGCGAGGCCGCCAGCTAGAGCGCCAGCGAACATAGAGTGCCATCGTCGCGTCTTCTTACGCACCCACACTTGATGTGCTTGAGCACTTAAGGAAAGGCGCGGCTGTCTGGCTGAGAGGGGAACCTCAAAAGGCGTTGGTGGTGCTTCGATATCTTCATCTTCGTCCTCAAATGGTGAGGGTGGGCTTGCACGTTCATTGACAGGAATCAGGATGGGGAGGGCATTGAGTGTTGCCTTGTAAATAGTCACGAAGGAGCCTGAGCAAACTATAAGAAAAAGCTTGCAAAAGATACTATGACATCTATTCGCTCACCAAACATGGCTGCGAATCTAAATGAGTCCTTTCCGAAGATCGCATGTTGAATGAGTGAGAGCCTCATGTTCCTGTACAACTCAGTCGACCTGGGATCTGAGTGAAGGTCCAGTCCTGACTTACTTTGGTACCTTTCCCATTCTTATTGTGGCCAACACAAGATTCACGCTTGCACGGAGAGCAAAAGCGATAGCTGCAGCTCCTATATGTCAAATATAAACAACGCACACAACCGTGAGCATGCCAATTTAATGATAACCCACTTAATCCTCCACGCCCCGCATGCTCCATACACTCCCAAAGGTCTTCAAGCTCAACAGCGGGCTCACCGCGCTCCCTCCAGACAATCCTTCGAGCTTCCCGGAGTCGCTCTTGGTGGTTTGCGAGTGCGACGAGATTCTCAAAGGACGCCATCGCGCGGCGGGGTGCAAGTTGAATATATGATGGCGTTCGCGACATGGCAGCCTTATGAGGCGCTGCTCGACTACTAGGTTCTGGGGAGGCCATGGCGTCTAAAATACAGGGAGTCAAAACTTTGGGGAGCTGGCCCATGTAAGTCTTGGCGCTTGTTTGCAAATCATCGTGTACACGAAGTCAACGCTAATACCTCCGGCCAGCACGGTTTCAGCACAAAAACCAACTAAACCGCATACAACTTATTACGCAATTCCAAATCTTAGAGACTGCAATTGGTCAGTTGAATGCACTTTGTCAACTCCCACTTGGAGGTCCGTCTGGGTCAAACTTAAACTGGTTGGGGTGAATTTAATGCAGCATATGTGAAATCTTAGGTACCCGGCCAGAGTGGAAAGAAACACATGCTAATGAGTGTGACCGGCGACAGCCGGCCATGCAAGTTGAATGATAGGGAACAATCAGCCATCAAACACGCAAGGTACAAAGGAGACCATTTATTTGCAGATGTACGAGAATGATGGACAAGAGTACGCAAGAATCTGTAGCGTAGAGAGATGATAGTCAGTGATGAGGTTTCATGCAAGAATACGAATAAGGATCAGACAATATAATGATTCCGGTTAGACTGTTTCCTCATCGAACGGATTCTCCGTTGAGGGAGTCTGTTTTGTCATCGTGATACGAAAATTGGAATGGTACTCACCCTATCGGTTCTTGAAGTATTCAAGGAGCACATTCAGACCCTCACTCTCTACACCGTAGTCCTTGACAACGACGCAAGAGCAGCCCACGACCTTGCGGGGGTTGCCTTCCTTGTCAATCTTGCAAAGACCTGCCCATGTGCCCAGGATCTTGCCGTCTCCGACTTTGATCAGGTTGATTTTGTGCTCTGCGCAGAGTGCTTCGATGAGTTTGATGTACTCAGCCTCTGTGCAGGTCTCCACAAGCACACACAGGTGGGCCTGGCGCTTGTCCAATGCCTTGGCGCACTCGCGGAGACCACGAGCAAGACCGTCACGAACAAGGGCGTTCTTCAGGACTTGCTACGCGATCAAAGTTAAGGATCGATGAAACTTGGCTAAAGAACTCAAGTTCTGCATACCTGAAGAGCATCCTCGACGGACATTTTTCCCTTTGGAGCCTCGGTAGTGACCTCGACCTCAGCGGCCGGGGCGTCAACTTGAATTTCATCTCCAGCGTCAGACATCCTTTATTTCACAATCAGATAGATGACTGGGCGTTATCATAGACAAACATACTTTTATGATTAGTTTACAGAATTTGCGATGTCTTCGTCCGCTCTCGTTGATGTGAGGAAAAATAAGGTTTTGGCCAGTAACAAGGTTTTGTGTGCGTTTAGAGTCCGCTCGGAAGGAGCCGTTATATCCCATTTGACCTCTATGATCGAGGTCTGCCTTGCACTTCGCACCTAATCATCCACCACAAAGCAGTCAGATATGGTTTGTTCGCAATTTCTGATGCATAGCAGTTAGATTATAAATTTTGCTAGAGTCTCGCATTCGTTAACGCGCTTGAGTGCAAAGAACGTACGCGCCAGAGTGTCACAACCTTTAGGCAGACTTCATTAAACTTATCATTTACAGCGCACAGTGACGAGATCTGGGCTGTAGCATGGACAGCAAATAATACAGCCGTGTCCGCATCCGCAGATGGCACAGTGAAGCAGTGGGATTCCACCTCTGGACAGGTATCGATGTCGCGTCCGCCACACAACCTTGCCATAGTTTCGCTATCCGTCTCACCTGACGGAAAGTTCGCGTTGTACAACGGACTTGATGGTACAACATGGCTTTGGGATCTCCAGGCTGATACCGTGGTCGGGCGTCATGAAAGCTACGACCGTTCTGCAGTGCAAGGCGCTGAGCCTTGTGAGTTGCACGGACTCTAAGAAAGCATGATTTCTCATGATGTTGCATGTGTCCAGCCTGGTCCGTATCACTAAATCCGAATGGAGCGACGTATGCGGGCACCAGCAGCTCTGGAAATGTGAATATCTACTCTGCGAACCCTGACTCTTTCGGCGCACGCCAAGCAATCTTGACAAGTGGTAGGAGCAGACACGGTATGGATTGCGTGCATGTGAGTTTATTTTGTTCGATATTGCAATGCTCCGAGTTCCAAAGCCCCCAGAACGCTCGCAATAACTAACGGATTACTTTTGATTAGAGTCCAGATGGTACTCGAGTGGCATTATCGAACGAAGCCGGCCAAGTCTTCATATTTGACTTGGAATCACAAGCTTTGACATCAACCTATTCTTCGCATGCCATGTGTGTGCGATCGTTAGCATGGTCATCCGACGGGCAGGTTCGTCTCTTCAATTTTATCGAGTAAAAGTAGCCTAAGTGAACGGCGTCCAGTTGCTACTGACAGCCTCTGATGACAAACGCCTTATTCTTCACGATGTACGCTCAACTCCATCCGGAAAACCAGGTTCTGGAGCAGTAGCCACACTTACGGGCCATTCCTCTTGGGTGCTCAGCACCAGCATATCGCCAGATGGACGTCTGGCCGCATCAGGGTATATCATGTTCTATCAGACATAACTCTAATAATCCTTGTCCGCTAGGTCCGCTGACAAAACGGTCAAAGTGTGGGACTTGTCAGCACGCGCAGCAGTCTCGACGCTCCAGGAAAGTGGCGAGGTATGGAGCGTTGCTTGGTCCCCAAAACCACCCGCTCCTGGCACTGCGGGTGCATTCATCACTGGTGGACAGGATGGACATGTACGATGGTGGAGATCTGCTGGTACTGGTGCATAGTATGGGTAGGATAGCATGTCACTTTTGGTCCCCTTGTACTGCTGAAGTTCATTGTTTTCCCAACCGCTGTAGATCCCAGACTTGACAAATGAATGAAATGAAGGTCTTCGTATGGAGAATCATCCATGAATTGATATCTAGACCCAGACAGTCAACTGTACTAACTAGATTCTAGCATATCCGTTCTTTGATGTAGGCTTCTGTTGTTCCTGTTTCCGTCCGCTTAATAGTTCTTATCGACCCGCCAAGTACCGGCTTCTTCTTTTGGCTGCTCGTGGCCCTTTATTTGCCTCATCCCTAGCCGGTTTGGCTGTCATTGCTTGTTTGACTCAACTCTGATAAGTCGCTTCGTCGCAATCTTCTCCTAGACATTACACCTGCGACGTGAGGCGGCAGAAGCTGTTGGGGTCCGGAGCCACCCTGATCTTACGCTACATGATCTTTAGGCGCGGACGATGGTTCATCGTGACGAATAGCTTGTTTCCCCTTGAGTCCACCCGAGATGCACTGCTCCGGTTGTGATAGAATTCTGACCCGCTTGCCAGCGCCGAGTTTTATGATCGCTCTGAGTAATGGATAGAACGCTCCTGCCTTCTCCGTATGCGGTGGAGGCTGATGTTAAAAATACCACTCGAGGAATAAGGTACGTCCTACTTACGAATAGTCCACCTATGAGATGCCCATGATAGGCGTTCCCTCAGATTGTACGTTCCCGGAATGAAACCTATGATATCATCATTCGTCAGAATCCTGATGATCTTGGAGATAGCAATCACGATTCATTGCCGTTTTTGTTGTTTTGTCGTTGGTGTGCACCGTCCACTTCCATGTACATATAGAATCTCATGCTGTGTGAGGAGAGTAGCTCTTGTAGAGTGCGTCCCCTCAAAAATTGCTCGCTCCCTTCCATTCGACTCCCCAAGGTGGACGATGCACGTTCGTCAGTTTCCATACCACTTACACTTGGAACGAGTGGACACGTCGAGCTCCAGGCTACTCAGCTTATTGATGCAGCAAGCCTGAGTGTTAGACTACACGAAATCGCAATCACGCCCCCTCGTCTTCTCGCAGAACATCGCGAATTTCTCCTCATGTAACACATTATGATATGCTATGGCATGTCTCACTCCATGCTTCACCAACTCATGAAGGCCCTTCTTGACATGCGCTCCGGCTGTGGTTGCTGTTCAATTTCATGATCGGTGATGCTACCGACGGTAGGCTTAAAACGATGCTTGTCCCGGGATTTATCGAAGAACTCCATGTTGGGGATGTGGAGCAATTAGACGGGCATCGCGTAGAAAAGTTGATCGAGCAGCGTGCGCAGCGCCGAATCAGCCTTGTTCATAACGTCAACCATCAAGCAAAAGTAAGCCCTTTCTATTTCCCCTGCGACACGTCCTATTCCAGCATTTTATGCAACTTACATTGAAATTGGCAGGTTTGCACGTAATAAACGAGCGTTTATCTGGACCTACAGCGGCCATCGCCGGACGGTCACTGATCATTTGCCTAGATGTAGGCAAATGTCATATACCTGGATTCATTGTCAGGGAATTTGATAGATGACCGTGACATAAAGCTCTAATATCTCGAAAGTCAGCGCAGGACGGTTCGTATTAAATTCTGAGCTTCATGGAGGTCATACACTGTGTATTGTGCAGAAGAGGCTGGCTTGATAACGTTCTGAATATAGATTCGCGAATCACCACGTTTCATCGCGAGCGTCAAAGGTGATTCAAAGGTTCGTTCTAGAAAGTTATATATAAGTGCGAACGTATTGCAGCCCTTGAGAGCGTCTAAGGAGTCTCTCAGTGACCACGACTGCCAGAGGTTAACGATCGTGAGTTACCTACCATATATCATGACCCTGTTGTCTAACGTTAGCAGACAACTTTCAAGTCACTATGGGCGACTCGGGCGTTCCTATGGTGGTAGACAACTGGATAGGCGCCTCCAGAGCCGCCGACATCGACTTCAAAGATCTCGTTGAAGAAGTATTCGACGAGTATATCGCCAACGAGATACCAATTCGTCTAATTCATATCAGCAAAGATAACCAGGGGCTGAATTTCAAACTCGTGGACAGGACTTTCGTGAAGAAACACTTCAAAAAAGTTCCTGATGAGATTTACAGAGAACTACGCAATGAAAGGCTGGTGGATAGGGAGCGCCGTATCAGGGAGCGGGTAAAGGAGACACTCAAATACGCCATCTTCTCCCATAGATGGCTGTTTAGCGAGCCTTCGTACCAAGATATGCCGACGGAGCCGATGAGAGTCCGGGCTGAGCCAGAGCCTAAGTGGAAGAAGCTTCAAGAATTTTGCCGCAAAGCGAAGGATGACCATGATTGCGAATTCGCCTGGTCAGACACATGCTGCATTGACAAATCAAGGAGTGCGGAGTTGGACGAATCCATCCGTTCCATGTTTCGCTGGTACAGGAATTCCCACATATGCATCGCACACCTGTCGGAGACGGCAAACCTTGCGGCTCTTGAAAGGCAGCAGAAGGGCGAAAAAGGTGGTGGAGCAAAGGTAGATGTTTGGTTCACAAGAGGATGGACGCTTCAAGAGCTCCTTGCTCCATCGCAAATCAAGTTTTACGGAACGGACTGGCAACCCCTCATACCCCTCTACCACTCCAAGAGCGACAGAATCAGCGATACCATCATGCGAAAGATATCAAAAATCACGCACATTCCTCCCAAAGATCTTAAATCGTTCAAACCTGGCACAGATCGAGTGCCGGAAAAGATGTTGTGGGCATCGAAGAGGAGAACGACTCGCATCGAAGATACCGCATATTGCCTCATCGGAATATTCGATGTCAGCCTCATGGTCGCATACGGCGAGGGGAACAGGGCCTTCTTCCGTCTCATGGAGGAGATAATTAAGAGATACGACAAATGGGACGTGTTTCTCTGGAGTGGCAAATGCTCCTACTACAATGCTGCCCTTCCCTACGCTCCACAATGTTATCCTGTGGGATATCAGGAAACGCTTGTGAAGCGCCCACACGAAGTAGGCAACGAGGAGGAATGGAATACCGCAAGCTGTGAGATTGGAGATAGGCTCTTTGCCTTGACCAACCATGGCCTCCGAATCAAAGTACTCCCTCTGTCTGTCATTCTACATGACGCAAGAGACGAGATGCATGATTCGAGATACCTTACCTTCAGGCATGCGGAGTTCAATCATGATGTGGTGGTGAGGCACATTGGTACAAAGCGCGAGCCTCATACCACCTGGGCAATAGCTATCCTGGACTACTGGGTCAACGGCAGTGGGAAGGGTTTCATCGACAGGGCCAGAGGGGACCCATTCACTGCGTTTCTTTTGTCGATGGACAAATTACATGCAGCTCCAGATGTAAGGTGGAAGAAGGAGATGACAGAGGAAGTCATCAAAATTCGACCAACCGACCACTATGCAGACACTTTGGTCCAGTTGTACCTTTGACGACGTGGCCTTTGCTCAAGCTCAAGGCTTATGCTCATCGAAACCCTTTCACCTCAGGCTCGAGCTTTGAAGTTTAGAGTAGTATACTAGTAGCGGAGTTACAATTACTAAATCACAATTTATGTACTACCGAATTCCGAGAACGTGACAATTATAATTGGCTACTTCTTTGTGAAGCCGTCGTTCCTTTTTCTCCGGTGAAGGTCGAGAGCGTTCCTGTATCGATATGGAGCAATCTTCAACGTTCAACATTCAACGTATGATATATAAAGAGGCCCAACAATTTCAACTTTTTTTCAACGTTCCACATTCTTCGGTCTCACGCTGGCTAGCGGCTGGAGTATCAAAATATGGCATGCTGAACGTATATTTGTTTCTGAGGTGTTGCACACCTGGGCGACCGCCACCGCTGCGCATGCCCTTCCCCGAGTCCAAATGCGATACACCAATTCTGCCAAAATACCAATTGCACATGTGTGGCTCCAGGCTCGTTAGCTGTGCATTCTACGCATTGCCTGCAGTCCGGTACTACCCCCAGTCTACCTGTCCTTTGCGTCACGATGACTCTTGTGCAGTACGGTACAGCTATTATACCGAACACGCCAGGACCCGGGCCAATGGCGAGACCTGTATAATTGACTCGTGTTAGACAACACCGCCTGCAAGCGCTCGTGTTACTATAAATGAAACACAGTAGAGTTCTTACTATACCTGTCTGACCTGGGCCCTTCTTCCGTTCCCTCCTTTTTGACGCCACTCACAATCAATCATCATCGTCAATCCAAGACCTCGTAATCCCTCAGGTAATTAGCTCAATCAAGCACGTAACCTAGTGACTAAAGATCTGATCGCAGCATGAGTTCAAATGAGATAGAGTTCAGAGAGCTCATCTCGAGGATGTTCGACGAGTATATCATCAATGAGATGCCTGCACACCTTCTTCGACTGCATCCCGATACAGGCCCAATCGAAACTATTGAGGTTGTTGACCGATTCTCCTTGCGCTCATATTACGAGACCACAGTCAACGAGATCAAAGAGGATGATATCGTGCCTAATGCTGATGAAGAATGGGAGGATGCCATCATAAGGTTGATAAAGGAGAAGATCCAATATGCCATCTTGTCTCATCGATGGGTCAATGGAGACTCAGAAACATCGTTCCAATACATGCAGTCGAAAGTCGAAGTCAAGTCCTTTGATTGGCATGTGGGTGGGCTTGAGAAGTTGTACGCGTTCTGCCAAAAGGCACGCAACGACTTCAATTGCTCATTCGCATGGTGCGATATGTGCTGCATAGACAAGACGAGCAGTTCAGAGCTTGACGAGGCCATCCGTTCCATGTTTCGATGGTATCGCAATTCACACATATGCATCACCTACCTCCAAGAGACAGATAGCATAGACGATCTCGCGGAGGATGAGTGGTTTGAAAGAGGTTGGACGCTCTTGGAGCTCCTTGCATCATTCCGCATGAAGTTTTACGGAAAGTCGTGGGCGCCACTCAGGCCCCTTCATGAGTCTGAGAACGACAAATGCGACTCGAATAGCATCTTACAAGAAATTTCGCGCATTACGCGTATACCTGAGACGGATCTCAGGACATTCACCCCTGGGACTAACCGGGTGCAAGAGAAGATGGTATGGGCATCCAGCAGACGAACAACGAGGGTCGAAGATATTGCTTATTCCTTAATTGGGATCTTCGATGTTAGCCTGATGGTTGCATATGGAGAAGGCAGACGAGCCTTCTATCGTCTAATGGAGGCCATCTTGCAGAGATGTGACCATTGGGAGATCTTCTCTTGGAAGGGATCCTCTTCCTCTTACAACGCCGCCCTTCCAGCTGATCCTAGCTGCTATCCTGCAGTGGGGAACACAGGTAATTTTGACGCCGAGGAACAAATCAACAACGAACACTACATAATCGGGGATAGACTATTTTCCTTAACTAATCACGGACTCAGGATCAAAGTGCTTTTGGTTCGAGTCGAAAAAGTGCGCGAAACAGTAGTGGAGGGAACCCATGGCTCGAGGAAGAGACTCGTTTTCAGCAATGGAGCGCTGGGTGATGTGCAATTAACTTGCATGCATTCCAAGTACGAACCTCGGATGGAGTGGGCATTCGGCATCATCGACTTTTGGCAACAATACGGATCCGGAGGCGGGGACCGCGCCTTTCTTGATCCATGCAGGAAGTCACGCCCGTACACAGCATTCCTGTTATCATATCACCCAAATGCATCTCCTGATGCTAGATGGAGGAAGGAGATGACGGAGGATGTTGTGCACATTTGGCCTCAGAGACACATGGCGGATTCACTTACCCTCTTGTACCTGTAGTTGACGGAGCAATGCAGCTCAAGTGTCAACGGTCCCTGGATAGCCGCCGTGTTGACAAAGAGTAGAATCCACAGCTCAAGATTGAGACCCGGTATAATATACGTGATAAAATTGGACTGCCCAGATATATCAGGGATGAACGACCACGTTTGCGTAGTCAGCGCATAGGAGGACATGAAACCCACACTGGTGTGATACTTGTCCCAGAAATACATGATGAGTGCGGCCCATCCAGCACATGCTGCAACGACCACCCAAAGAAAAATGACAACTTTCCGAATACTAGGGTGAGCATGCCACGCAGAGGGCTGTATCTCGGATGGCTTTGCTGGACCTCCAAACGTGTCTAGGTCAGACACACAACACATGCACCGGAAAGTAACAGGGGCCAACTGCGTGTGGTGTACCAATGCGGCGGTCAGGTCGAAAGGTGAGGAGCTCCACGTCAATATTTTGACAGCCCGCATCCCTGACAATGCGATCATTACCTGGATAAGGAGCGCGACGCCCAAAATGAGGAGAGGTAGCCCTATGAAGGCAAAACCGCTCGCTTGTACTGTTTGATATTGAGGACATACAATGAGTGAGGTAGAGCTGTAGGATACAATGAGGAGGACAGCTGAGATACCGTTAAGCAGGGCGCCGTTAGGGTTGTACCATCCACGAGCTGCGGTCAGAAGGCGCAGATTGGTGTTGAAATGAAGACAAGACTCTGAGGCTAGCGCAGAGCGCAATGAGATGCCGTGTACAAGACCTGTGGACTCAGTGCATAACATGACGATGAAGTTAAGTGTCAGGGTCAATATCTCCTGCGCGAGCGACTGGTTATGATCGATATCAGAAATGACCATGGCTAAACCCATGATTCCGTGATTAGTTAAAATGACAATGCCTGCAACGATGCATGAGAAGCTGAAGATACTTGAGAATGCCACTCCGATACGGGCATATCTGCGACTCGTCAGACTGCGGTCGTAGAAATCGGTTCCGGTATCAACAGTGAGCTTTGCGTCAGATTTCATCGAGTTAAAGTCCTGGTGATTTGGGAGTGCATCATATGGATGCGAACTTTCATCTGTCGGTTTGGAAGAAGCTGCCATGGGAGATAGACAGGAAGGCCAGTCTCAAATGAAGAGAGGCTCGGACTAGAAATGAAAGGAGAACTATGTAGGTACTAGTTAGAATGAAAATACATATCGGTAAATACTAATACTCACCGCAGTGTTCGGATTGAGAGACTGAGGAGAGTTCGTTCTGGGGATGCCAGAATAAAAGAAACCTATTGGGACGGCGAATGAAAAGTGCTGTGTAGAACACGTATAGCAACGACAATGACAATGGCATAGTGTTGCTGCGGGGTGAAGCGAACTAAGACGAAGTGTCACTTCGTTCTGACCCCGAAAATGGAGGTGGAACGAACCGAAGTGCATCGAAGTCGAACCGAGTGACTAGCCAATCAGATTCTTGCTAAATCGTGGCTAGTAGTTCAATAGATATGAAGCCTAGTACTGGCTATGTATCTATATCAATACGCGTAGATATGAATTAGCTACGTCATAGTCTATGCAGAACACAACTTTAAATAGCTTGATTAATGGAGTCGTTGTAGATATCTGACTCCAACAGTACTAGTGTATATTGATAGACGCGTTATAAATCACGTGCCTAGTTTTTTTTTGCTTCAAAATCACTCGGCGAATTTAATATGTAAACTGACTATCTAAATATGTTCTAGATTAGAAGAAAAACCCTCTTCTGGTATTGAATTACCGATTTTATGCATGTTGGAATTCCGGGCTGGACCGTCACGGTGCAGTCTATTCGGCACCGATGATCGAGATCCTCAGACACGATATTCGGGATTTTGCGAACGCACACCTCTTGCGTCTCACAGGGAAGACCGTACATACTAGGAGTCCCCACACTCGGCAGTCACCTGTAGTAGGTTTTTGGCAGTGCTGCACAGGATTTGAATCCTTTGATGTGCTCTGCCATAGTGAATGCGTAGCCACTGATCTATCAAGCATAATTATCTTGCATCTCACGAGCGCGGGAAGGGCCCTTGTATTGGAGTTTTATACCTTAATATGAGGCTGGCTATGCATACTCTACGCACTGACAGCTTATTCGAGCAATTCCCAAAGATCGGGCATTCCCCTTCTGGTAGGTGGCCTTGACAATCCGCTAATCACTACTTGTCGACCAATCACGCTAACATCACTCTTATGATCCAGATTCCAGAGATATCAAACGTCGATTGATAACTGAGCCTTTCATCCCGTTTTGCACCGATCTTTCGACAGTGAGATATACATATAAGAAAGTCGCACCGTGACGGAGATACAGAGCTCACAACTCCTTACTCCGCAGCTGGTCATGCGGAACCATGTGATTAAGCAAACCTCGCGACGACAAATGCCTCGATTCGAAATTGGCTCACAAAGGACTCCAGGTCCACTCGTGTCCATTGCACAAGTCAAGGGGCACCTCCGCCTCCTCAGAACGTTCCATAATTTGAGGGTTATAGTAGAAGAATGCAAGGACCGCAGGATTCCTGCCTTTGCAGCACAAATGGATAGAGATAGCCGGTGGATGTGGTTTATCACCTTGGCTATTGACAGGTACGTCGAGTCACTTCCATTTGACGTACACACCGTGACGCCTAGGCAAGATTTGAGCGATGGGTCAAGTCTCTGCAATTCGTACCTCTTGAGAAGTTCATCAGCAAACAGTTTCCACCCATTGACGTGTGGATGGTTTGGCATGCCTATCTATTGAATCCATGGTAGGTTTTGTACTATTCAACTCTGCGGAGTCAATGATTCTAAATTTCACCTTCGGCAGTTGGTACGAAGAAGACTGTGAACGTCTCCTTATTCTTCAGCAGCTCCGCCTGCTCAACACGTTCGTCGTTGCTTCTGTCAGTCCTTACTCATGGTTGTTTCCCTGGACACAAGTTGACTATATGTAGATCAATGTTGGAAAGCTTACAAAGAATCAGCCATCTACCTCGCGGATTACTGCATGGCACAAACAAACAGGGTCATTATTCGATCCGTTTGATGCCATGGGGGAGTTGACTCACAAACAAATGGAATGTCCTCGGTGTCGGACACGTGTCTTCGTTCGTGAGTCAAGAGTCCATTCATTGCTTATAAGGCTAATATATCTGACAGCGTTTGTCAACGATAACGGAACTGGGTACTCAGAGCAGCAGTTTAGTGCTATGTGTCCTCTCCCAGGGTGTAGACTGAAGATCACCAAAGGGAATCTAGCCGTGGCAAAGTTCGTGCGAGATCTGACAGAGTCAGAGGATGGGAGCGAAAATTACATGGCGTTGAGTGGCAATATATTCAACATGATTGCTATCGCTGATAATATTACAGCGGAAGTCTGTTCTTTGGCAACGGAAAGCGAGATCCCCGGCGGGCGAAGGCAATCAAAGATCAACTAACCCAGTCATCACAGTTTTGTCGCAAGAGTCCTCAGTCTTCTAACCAGCGCATTGCCCGACTGGATTGGGAGAAAGAAATTAAGGAAAGCATTGGTTACTCCTGGCCACTGTTAAAAGATGCTATAGCGATAGCCCTCAGAGACCAACCAGAGGCGACGTATGTGACCTCACGACGTATTAGCAGTAATTTCTCACCTCAATTAAAAGGACCAAAATTTTGAGTGCATACGAAGACGACAGCCCATTCTCTATCAACCTCATTTCTGCGGTGAGCTGCAATGTTTCCAATTTTTCTATATCTATAATATTTCTTGTCTAGGTGCTGCGACAGGGGATATTTACCAAAAGGATCGATGAATTAGGCTGGCTTAGACCTGGCACATTCAAGGAAGGTGATAAGATGCAACTCCTGGAACATGCTCTACTCCGATACCACTGGCAAGGATATATCTATTGTAAGATTGCAATGACGACCTGACTATTACCGTAGCTTCCTCGATTTAGCAGCAGCCTCGCCGAATCTGATGCCCGTCCCTACTCTCGACATTGACCTGATTTGGCACAGCCATCAGCTTATGGGTGGTAAGTACGGTGTTGATTGTGATATATACATCGGCCGTCGTGTTGACCAGTGAGTGAAGTCTCTTAGTTCATAGCCGAGATAATCTAATATATTCTGCAGTCCACTTACCACAGAAGAAGCCATTCTTTCAACAGCCCTCGATAATACATGTCGTGCATGGCAGGTAATTTTGGTCATGCCCGTGGTGGAGAACGTTTACTGATCAAGACTCAGTCACGGTTTCACGTCCCATACATGCAGTGCGGCTGCCCTGCGCCAGACGAAACTGTATTCGAGAGGCTTATCCGCATCTTCCGACAGTACACAGGAACTCGAACGCGCCTTCAAGCGTCTCTCCATCCCGACCATCTACCCGCCACGCATCCAAGCCTCCACAATGCTGTCCTCGACCCAGAACGTGGAGCCTTTGGATCTTTCGGCAAACCGGCTCATCCGCAACGAGACGAGAAAGACCTTGTGCGACTCTCTCGTCCAATGGGGGTTCGGAAGAAGAAGACTGATCCGGAACTTCCACCGCAGTTGGAGGAGGGCTTTGTTTATGATAAGATGGCTCAGGAACCTGTACCCCTCAGTCCCGCACCTCCATACGTCGGTTATGGGTCGGACATTCGTTTTATGCGTGACATCTGATAACTACTTATGCTTATGTTCCGAGTTATTACTTGGTTGAATTTTACATGGGACTTGTATAGTCGATTGGTACTTTTCGCCGTCATTATGAGTCGGACATTCGTTTTATGCATGACATTTGATACCTACTTATGCTGATGTTCTGGATTATTACTTGGTTGGATTTTACATGGGACTTTTTTTTGATTCATATTTGTTGTCCTTTAGGGTCGAAGACCCTATGCTGGACATAGCCCTTTTCGCGGGGGGCTTGCTCCCGCTTGTCTATCGTATGTTACATGGGACTTGTATGGTCGGTTGGCTCCATTTCACAACCAAAGTACTCTGGTATTAGTGGAGGATCTTTATGTGAATCTGACGGAACTATAGGCAATCAGATGCCACCATGCATTGGTAGCTATATAGGACTACATGTCGCACAATGTCGGCGATGAATGCTTGTATAAAATGCAACTCCCAACAGTGTCACGTCCGTGATCGCAACACCAACAATAAACACGGGCCGCACGTAACCCGTACGCGTAATTCCTTGTACTTTTCGCCTTTGGTTAATATTCAATATTCAATCATCGCCGTAGTACATTCCCCCCTCGACCGTGACAGAACATCCGAGACTTGCATGATCATTGTGTCATAGCCTAATAGGAACTTGGGTAAATGCATAACATCATTTGTATCACTACACCTTATCAAACCAAACCTCAGCTCGGTCTTTCACACTCGTGTGCGTTCGCTCCCTCTTCGTTAGTTGGCCCACCAGCGCGACCAAGCCAAACCCAACAACCTTTCCATCTTCCACAACAAACTCTGCCGCAGTATCGGATGACCCCATCTCCGACGTCTCGAAGGGTATAGTGTCGCGCCCATATCCTTCTGGGAATAACGAGATGCACTGAATCACGAACGTATTTCCGGAGTGATGTACACCTCGAATATGAGATGACCATACGCGAGGCCATGCTGCGAATAGCTGAACTGACTGGGGAGCACTCGACTTTCCTGCCTCCACCGCAGTAAAGTCGGAGATCACATCTTGACAATATGAGGAGCTGCTGGAAGGACTGCACAAAGTGATGGCGCCATATCCAGCGTTGGAATATGTGCCTGTGAACTCTTCAAGTGCAAGTTCCAAATCAACGACGTTTTCGTTTGGAGGCGTGATTAGTTTCTTCTCCGACGTGTCGGGTTTACTGAAACGGTGATAAGTGAGTAAAGGGAAGGGATTTGGCAATGAAAATAACGAACATCGGTGGTGATAGTTTTGACCGCAGGTTCAGAGCCACATCAATTATACGGTTGGAGATATTCATCACAGGTATTGCTTCATTGCCACCGTTGGCAAAAACGACGACCCCAATATCGTCATTTGGAAGGAATGAGGCTCGTGTAGAGAATCCTGGAATCCCCCCTGTGTGATATACGATCTGATACTGCGGCATCAGTCATACTCATCATGCACAATAACAGATGAACATTTGTTACATCGTGGCCCAGGTAAGAGTTTCTAAACCAACCCATCCCATACCCCACAATCGAGAGCTCGGGATCAGCTGAGGTGCCGATGCATACGGAGTACGACTGCGATGCGTTTCCATACACAGACAGCGGTATGACTGTGACGTTGTTGTGCACGCCCTTGTTAAGCCACAATGCAACCCATTTCGACTGGATGACAACAAACGTCTTCAGTTGGTAAATAGAACGAAGGAAAAAAAACACCTACCATATCTACGGCACTCGAAATCACACCGCCTGCACCGGCCATCAGCGCTGCTATCTCTTCTGTAAAACACTCAGGTATGAGTCTGCCGCTGCTAGTCCATCCTTGAGTGAATCTGCCAGTCTTTCCAGCCTTTGCAGGTGAAAACGTAGAAGAGGTCATTCCTAGTGGCGTGAAGATTCGATCCTCTACAAAAGAGGTGTATGTTTGTGCGGAGTAAGTTTCAATAATATGTGCGGCCGTCGTGAACATCTGTTCGTAGATTAAGAGGATGCATTTAGCGCTTTTGCCGAGACTGCATTACCTTGTTGTTGTACGACCACTGTTCCCGAAGTTCAAAAGTTGGCCTTAGATAGCGCATCCGCAAGATATCATCTTTCGGGCTGTCATGTGGTCCATACGAGTAGTCATGGCTAACTCACGCTCAATAAAATCTTGTGCTGGAGCGTTGAAGAATTTGAGTCAAGCTTACCTAGCAAGGCCAGACACATGAGAGAGGATGTCCTTCATATTTGCTTTCTCGGACGCCCAGTCATCCATCAATTGCCATTCTCCTGGAAGCATATCTTGTACTAAGGTGTGCCAATTAAATTCCGACAGAGCGGGAGGAAGCGGCGTGACGTTTCTTCCATGTTCATAGTCGTCCATCAAAATTCCGAGAGCGCTCACACAGAAAGCCTTGGACACAGACGCCATGTGGAATAATGTCTGGAAATTGCAGCTTCAGAGTTCACGCAAGAAGAAATTTGAGTAGTTCGCACGTCTTTTGTTGTCTTGTCCCCGTCTTCTGTCATGTTTCCCCATGAATGAAATTCCGGTTCGCCATACCTCGGAACAACTGCGACAGATAGTCCAGTGATGTTCCAAATATCGAGGGTCTCTTGGATAGAGTTGGAGAGCTCTGAGGTGATAACCTGACCATTGTTTACCCAGACAGAATCAGCTAAGAACGATAGCTGGGAAAGATGACTGAATGGCTGGCTCAAGAAGCCTAATGCTACACTCAGCAGTTTAGCCATGGTATTGAGAAGAGGGTAGCAGAGCGGTCATTCGGTGACCAGGCGCTCAAACGAGACTAGAATAACAAACATCATGATTCGTGAGAGCGAACTGTGGAAATAAAAGATAAGATCCTTAAGAGGGATCGCCCCTGAACCAAGTGGCACCCCGACTAGGACCCCAGAACTCAAACGCGTGTAACCCTTGGTACCACTTCAAAGACGTTCACACGGTCTATCAGCCTGGTTTCTTTGTTATGGGAAACCATGCTGAAAGCCCATCATCCCCGGGAGGGTCTTCCCTAGTGCTACAATAGGTTCCTGCCCTTGCGAGGATATTTGACTCAAGTTTGCGGGGAGGCTCTGGCAGACCTGGAGGTTCTCATAGTAAGTATAATTTGTGCCCTTCCTTGTCACATACTCACTGCTATGTATGGTAAGTATAGTCTGCATCCTTCCTCATTGCACAGTGCTGTCTGCTGACCTCACTCACAGTGGCATGTAACATGTCAACATTCGTTTTATGCGTGACATTTGATGCCTACTTATGCTTATGTTCCGAGTTATTACTTGGTGTGAATTTTACATGGGACTTGTATAGTCAATTGGTACTTTTCACCTTTGATCATTATGGGTCGGACATTCGTTTTATGCATGATATTTGATACCTGCTTATGCTTATGTTCTGAATTATTACTTGGTTGAATTTTACATGGGACTTTGTTTTTGATTCATATTTATTGTCCTTTAGGGTCGAAGACCCTATGCTGGACATAGCCCTTTTCACGGGGGGCTTGCTCCCGCTTGTCTATCATATGTTACATAGGACTTGTAGGGTTGGTTGGCTCCATTTCACAACCAAAGTACTCTGGTATTAGTGGGGGATCTTTATGTGAATCTGACTGAACTATAGGCAATCAGATGTCACCATGCATTGGTAGCTATATAGGACTACAGGTCGCACAATGTCAATGATGCATGCTTGTATAAAATGCAATTCCCATCAGTGTCACGTCCGTGATCGCAACACCAACAATAAACAAGGGCCGCACGTAACCCGTGATCCATTGTATTTTGGTCAATATTCAATATTCAATCATCGCTGTAGTACATTCCCCCCCTCAATCATGACAGAACATCCAAGACTTACATAATCATTGCATCATAGCCTAATAGGAACTTAGGGGTATATGCATAATATCACTACACCTGAACCTTGCTCGGGGAAACAGCAAGGAACACTAAATGAATCAGGCAAAAGTAACAGGACGAAACTGTGGATTCTTTGAGCGTTGTACTAATGGATATGTGATGGTAGGTAGGAGACCTGAGTCTAGTCTGAATAATAGAATTTTACAAAAGAGGCAGAATATCAGGGGATGGGTCACATGACATGTGATAATGTAAGCATGTAGTAAGCGGTGAGCTTACACCCTCTCATTCTCTGAAGAATAAACACTGGTGTCAACTTCTTCCTGCGTCATTCATTCTTGTTTGTCTTCTTCAGACCTCAAATGATCATCTTGTAGGGATCTGTCTTCTTCTGACCTCGTATGTGTTGTGTTGTACTCTTGTAGTACATGAGTTTCTTCCAGTTCCTTGCCTGGAACCAATACATCCACTTCAGGACTGTAACCACACCATTGGACGAGATATTGCAGTCCGCATCTGTGTGTTCTCTTATCTAGGATCTTCTCTATTTCCCACTCCTTCGCTCCGGTCTTTGTCACGATGGGTCCTGGCCGTTGTAGCTCCCGTGATGGGTAGAGTTCAGCGTTGTTGGGAATGTGACACTTCAGCTCCGATACATGAAAGGTGGGATAAACGTTAGTATGATCAGGCAGGTCTGGAGTGTAAGTGGATGACTCAGGGTTCACAGACACTATTTTGTAAGGGCCATCGAACTGTGGCATGAATTTTGCCACTCGCTTGCCACTTCCATTGAGGTACTCTCATCTTCTGTGCACCGTTGAAAGGTATACAAAGTCTCCGATGTCGAAGGTAGGTTCATCACCCCTGTGTGTGTTAGCGCTGTTTGCTTCAGCGATTCGCGATGCCAGTAGGGCGTCATGTGCATCTGCGATGTCGGTTTTTAGTGAAACGATAGCTTCCAGGGTGTTAGTGATGTCTGTTGGGAAGTCCTCTCATGCTGAGTGAATGCCGTCCTGCGTTAGTGGTGGCAGGAGATGTGGAATTCGTCCAAGGTGAAGGTGAAATGGAGTGTATCCTGTCGATGCGTTAGTTGTTGACATCATGTTGAATCTTACTCTTGGCAGGGTGTTCACCCATCCCGTTTGGTGTCGATCCATGAAGTACCTGAGCGCTTGATCAACAGTCTTGTTGGTACATTCGCTCGCACCGTCAGTTTGTGGGTGATAGGCCGTTGACATCTTTAGCTTTACTCTGGTCAGGCGGTGTAGGGCCTTCCAGAATTTGCTCATGAAAAGTTTGTCGCAGTCTGATACTACACTCAATGGCAAGCTGTTTTCGCAGTACCAGTTGTCGAAGAAAAGGTTCGCGACCTCCCGTGTGTTCATGTTCATGCAACATGGTATCAGTCTGATGTCGGCTCCCAGTCGGTCCATGACAGTCATGATTCCGTCGAATCCTCTCTCTGATGGCAGTGGACCTATGAAGTCGATAGCGACTGACTCACCTCTGTGGTCCGGTACTGGTAGGGGATGCAGAGGTCCAGCTGGTTTCATTGTACAACTCTTGTTTCTAGCACATTTGGGGCATGCAGGTATGTAACTTTCTTCAAGGTTGCGTCTCATGTTTGGCCAGTAGCATGATTGTCGATTTGCTGCGTAGGACTTGTCGATGCCGAAATGGCCAAGATGGTCGTGTGGGAGACAAATATTGTCTCTCTAAGGTGTGTTACCCTAGGTATGATCAGCCATTCATTAAGGTATAACAGCCCGTTGTAGAGACTCGCGTTTCTGCAGGCTCATATGGGCTCATATTACGAATTCTGATGACTGGCCTTCACGGCACAACTCGCACCATCACCCTCTAGTCATTCCCTATAGAGCGCACCACTTTCCCCCAGAACGCGCCATAGGCGCGACACTTTCCCGCACAACGCGCAGTATTCCCGCGTGCGCGCCTTGCGCGCTTTCTCGTGCGTAAGCGCACTGCGTCGCACATCATCCAGGAGCATCCATCCATCGTCCAACCAGTCCCTCGGTATGTCCCTTTTCGTTATCTGACCATATTTGGCATATTACACTTCCTATTTCGTTATGCACCCTTACTTTACATCACCTTACCTCACTTACATACTTAGAGCGCTTCCTATTCGGCTCCGAGCCCTGGGAGAGCGCTTAGGTAGAACTTACATACTCTCATGTTCGTTTTACACCCGAACTATTCCACCTTAGCTTCCTACCACCACCTTCCTACCACTCAGTATCTATCACCAGTTAGCCCATGCAATGCACATATCCATCATCATCTTGAGGCCCTAGCATCAGTCTATAGCTAGTGGCACTATCAGTATCCATCTAGATCCGCGCTTTTCCCTCTTATCAGTCTCAGTATATATCTTTTACACCTGTGCACCGCTTGCACTACCTTCCCGCGCTCCGCGCACTTTCGCACTTCGCTTTCCCGCGCGCGCTTTCTCGCACTTTCACCGCCATTCACCAGGGTTGATCAGCATCATTCCGTGGATCCTTGCTTTCCTTGCTTCCCCTTTAGGGTCGAACGTTCTTGCATTCTGCGAGTATAGCAGCTAGGCAGAGCTGAGACTCACTTATACTGGCTGAGCACTTTTCTTATATGTGCCTGCCAGGTTGTGATACCCACACCGTCTCATTGCTGAAGTCCTGGCAGTGATTCTGTCAGTTTTGACAACTTCACGCACCAAGGATCTGTCAAGTAGCCGCTTTTGATGTCCTTCAGCAGTGAAGTGTCTGGCGTTACTGACAGGACAAGAGAGATTGGTTTGATGTGTGTTCCGACCGCAGCGGGCATGTGTGCTGTGAGGGCGAGGAATGATAGCTGCGTGCTAGGGGGAAGAGTGGGAAGTGGGCTCTCAAGTGCTCCTCTGGATACGAGTGGAAAGTCGTCCCAAGGGGATTGCTACTGAGAAAGATTCCTCTATTGAAAGGTGAGGGGGATCTATAACCAGCGGTTCAGTCTCGAAGTCTGAATGGGACTCTGAGGCAAATAATGCACCCAAAAGCGAAGTGCGCTAGCTAAAGGCACCTAAACGCGCTAATAAGGTGGAAAGTGCGGAAAAGCGCGCTTCAATGTCAAAGCGCACTTTGTGCGATCACAATGGAGTGCTTCGAGTAGAGATGACAATCAAATGGGGAATCAGGACTTTGATAGATGTAGAAATAGACACTTAAAGGTGTCAAAGCGCCAATAGGAAGGAAAACCGGTGTATTCAGATAGAAACTCAAGCTATACACTTCGATGGTAGTGGAGTGGAAGTAAGTGATCGGAAAACAAACATGGTGATGTGTAGGTATGCTAAGCGAGTTCCCACGGCTCGGAGCCAAATAGGAAGTACTAAGGTAAATGGTGAGGTAAGTCAGGGTCCATAACGAGATATGATGATAAGTACTAGTGCCTGCGTGATGGAGTATGAGATCTGAAGAAGGGAAAACGCACCAATGGACCTTGGAGGACTAGGATGGGACATGCGGAGGACAGGCGACGGATCCTAAGGAAATGCGACGAAGTGCACCGTAACGCGCTCGAACGCACTTGAACGCGCTGGTACACGCCAAAGTGCGCATTGCGTGGAAGTCGTATTAGAAGCGCGTTGTAAGGATATCGAGTGCGTCGTGAAAAGCCGTGAATTTGGTACATATGAGCCTGGTGAAATGTGAATCTCTACAGCTGTTTGTTGTACATACTTCGGCAATTCGTCGTTGTCTGGTTGGAGACGTGATAGGGCATCCGCTGTCTTCTTACTTGAGGGTCTTATATGTTGAACAGAATACAATGACTATCACAATTGTACTCTTTAAGACTAAGGTGCCAGCTCCTCAAGTTCACGGTCAATGGATTTTCTACTTCTCGGTTGATAATGTGGTGTTTGTGGGTGGCCAAAGGGTAATAAATTACTTCTT